TCCCTTCGCTCCCTCGAGCGCTTCCACGCTCCCTCTTCTCGTGCTCTTCTCGCTCCCTCCCTCGCTCCCTCCCTCCCTTCGTCCCTCGCTCCGTCCCTCCTCGGACATAACGTGCAAGCGCCTCCGTCCGGCCCTGTGTATCCGGCGTTGCACTTGCAGTCGGACAGGGCAAGCGACCCAGCAGCACTCGACGACCTCCTCGGACACGCCTGGCAGCCTGACTCTGTCGGGGACCCGTAGTATCCTGCACTGCACTCGCAGTCGATTACGTTTGTAGACCCCGCCGGCGATGTGATGCTGCTGCTGTCCGCCAAGCTGCATGCAGTGCAAGCCGCCGACCCCGTCGATCCCTTGTAAGTCCCTGCTGCGCAAGGGACACAAGGACCGCCGTCCGGCCCTGTGTATCCGGCGTTGCACTTGCAGTCGCTTGCAAGCACGCTGCCTGTCCCGCCATAGTCGGAGTGCTCGGGACACGCCGCACAGGCTGCGGAGCCTGCGGTGGACTTGTAGGTGCCTCTCGGGCATAACGTGCAAGCGCCTCCGTCCGGCCCTGTGTATCCGGCGTTGCACTTGCATTCGGATGCAGCACTGGAACCAGTTGTGTAGGTCGTTGCATTTGCAGGGCATGAGAAACAGCTCTGAGGTCCTATTGCTTGTTTGTACTTTCCTATTGCGCAGGGTTGACATTCTAGTATGGCATAGAGATAGTAGGTTTGGTACGGGCACGAGAAAGCATAATTTGGAGTTGTTACTTTCAGGGTTGCATTTGACCCCAGGGACTTAGTAACTGTGATCGTAATCTGTTTGAAGTTTGAAAAGTCACAGGAGGCACCGTCGTTCTGAAGGTAAAGCCCTGCATATACATCGTCGATGAATATTGTGATATAGTGATAACTAGTTGCGAAGTCTGTTTGCATCACGTCGATGTAGAGAGTCATCGGATTGCTGGTCATGTTCACCTCAAACATGCACGAGGGTCCAATGCTCATCTGCGACTTGCATGCTACTACATTCGAATGACCCGAAGCGCAACCGCAATCAAGCAAACTTGTAGACCCCGCCGGCGACGTGATGCTGCTGCTGTCCGCCAAGCTGCATGCAGTGCAAGCCGCCGACCCCGTCGATCCCTTGTAAGTCCCTGCTGCGCAAGGGACACAAGGACCTCCGTCCGGCCCTGTGTATCCGGCGTTGCACTTGCAGTCGCTTGCAAGCACGCTGCCTGTCCCGCCATAGTCGGAGTGCTCGGGACACGCCGCACAGGCTGCGGAGCCTGCGGTGGACTTGTAGGTGCCTCTCGGGCATAACGTGCAAGCGCCTCCGTCCGGCCCTGTGTATCCGGCGTTGCACTTGCAGTCGGACAGGCCAAGCGACCCAGCAGCACTCGACGACCTCCTCGGACAGCTTGAACAAAATAATCCTGTCCCGTAGTATCCGGCGTTGCATCTGCATTCGTTGGCAGAGATAGAGCTATTGTTTGCAGTCGATGCTTCAACAGCACAAGACAAGCAAGCACCATCTCCAATGGTGCTCTTATACTTGCCGACGGGGCAAGCCCAACAAGAATCTGCAGGCAAGATTGCATAAAGATAATAATCTTGGTATGCCAGCGAGAAATATATCCCAGAAGTAGTCAGACTTAAATCTGCCACAGCAGCATTTGATGCTATCGTGAGTGTCACAGTCCTGTATCCCACAGTACCACAGGTCGATGGGTCATCTAAATACACTCCTGACATGCTCTGGCTGCCAACACGCACAGAAATACCCAGGCCCACAATGCGTTGCTTGTGATCTTTGTTCGATTCATGACAGAGCATGGTCCACGGAAGCGGCATTCGAACGATAGACTTTGGCTGCTTCACAGAAGTTCGCCAGATTGGTTCAGGTTCCTTCAAGCTGGTCTACAAGGCTTCATGGAAGCACACTAAGGGTAACAATACTGCCGTGGCCATTCTGCGAATCCCAGACAGCGCGTCATCGGGAAAGAAAGAAGATTTCGAACAGGAGTTGAAGATTTTGATTCACCTTGGCAATCATCCAAACCTTCTCCGTCTTTACGGCATTACCTTGGAACCAGCTTCTAAGGACTACTGCCTGGTCACGGCCTTTGCTCCCGAGGGATCTTTGGACAATGTGTTGATGAATCTTGCCGAGAAGAATCAAGAGATGAGTCTCTTGGCCCAGCTGTGCGCTGCATCTCAAATTTGTGACGGGATGCTGCAGCTGTCGTTGAACGGAGTTGTGCACAGAGATCTTGCTGCGAGAAACGTTTGCGTGTTCAGTTTTGACAAACAGACCACCTACGCCTTAGTCTCAAGATAGCAGACTACGGGCTTGCTATGATTGCCATCAGAGGATACGGACAGAGCCGTGGAGAAACTATCAACACCACCAACTCCACTGCCAGACCCATTCGTTGGATGGCGCCTGAAAGTATTAGGAGACGACAGTACTCGGAAAAGAGCGACGTGTGGGCCTTCGGTGTGACTATGTGGGAGATCTGGAGCTACGGAGAGCTTCCGTTTTCGACAGAGGTTGATGATGCTTCTGTGGGTTCGCAGGTGCTGCAAGGAAAACGACTGCCGCAGCCCCCAGCATGCCCACCTGTTGTTTACAAGATCATGAAAGATTGCTGGATTGAAAACAAGACTGAGAGGCTCGGGTTTCATGATTTGCAGAGCTCACTTCTGGGGCAGTATGTCAGAGCTGTGGGTGAGCAGGGTTTGAAGCCCGAATGCATCATCTGCCTGGAGGGAACGGCAGAATGGGCGTTGATCCCATGCGGTCACCAATGCTTGTGTACATCGTGCAAAGACAAACTCCAGGGAAGGCCCTGTCCCATTTGTCGCTCCAACCCCACGAGCATTCAGAGGATTTTTTGACAGGAAGAGGTTTGCTGTTTGGTGACTCCCGATGTTGTGGACTGATAGTTGATAGTACATATACTTTCATGGTGAATCTTGCATCACGGATGAGATTGCGATATCAAATATCAGTGAAAGTAGACATGCCAATGCTCATCGCCATGTAATTCTGTACACTCATGTGCTTGTGGCTTTGTTACTGAGCACCCACACTCCACGATGCTGGGCACTGAGCCTGGCATCGTGCACATGATGGTCATACATGTAGCTTTACAAGCAACCAAATCGAAGAGGCAAATAAAGATGAAGAAAGCATGAGACATCAGCTGCCTCTCTGCCAGCGAATGTATCAGCCGCATGAAAGCTGAATCATGATTGAGATCGCCAGATTCGTCTGTCGCACTGCAGTTGATTTTAGAAAACAACTCTCATGAGCTGCACTATTCGTTCTCTCAGAGTCTTCTCTCATGCGTTCCAATAGCCGTGAAGTTTTCTCTGGTTCTTTCAAGTATTGATAGTTGAAGGCTAGACTTGAATGCCTGGCGTTGTGCATGCACTTCTCTGAGCTGTGGAAGCAGAGCCATTGCAACAAGCCCATCACAGCCAAGATGTCAAAACTGTCGGTGAAAGAAGTTCAAAAACTAATGAGGACGGAGAGTGTAACTTGCGGTTCGGAATGAATCTACAGCCAGACTCGAGTGTAACTTGTACAGAATCATAATTGTGACAATTGTATGACATGTATGAATGAAATATATTTTATTGATGTTACTATGTCTAGAACAACAACATGCATGTGAAAGGTTGTAGTGTAATCCCAACAAAAGCATCATGATCTAATGTCAAAATAAGGTAGCGATGCAAATGATGATGAAAACCTCAAGACGTTTACATTCGGACTAGCATCTTGCATGGCGCCACAGATGATTCAAATCATTAAGTGCAGATCGTGAAAATCTCGAGGTGCTTGCACCGTAAAGCGGCTTGACAACTATCAGCCTTCAATCCCATGAGAAGCGATTATCGAGGTGTGAAGTATGGTGAGAACCAACCCTCAAACGTTTGGCCAGTGCGGCAGTGTGAGGGTCAAGCCTCCTCTATTCTCCTTATTGTCCTCGTACTGATTTTAACTTAACTTTGAGTAAACTGAGTCAAGGGGATCGAAAAGAAAAAAGAAAAAAAGGGGTCAATGTGGGTGTTTTTATGCCTTCATGGTGGTGAAATCAAACAGTTGAGCTTGAGATGACGAAGACGCCTGATCTTTGCGCCTGTCGTTGGCTTGTTCTCATACTTCACATCCTTCCCGGTACAATTTCTGTGCCATGCACTTACGTCGGCTCGTCAAGACTTCACGACAGGCACTCACTCATGCTTTTTACCCTAACAATTCATGTTGAAGCTGTGCCAGAGTGATTAAAGACGTATGCCCCCCTCCCACTTCCAATGGAGTGTACTACTTCAAGATCGACTTGGATCCAGGCGGAGGTTCAGGATCAGCTTGTTCACGAGCTTTGAAATAACGTTTCAACAAGATGTCGCAGTTGTGAAACAATCAGGCGTCATCTCGCCAGCTGATGCGGCGTGCGATGAAAGTGAAAATTGCGATGCAGCTAGCGGGCCTGGTGATTTTTGATGTTTTCATGCGGAAGGAATCAATTCTTTTTATGTTGAAAAAAGGTTACAACATTTTCATGAGCGAAGGTTGTCTCCCAACACCAGCGGCAAAGGTGATCGATCACAACATCCTGTTCCATGCTTGACATAAGGATATGATGCGAAGGGATCGACTGTCAACAACATTGCGCCAAATGAAGATATGAAAACATATAAGGTGCTTTGTTGATTTCATCAACATGTTTCTCTGATCGTCGTCTGCATCTCCAGTCTTTAGACCTGAAAGCAAACGAATTCAAGCGATATTACATTGCAGTGAGCAAAAAACCAACAGTCGCGGCTGGAGACGCAGCATGCTCAATGGCTTTGAAGATCGGAGAAATCTGTGAAAGGATAGTTCTGTACTTGTTCTCTGCCAACACATTTCACAGACACGGGAAGCCGACAATCCTGTGTTATTTATGAGTATTTCCCAAACGTCACTTCACAGATTCCATTTTGCATCCCTCCTGCCCCATTGGTCCCTGAAGGCCAAGTAGTGCTGCATGACATCATAGGGTACCCATGGTGACTTGAAACAGGGACTGTGGATAGTGTTTGTTCCTATTGCTGCAGGGCTCTTGGCAGGATATTTGATCTGGAAGGTAAGTTTTAGTGATCTTTGCAACCTACAGGTGGTTCTAATGGCAGAGTGAGTAGCTTATCAAGTGGAGAGATCTCAGACGAAGAGCTCAACTTGTTTGTGAGAACAGTGAGCTTGAATTTCGTCTATCTTTGGAGAAGGCAAGCACACACTTTCGTCGAATTCAAAACTTGTACATAGCTTATGGACTGTTTGCAGAAGGTGGCAATCAAGAGTCAAAATATCCGAGAGGCTCCTATTGACTCTCAGGGGGCAAGCGTGGACCATCAGGTATTTGCAACGTCAGGCAAATAGTTGGATTTTAAATCTTCATTTGCAAGGCTCGATCCTTTCATGCAATACGCAACGTTGAGGGAGTGACACATTGAGCACGAGCGCAGAAAGAAGATACCAAGTTGAATTCTCGACCCGAGAAGACGCCATTCCAGCTGCTCATGTAGATGGGAAATCATCCTTCAGTTCGTCCATGTCACTTCCGCAAGACAGCACACATTCGATCCACGTTGAAATTTAGATTATGTAATGTAGTACAACGAATACATTATAGGTGATAAGGAAAGGTCAAGTGCTGAGCTGAGATCTATCCTCACAAGGCTGATTCTTGCGATGTACGATCTGATTTTGAACATGTTTTCCTTGGTGCAGGACGTTGAACACATTCCGCCACAAAACAAACTACTAGGCACTTATCTGACATCATCCGTTCAATGAAAATGCTGGGATAAGAAAGCGGCAAACAAACCCCCAATATCTTTATCTATTGAAGCGTGCACGAGGGACTCCTGATTCGGGGACCTTGCCTTCAAGAAGCATTCTTCGATATGCCTCCTGTATGTGCCTGAGTTTGTTATCAGAGATTTTCAATGCCAGACTTAATTCAGACATGGAACTTACCTCGGCTGCAACGGTTCCGCGCCATCTTGGCATTCGCCCCACTCTTGACGAACAACACGCGCTGTATCTATAATTTCTCCGACAAAGATCTTGGCAATTCCTGCCATGGTGAAAAGTACAGGCTTTCTGATGTTTCCAGCTGGAATTTCTGAAATCTGCGAAGCAAATCATATAACACAATCGAAATAATCAACCACTTACCTGGGAAATCATCGACTTGATCACATTATCATTGAATTTTGACTGCCTGTGACACGTCATCGAGTGAAGGGAAGTTGTTAGAACTTGCCTCATGGCAGTGTATCGCTTCCAATCTTCTTCGGAAGCAGTCTTCAAGAGCATCGATTCTCTGGCCTTCTGAGCTTCTTTGAACTTTTCATCCTGCTCATAAGACTGTTAACTGATACAGCATGATTTCGCGGAGAACCACACACCAATGCTGTCTCAGCATCTTCGGGATCTACCATTCTTTAGAATAGATCAAGATGATGACAAAGCCATTTCTCACCTTCGTCATCTGATAGCTCTCCATCGACGTCTTTCTTCTCGCTAGCCTCAAGGTCCTTCTTGTCCAAATCAAGGTCATCCTGTCAAACGGACATGCAAACGTTAAGGAATGAGGCAGGAGTCATGACGATGATTTGATCACACCTTATCTTTATCAACTCCGCTGTCCTTTTTGCTCGGTGACTTACTGGATGTTTCTGCGCCATCCTTCGACATCGAAAAAACAAAACAATCTCACTTCACAAACTGTGTGGTTCCGCATTGAATACCTGCTTCTTTTCACCGGAGGGCTTCTTCTTCTTCGATTTCTTCTTCGGAGGCTGAGGTTTACCTCTGAAATGTGAAGTTTAAGTCCTTTAAGACCGCTCTATGTTGCTCTGTGCTCACCCTTCTCCAGAGACTGATTCATTCTCTTTCACACTTTCCGATACATCGTCTCGTTTACTTTTCTTGCTTTTCTCGGGAGAAGGTTGCGGTTTGTTTGAATGCGATGAAACAGCTATACTTCTAATGTCAGAAGAATGGCTGGAGCCTGTTCCTTGAAACGATTGCAAGTTCGAGGAGAAGGTTGGCAGTGACTGTTTCACCCTGAAAAATTTCCCGATATCAGTTTCTCTCAAAACGTCATACTGGCATTGATCAAGAACCTCATCAATGTCAAGCACATATCTATCACTGCCTTCCTCTCGTCTACTTCCATCGCTTACATGTCTTCGTCGACATCCACATCTTCCTCATCCGCCATGGTTTGGGAATGCTGGAGTACCCTACCCCCGCACTACTACCTATCAAGCGATACCAACTTTGAGTAAAAGCACTGTTCTCTGGTGACCGTGTGAAGGGTACTTTGACGAACATTACGAAGGGGAATGGAGGGGTGGGCGAGCGATTACATAAAAGGTGGGATCCCGGTCCTTGCTCTATGGTGCTATCACAGTCTGCGATTGCTGGAGTGGCGGGAATGGTGGGAGGCATGAGCCAAGTGAGTTCAAGTCATGCTCAAACCCCTCAGCTTCATCCTGCTCACATTCTCCTTGGTGACTTTGACTTTTGATGGGATGAAAGGTACTTGCAGAACAACCCTTCGACACGCTAAAAACAAGAGCTCAAGTCAAACGAGGCTCACCCCCAAGCATTTTTGAGCTGTTGCACAGTAACCCTGACCCTGCTCCTGGTAAATGGTCAGAATCAAAAAGTTGTCGGTCTGTTCTCCGTTCGTCGAATGGACGCCTTCATCATCTGCCTATTAAGTAAGAACGATAACAGTCTTACAAATTTTCGATCCAACTCTTTCTGCAGTTTGCATGGAGTGTTATCTCTCTTACAGGGGTTGAGCCCTCGACTCATAAGCTATGGTGCTCAATGAGATTTCTATCACGTTGAATTTAACCCTTGTCTCTTACAAGGATTTGTAAAATTTTCACTTTTCTCGTGGTGAAAATCAATCTTGTGCTGAACGATAATCCTCACAGCTGCCTTTAGGTATGAGACATTCCTTCAAAAAACAAATAATAATGCAACCCTTTCTGGGGCTTTAGCTGGAGCGGGAAATACCGTGCAGTATCCTCACACTGTGGGAAGAACCTGATTTTCTGTTCAGGTTGTCAGTTGTCCGCAAGATGTCTTGAAATCTCGACTTCAAGTGCAACACAGAAATCAGAAGGTTCTGGGCCACATTTATCGTGAAATTCAACACCTTAGATCCTCAATTGGGATTTTTCGGGGCTTGTATTTGGGTTGGAGCACCCTACTTCTACGTGATACGCTTGGATATGCATTTTTGTATACGACTTTCCAATATGGCAAGCAGCGAAAGGTTCCGGACTCATATTCTTGTTTTCATACCAGCCGTTTGTTTCATGATACAAGATGTGCATCTGACAGATACCTGCATATGCAATTGGAGGTGCGGCTGGTCTGGCTTTCTATCTTCCGACGTTACCTATAGACAGAGTGAAAACTGTGATAATGACTCAAGTACGGGAATTCGTTTTAATTGATTGCTTTGCATTCACCGATCTTGACTTATTTAGGGCAGGAGCTGAAGTCTCCCGAACTTCTGATTCGACCTCTTGATTGTTTGAAGGATTTGGTCCAGAAGGAGGGGATTGCGGGATTGTAAATTCTTCAATTTGATCATGGCTAAGTGCATCAAGAGTAACATGGCTTCCTTGACCAGATATCGAGGTGCCCTACCAACGATGTGTAAGACGTTCGTTGGACAGACCGTAATAGCACAGCCTAGGTGAATGATATCGTTGACCGTTTTCTGACAGGTTGCTTTGACTGCTTACGACGCCATTTTCCAAAATTTGACACGATGGAGAGATTCAAAGGCAACATCAATACATTCTTACAACTGATTCTTTGAGTCAAGACTCGAGAGATTCTGCACGCCCAGTCACGGACTGGAGCACTGCAGCACCCGGGCCTTACCCGCCGGTACGGATCCGAGCCCCGCCTCGCTGACAGTGAGTCAGGTGTGGCAGTCAGGCCCGCCTCAGGCACTTGGCAGTTATGCGAAGATCATCAAGTGTAACGGTGGCGGCCCCCATGCTGAAGATGCGGCGGGTGGTTCTAATTTGTTGTGGCTTCGTGCTGCTGCCATGCTCCCTGCGGGCTGCCTGCTTGCAAGCCTCTCACTTGTCAGCACCCGATTGCTCATATACTGCTAGAAGATTGATTCCAGGATGTGCTACCGTTGCAGAAGCGGCCTTTGCTGCGCTTCACTTGCCCTCGAACAAGCGAGATCATTCCTTGGCCATATCGTCCTTTGCCTGCAAGTTTGGATCAGAACGACCGGCGACAAAGAAGTCATCTTCGTTTTCAAATCGAACGCCAAGTAAAGGATTGTCCACGCAGAATAAAAAGGTTCTTTTACCTGCGAAACAAAGGGGCGGTCTGAGCAGGAAGGAATGGGACCTTGCGGTAAAGATAGCAGGTCCAAAAACGAGCCCGGGGCAGCTGGCAAAAATGATGGACATGGCCAAAAATGGAAAATTCAATGAGCTGGAAGTTATTTGGGAGCGAGAAGGAGCAAGCAAGAATGAGGTCAAGCGCAGAACAAAGATTACAAAGGAAATTTTCGCCGGGAGCAATCAAAGCGGGCCTCAGAATGTAGTTGCTGCAACCCAGAGCGAGCTGCGTTGCGTTCATTTCGGAGCTTGTCCCGGCTGCATTGTAGAAGCAAATCTCCATGATACTCCCACGATCAACGAAGCCAAAATGTTTCTTGGCGCCCTCACGAAGCAAGCTGGAAGGGAATTTGAAGTGAATATGGGACAGATACATCGTTGGAGGACATTGGCAAAGCTTGCGGTGAGTCCTACTAACAATGAAATGGGGTTCGAGATAGGGCTCTACAAGTCGGGGACTCACGATGTCTTAGCCATTCCGAGATGCCGGGTACACCACCCGAGCATCAATGAAGCTGTCTCAATCCTTCAAGAAGAGATGCTTGCAGTTGGTATACAAGCATATGACGAGAAGAGCAGTGAAGGACACCTTCGATATGTGCAAATGATGGTAGAAAGACACTCTAACAAGGTTCAGATGACGATGGTGTGGAATGCGGAGAATTTTCGTGATGCCTCACCGCAAGCCCAGTTGCTCGTGAAGAGGTTGAAGCTTTACGACATCTTTCACAGCATCTGGATCAACTATCGTACTGGAACAGGGAACGTTATTTTTAACCGTGATGAGAAGAAGTGGCAACTTCTTATAGGGCCAAAATATGTTGCAGAAAGGATTGAGGCTGGCCTCAACTTGAGTTTTCCTATTGCGCCCAGCATGTTTCGGCAGGGGAATTTGGAGCAGTTCACTGCGATCATTCAAAAAGTAGAAACTTTTATTGAGCCTGGCTCAAAGGTTTGCGAACTTTATGCAGGAGCAGGAATGGTGGGCTTAAGTGCAGCTCTTCAAAATTGTGAATGGCTAAGGTGCTCCGACGAGAATCCAGCAAATCTTGACGCTTTCCTTGCAACAAAGCAATCTTTGCCAATAGATTTGAAGAGAAAGGCCTATTACACAACTTCTTCGGCAGAAGAAGCAATAGAGGATGGCCAAGTGGACGGGGCTGATGTTCTGATTGTTGATCCTCCACGAAAAGGACTTGAATTGTTGGCTCATTGGATTCAATCAAAAAGTCCTACGGAGTTGAAAAAGGTGAGCTCCAGTCTCGGATTAGAAATTCAATTGACGAAGTTTTACAGGTGATTTACATCAGCTGTGGATTCAAAGCTCTCAAGGAAGATTTGAAGGTGATGTTGTCTGGCAACAAGTAAGTGCTTTGAAACCTAAGGAATATTCTAACGATCTGACTTGGCATCAGATGGAAATTGACGCATGCCGAAGGACATGTACTGTTTCCTGGCTCGGATCACATAGAATGTCTTGTCGTGCTCGAAAAGCTTTAAAAACGATTCTTTGGCTAAATTGTACGTAGTGTGAGGGATGGCGAAAACGTTATGATAAAATGAAAACATGGGAAAGAATACATGGAGGAAGAAACATCGAGGAAGAAACATCGAGGAGAAAATGCACAGAATGTTTGAAGCTGTTGCTCGGTATTCTAGAGATTTCACTCGCCATTGAAACTAGTTTACACTGAGAGCTACACGAGTATGAGAGCGAAACTTGCTGCCTTCGTGAACGCTTTGAGGCGGACTCGGTGATATCGATGGCAACATGGCAGGCGTTTGCTGAAGCGTCTGGGGGAGAGGAGGTGGCAGCTGAAAGGGCATGGCATGATTGGTGTGCAGGAATGGCGAGGAAGCGACAGTTTAGCTGCTGGTGATGAGACGATGCTTAGATTGTCACTGACTTTGTGTATGAAGCTTCTCTCACTTCATGGGATGGCTGGCCTACCATGATGATATTAACTTTTACAAGTTCACAGTCAACTTAATCAGGCAAAGGTGAGCTGGATGACGTGCTCGAGGAACTTTCTATGGCATTCATCCTAACGTTTCCTAGATGGTCAAATTTGTTATCAAGAACATGCTTGAGTCTCTGGCAGGATCATTACAGAAGCCGGATGAATCAGAAACTAAATGTCAGAATTCTTTGTCATTGCAGGCATTAGTTTCATTCTGAATGTTTCAGATACTTGTCCTCAATCGTCGTAGAGATGTGATCCTTCTGCTAGAGGTGCGCACGTATTGGTCGCTGATTCATGAGTGATGAGTATCGCAGAGCATCGTTGGTTGGGGGAACGTCAAGGCAGATCGTATCAGTCGGGAGAAGGTGGTCAAGATGTGGCGTAACAAGATGAACTTCGCTCTGCTTCGGGGGATTCTTCATGTTTGGGAATCTGAGATAGTGCACGTCACTCGTCAAAGACATGCTGCAATGATAATCTGTCGACGCAAAGCAGCCAATTTAATCAGCAGTGTTTACCGTCGATGGTTGAATTGGAGCTTCACCTCACGAATCGACAGGTTTGCTTGAGCTCTATGTTTCTTCTTCTTCTCTTGAGCACAAAGTCTCGCAGGCACCTCAAAATTCAAATCAGGAAGAAGCTGGTGCGGCGCACGGATGACATGTGGGAAATCGATTCTCTTTCTCCCCTCCTGACGTTCTTTCCCTTGTCATTTTGCAGAGAAATTTCGTTACGTGAGGAACTTCCAGCCAGGTAGTTTCATCAGCTCTCATGTGTCAATGCTGACCTCCAACGGCAGATGCAGAAGCCAAAAAGGTGTTGCCATCAAGGGAGAATTGTCTTGACAATTAGCTTGTGATTGTGTAGACTTCTTGATTCGAATTTTGAATCGCGTGTTCACGAAGCTATCGAGAAACATCTTGAGACGTTGGTCTATGGCTTTGACGATCAGAAAGAAAAAACAGTTTGCCAACGCACGAGCTGCAAAAAGGAGCCGAGTGAGGACTTGCGCTGTAGTGATCGACGCATGGAGCTCGTTCGTAGACAGGAGTTTTCTGCTTCATCAAATGCGACGAAAGATCGGCAATCGGCACAATCACTTTGTCATGAAGGTGTGTGTTCTTGCATCAAGCTTTCATTCGAAGAATCAAGGGATGCGGGTTTGACATGAACATCCAGAATGTCGTTCTCCTATGGAAAGATTGTACTCGAAAAATGCGGAGGCTTCGGGGCAGACTGCGAAGGTCAGATATTCTTGCCTCTCCAACTAAACACGAGATAAGTTTGGAATTAGATTGCAAAGGCGCATGATCACCCGCGGAAGGAAGAATACTTTTCTCTTATGGCGTGTGAGTTGTGGACCTTGCCGTTAGATCACGATGAAAATTGTTGCAGATGTTAAGTGAGGAGACTAGGGAAGAACGCATAATGTTCAGTCGTGTTGTCAGAAGGTGATCTAAGAATCTTTCAAATCTTTTTTCTGATTTTGATTGGGTCAGCGGACGTCTCGATTTCTTGGGAGGGTGATACCTGGATCTCAAGCAGTACAAGAAAGCTGCTTCTCGTGTATTTTGAGCTTCTTTTATTCTTTTTGTATTCTTTTTGTATTCTTCTTTTGTTATTCTTTTTTATTCACAAACAAGGAACCATCTAAGAAAATCTCTACACACTGGCTAACGGGAATCCGTTCCTATCCTTCATCACGCCGTCTGCTCTGTTGTTACTCGATCCATTCTCAATGAGGGGCACGTCGTTGGCTGGCTCCTCTTGGTCCGTCTTTAGCCTCTCGACGAAGAGAACTCTCCTCATCAGCTGTTTCAGCCTCTCCGGCATCGTCTCCGAGAAGTTGCGACGCACGGCCTCGTTCTGCCTCGACCTCTGCTGCACAGACAAACGATCGGCTGCGTATACCAGCCCTCCGCTCATGACTGGCTCAGGACGAGAGTTGGAGACGTTCCAACGCGATGCAGCGCGAAGAAGCTCCTCTTTCTTGGCAGCTACAAACCTCTCGGCGTCAGGGTTCGTCGCTGCTGCCTTCTTGCTCATCTCATCCAACCGCTTAGTAAGTTCGTCCCTGGCAGCCGCCGACTGAGACTCGAGCTTTGACTTGTGCAGCACAGTCGTGACCTCGTTCAAGTCTCTCTCCGCGAGGATGCTGTCCGGATCGAACTCGATGTACTTGTCCGCCTTCTTCTTCGATCTTCCTGCGTGCGCGTCGTCCTCAGTCGTGTTGCCTCCCCTGCTGATCTCTTCTTGGGTCGGGAGCGGCAGAGTATTGAGCACTATGTCCTGCACCACCTTCTGACCCTCTAGGATCTTGCCCTGCTGGATGCTGACCAAGCGGTAGAGGTAGACGGCGACGAGAAAGCCGACGACTATCACCGGCACTCCTGCCATCATCACCCACTTGAAAACAACGTCGAGCGGAGTTTTGGCGACGATAATCTTCTCATTGCACAAGCCAGAGTAAGAGTTCTTGTAGCCCTGGTCGCAGACACAAGTTGTGCCTGACTTGGCACAGAATCCATGGGAGTTGCAGTGGATTCCGATGCTGTTAGGATCTCTCGTGCAGTACCTCTGACACATCTCGCCGTACCACGGGCAAGCTGCCGCAGAAACGTTCTGATCTGCACAGCATCGACACGCGAGGCCTTCACATCTCCCATGCCCGGAGCAGTTTCTATCCAGTATGATTCCATCTTGCACGCTATTCGGGTTCCTGTCACAACCCGAGCAGGTGCTGTTATCCCCCAGACACACGTCACAGAAGTCGTAACGCCCACCACCGTTAGGGATTCCCGTGCAGTCTAGCTCAGCCTCTGCGATTGCAAAGGTGCCAACGGTCTTAGAATAGCACTCCAGGTAGTGAAAGCAAGTCTTGTTCACTCCTGTGCTCATGCAGAACTTATGAATTGAGCTCAACCCAGAGGATTGCCTGATGCCCACGTACGTCCACTGCTGCAAGGTGAGGTCCCACCTGATGCAGGACGGAACGATGCCTGGTTTGCCGGGTTTGTTTTCTGCCTTGCTCTGAGCATCACGAACAAGTTGTTCAGTGACGGGGATCCTCAGCGTGAGCTCGCTGGACGCGAAGTCTCCAGAGAAGGTTGTTTGAACAGAAGGCGACGATCCAGAAGAAAGCGAGAAGATGTAGGAGTTTGGAGAGAGCAGCACCTGGTCACTCAAACCCTGAAAGAAGTTCCCAGATGAAACAGATGCATAGGCCTGGAAGTATTGGTTGCCCAATGACGTGAGCTCGTAGGGAAGTGACGAAGGCAGTTGAAGAATCAACGGGCTGCTCGACCCTTGAGAGGAGGTTTCAGTCGGGCACTGAGAGTCGAGGCAGCAAAGAGCTCCTCCATTCTTAGAGCAGCATTGCCGGATGTCTCTTGCCTGCATACAGCTGTCATCTCCGGCGAGAGTACTTGACTCAAGACTTAAGGAATAATCATTGAAATCCTGTCGTGCGATCACTACTGCGAGCAATTGCAAAACGTCATTTTGAAGCACCACTTTCTCCCCCACAGCTGCACTAGAAAGCTTTAGCACTACCATGCTGTTGATCAAATTCAAGAGAGAAAGACGCTGACTATAATCATTAGCATTGATAGCTCTCCTTGTAATGACCTGCACGTTGCCTTTAAGGCTAAATTTGTAAATCTGACCTTGCGCAGCGGAAACCAGAGTTGCCATATCTGCTGGGATGGTCGTGACTTCAAAGGTTGAGAAATATTGAGAGTTTGACAATGATTGAGAAATGACAGTCTGAGCCAATCTATTCAACAGAGAAATGATGTCGGAGACAATCGCCGAGTCTAACTTGGAGTAGTCCTGCAGAAGCGAAAGCACAATGCTGACATATCGTAATGCCGTCTCTGCACTCGTCTGAGTGGATGTCAGCGTTGAGCTCAGCAGGGATACTATGGTCTTTCTTTCTGTAAGCGTATTGACAACCGACGGAGAATTGAGGCTTTCTGCAAGCACAGCCAACAATGTCAAGTCCAAATCCACTCCATTCAAAGCATTTGTCAAGCTTGAATTGAGAGACATCGAGAAGCTGGAGGGATCGTCGGTCTTGACTATGACTTCATCCCCTGATACCGTAGCCATCTCGCCATCTCGATTGTAGATCTTGACAAAGGGGATGTAGGTCCCTTCAGGCAAGACTGTGCGGATAGAGTTCTTCCAACTCTTCTGCGACAACAAGATAGTGCAGGGAGAGAAAGTGCAGTCTCGACGCTGCAACCCGATAGAATACAACAACGGGCTTGTGATGTTCGCCACATCCACAAAGTATGAGGCTACGATGACAAACGTGGTGGACAGAGGTCGTCCTGTGCCAGGAGTGACCATGACATGACCGTGCGTTGGAGCTTGAATGAACGAAAATGCAACGGATGCAACCCCAGTGTTGCCAAGAACATCTGTCACAGATACTTCAAACGTGTAATCTCCTCTCGCTTGATCAAAAACGTGGGAACGGATTCCCAGGTAGTATTGGCACATCGTTGTGCAGGCCATGATCTTGGCTTGGTAGCTGCTTTCTGTACAAGACTGGTAAAGGCTCTCAAGCGACCCGTTGACAGGGCACGCGCTTGTCAAGATGTTGGAAGAGAAGCACCAGTCCTCTCTCCTCATACAGTTGACGACTCTCTCCCCGACCAGTCGCCATCGCACTGACGCCACGTTGGCCTCTGCTGTCACCTGCGCCAGCAAGACTAGTGGATCACTTGCACGGACCACGTGCTTGCTCAGCGTGGAGTTTCTTTCAGTCTGCATGTAATTGTATGAAATCGCATCCATGGACCTAAAGGACAAGGAGACCTGGGGAGCATACATACTCGGTACCATATTGATCACGAGACGAGCTCCACTGTATCCGAGGTTGCGATCGACACCGCAATCTTGTAGAGTAGCTTTTCCTATGCTGACTTGCACCAAGCAAGCGTAATCAAGAGCCCAAACCTGAACTTCAAACACAAGGCTGACCGCGCGAACAGGGAATCTGCTGCGACGAAGATTTCCAATGCTCTTGACGGGAGTGAACCACTCGATTGGACACGTCTGCATATCGACTTCCACCCAATCCATGCGATACTGGCAAAGCCACTGAACTGAGACGCCGGAATATGACAGAGTATTACTTGCAGGAAGGTTGACATTCCTCGAGCTAGAAGCATTCAAAATGACGTCAGGAATGAGAATTCCAGTTATCTTCTCGTCCCAGAGCGATATCGTTCGATCTCCACCAGCTATGCCAGCAAACGCTTTTGCAAAACCAACTCGCACTGTCGCTAAATCTGCAGTTTGTGACTGGCCCATGGTTGCCTTCAACTCAATGGTGTATGTATTCCCAGGAGTCAGACTGTATGGGGGAAGGCTGAAGGATTTGCCTGAGGATTGAAAGACCATATTGGCACCTGAGAAAATGATCCAACTCAAGGTTCCGCCATAAAAGCTGGACGGCAAGCAGGTTGGATCAGAAACAGTCAGCATACTGTCCATTGATAGCGATTCAAATGCAAAGATGCTGTCGTACTTCTGAAGAATCTTCACACTGAAAGCGAGAGATGAGTTCTTCAAGATTGTAACTGTCTTCGAAGCAGATTGTCCAAGCCAGTTCTTAAGCTGCAGATTGATTACATAGGTACCTTCTGGATAAAACCATGACAAGTTCGAAGGAATTTCGACATAGAGTCCACTCATTTCTTGCAGAAACTGGGACATATTCCCTCGAATGACCGAAGGAGCTTGCACGACAGTCCATTGAATGGATCTGAACAACCTCCCAGCGGACCCGAGCGAAGCACTAGCATCCAGAATGAAAGGATCGCAAGGTCCCACAACCTGGTGGAAAAGTCAGAAATCAGAGGGCAGTAAAATTATCGTTTACCATCTTCTCTTGGAGATCGACAATTGGTTTCACTTGGTCATTGTTGAGAGTGTATAAGTGCGACTGCGAAATCAACGAGTTTGAAGACATGCTCGATACTGGGATGAAGTAAGTAGTGTTGTCAAACCCCTGGAATATTGTCCAACGAAGTACATTGTAGAGCTCGACTTGAGTTTGTAGTTGAAAATGTTGCGTGGTCAATGACGGTGAATCACAATGCGTACCCGGTTTTCCGCAGAAACTCCGTTGTTGCGTCCAAATGAAGAGGTCCGAATTCGCCAAAGTGCTTCTTTCCTTCCTCGAGTTGGCGACCATCAAGTAGTGCGAGACAACGTCATTGCTCGATGGGTTCGACATGGCGGTTGTTGAGAAGGTAGTAAGGCCAGCAGCGCCTTCGGTGAAGATGTTCTGTACTTTCTTGTATTGCTTGAGCTTTGTATCAATCTGAGAGTCAAAAACGTGTCAAATGGATCATAGTAACATTGAACATACCTCGAATATGAAGGACTCTTGGATATATCCTCGAGACATACATCCGCTGTTGTAGTTTGCTACGGCGACAAAAGCCTTGTTTTCAATTTCAAAGCCTGAGATATCTTTGGCTCCAAACGAAGGTAACTGTATGATTGGATTGGATTGGTGGAGGGCAACAGTCACTGGTAATACAATCAAGCTGGTCCCAGGCATGTGAGCGGGGCAATCAAGCGATTGGAGGCAGGACAAGCCTTGCCGAGCACCAGCAGAGCAGAAGCAGTCACTTTGATTGTTGCAGGGCTGAGGAATGGGATTGTCCGCTTGCTGGTAAACGCAATTGCCAGCATCTGTCGCTTTGGTTCCATTTTGACCTCTCAGTACAGTAATTTGTCCCGGGATCCTGCAAGGCCCAAAGAAGCCAAACGGTCCTGGGTCTTTACAGCAGCTCCCTGGAACCTGTGAAGGCACGTAATCTTCGCAAGTACCAAACTTAGTGCCAGAAAAGTGATGGTATTCATCGATGCCATGACATGGATTTTTAGCACATTCCTCCGAAGCTATTGTGCAATTGCAGACTGGTCGCATACAGCGAAAGCCAGTAAAGACTTTCAAGTAAGCGGCCTTAGGCAGAAATCTGAAGCTCTCGGTCTCACTATTGAGCGATGAAAACCCACAGACGTTGGTAGCATTGGAATCCTGGGCTCCCCGACAAGGTGAGGCTTTGACAAGAACATTATCGGATTCTCGCTGTACAAAAACTTCGATGTTGCCAATAGAGTGACCACTGACGATGTCAAGAAGACCATCGCCGTTGAAGTCTATGACAACAGGCGAACTGGCAGAGCCAAGGGTGCTCAGGTTGGAGGAGCCTATGTTTGGAGGGATTTCATCGTCCAGACCAGCATAAGTGATTGGAGAGCTGAGATTTCTAGCGGTTAGAATCAAAATCTTTCCTTGTTCGGTTCCAACCAAAATCTCTGATTTGTTGTTTTTGTTGAGATCAACAAAACTTGGAGCTAAGCTCTGCAGGAAGGAGTTAGTGTAAACCATCACTTTTTGTTCGAATTTGAATAGTGGTTGTTTAGAGGTTCCTTGGTTCAGGCATAGAGACAGCACCCCATCTTTCTCTCCCAGGAGCAGATCCGGTAGACCGTCAGAGTTTACATCAAAGAATGTTGGCTTCGCATTTCCGGAAACGTTGACGGATTGAAACGGTTCGGTAAAGGCGCGACTGAATGTTGCGTCTGATAGTTTGGTACAAATGGGGGGATTTGATGAGGAAGCATTGCTGTAAAAAGTTTGCAACTTCCCATCCTCCAATCCAACAACCAGATCTAGATTTCCGTCTCCATTCAAATCCACAAAACTTGGAGCAACTCTGCCACGTGGGAAAGTTAGCGATAGTAATGATCCGGGAATCTGATTGTTGGCAGTTTCTTCTGCCCAAGCACCCGCCCCTTTGTTTATGAACAGTCTTAATCTGCCTTGTGAAGTCCCGACCACAACGTCACGCGCGCCATCGCAATTGAGATCGACCGTGACCAGATTGATCCGTCTGACATATGAATGGCCGTCTATTTCGCCCAGGAGAGCTCCGAATTTATCTATCCTGTAAGAGTTCTCGCCAAGTGCGAACCAGGCCTTACGATAGTCTCTCGGAGTAACAAACGGATCCCCTTCCAACTCGAGGTTGACGACGCCGTCTTTTGTCGTCTTGTTGTCCATGAGATCGAAAGCCTCGCTTGCAAACTTGGTGTCGAATTGTTGGAGCTGACCATCAGCAAGAGAGGACTGCGAATCAACAACCATCATGATCTCATCATCAAGCTGCACGTATGCGCCTGGGATTAGGTATTCAGCAGTGGATGAATCCAACTCTTGAAAAGAAATGTTTGCAACGGTGTTTATCATGCACCATCGGGTTGGGAGACATTCGTTTTGACTCTGATTGCACGGATATGGCACAAAACTGCTGATTACTGCAGCAGCACTCAAACGAATAACATCAGCCTTTGCTCTCAGCGTTCTTGGATCTTGATTGCAGACAGTTGCTTGACATCGTTGAGACTTATCGCGGTAATTACTTATTAAGAGAATCCATTGATTGTTTAGAATCAAGGACTCCATGTTGCTTGCATCTCCACTGCTTGTAATCGCCAACACTTCGATATACCTGCCAGGCAGTACCCTGTACTGATCGCCGACAAGCACGATTGTCTGAGGGGTCCATTGCAGCATCCTGCATTTCCCCGAGTCTTCAAGTACCAAGAAATAGTCCTTGGGCCCGAATGACATAGCCTTCACTTGAATAGCACCAGAAGAAGGGATCTCCTGGTGGAGAGTAAAGGTTTTAGAGTCCGAGCTCCAGTCGTAAATGAGAGTGCTTTGGCTGTAAGAAGTTCCGTTGTAGTATTGAGCCACTGCTAAAAGAGCAGAAGTCACACTTGGGTCCGACTCGATGTTAATGATTTGAAGGTCGACCGGCCCGGCAACTGCGAGACTTTGTTGCATAAATAGTGCCGTACCGCTGATGCCATTCACGTTCCACTGCAAGAGTTCGTACACGTCGACAGAACCTGAAAGGCTGAGGCACTTCTTGTTATCTCGATAGTCCATCTGACAGTAACTTGCTACTATGACCCAATCACGACCGACAGCAGAGAACGCTTCGATATCTTTGACAAAAATCCCATTGATGTTCATGTAGCATGTCCTTGTATACTCGATTGGCTGTCCCTTCAGACTCATCGTTGGGCAGGTCAGAAAGCTCTTCTGAAAGTATTCAGACTGAGTGACATCAAAAGTCTGATTGCAAGCGTCACTCTGACACTCGTACGAACTTTTCCACGGCAAGGAAGTGAGCGATTCCGTTCCGTTGTTGATTTCAATAGAATAGGTGATATCCATCGATGGAGCAGTTGAAGAAGGGACAAAAAGATCGCCGGGATGAAGTAGGGAGCTTGGTTGGAGCAGCAAAGATACTGTTCTTGGATTGATCCATGAGCACGTGAAATTAGGCGCTACATAATCAGTGTTGTTCGAGACTTGGAGGAGTAGCAGATCGTGAAAACTTCTGCATGAATCGACGTAATTCATGTATCCTTGGTTTGTATCCTGCAAACTAAGTGAGTTACGAATTAATCTGATTGCAATTACCTTATCAAATGTGAACTCAATACTGAGATAGTCCTTGCCAAATGATACCCCTAGAAGAGAAGGTGGGGAAGGCTTGACAACAAATGGAAAAGAAAGCTGTGTGACGTCATTTCCGTCCGAATATTTTCCAATGTAAGTAAAGAAAAGCTGATACCCTGCTCCTGGGCAGCTCACTCTCAGTGACGGAAAGGTGGCTTTACCGTTAACAAGGTTTGATGTCAAGTTGCCAGAGATTTCTGAACCAATGTTGTCTATGCCAGGGCTCAACGTGACATTCGCGTATCCAAGATTCGTCCGATTGGGATTGAAATATTTGTCAGACATTTCAAAGAAACTCGCTCGGTTGGTGCAGTTGAAGCTGTTGTCGATCGGATTGCTGCCTTCCATGCAACTGGATGAGAGGAAAGAAGATACTTCGCTGGATAGCGGGAGGGTGATGTCTTGTTGCACAACAAACGATGATATAACCGGTGACAGCACGTGCAGGTGCTGAACGTCTCCTGACACAACCTTGAACGGTTGGCTCAATCCAGGTGATTCAGGCACCACATAAGAGAATGATGGATTGTGATAAACGGGATAGCTGTACTTCCAGCAAAACGTTGGGCAGCTAGACTTAGTATCGTAGATGTTCACATCTAAAAGAACGTTTGTGCCTGGCAATAGGGCTTTCACCACCGATGCAGTGTCGTTCTGGCACAATGCTTTGCATATGCTGGCATTGGGATGGACGTTTCCGCTGGTGTCTTCCCATCTCAAGCTCTGAGAGGCTTGATACCTTCCCCACGTGGTGTCTTGAATAAAACTGATTGGAGGATTTCTCGCAGTTCGCAAGTCCCACTGGATATCGCGGAGCTGAGACTGAGAAATTTGCTGAGACGCATCTTGGAGACCTGAGGGGCTGATACACCTGTAGCGATATCCCTTCCTCGGTTTTCTGCAAATGATCTTGCTGAAGATAACGCGGCCTTGCCTGGTGTAATTCATGGGAAGGCCCATTGGCAAAGATCGGGAGGAGCATGCCTCGCAAATATCGTAGTTTTCGTTGCGATTCGGAGGCAGTAACTTCACTAAGCAGGCACAATTGGTTCCATCCGCAAGACAAATCTTACGATCAGGGCAATCAAATGCTCCTCTTAGTTGTGCATTTCCAACAGTGATGCTTTCATTGACAAATTCGTAATATTGCTTCCAGTAAGTCAGATTGTGTGACACGAAATATCTTTCCCCTGTCAAGCAGCCACGACAAAATCTTCGTTCCTGTATACAAGAATGAATGGAAAGGCACAAGGAAAGAGAGCACTCACTTGTGTCGAGGGGCACCATTCTATAGAAACGGTTCGGTCTCGAGTGACTATGTTTTCATTCTGTAGAACCTGCGAGGGACAACCTGCTGTTGGTTGCCCGATTGGCGAACAACCGTCGATGTCGTCCGAAGATATGTCTGAATATTTGGGATTTTGAGTGAACTTGAGGTCGATGAAGTTTCCAGGCGCATTTTCTGCGGTTCCCACATATGGCGGCCATACCTTGTACTTTCTGGTTGCAGCTAGAAAGCATTTATGTGATCATTCACTTTCAATCATTAGAGCAACTCTTACCTTCCAAGTCAAACTCATCGATGTCACTGTGAGCACAAAAGGAGTCAACTACCTTCAATTTGAGATATTGAAAGCACCTGTCTCGGATCACAAGTCCCACACGGCGGTCTTCATCTGGTACAAGATTGCCATAGAAATCTGTGATCATGCAGCTGGGGTAAGGAACAATCTCCTCTCCAGCTCTGACGTTGTTGTACTGCCAGGATTCCTGTATTGTTTGGAAATCGTTAACAAGATAATATCCTGTGCTTGATCTGATTGAGATGATTAATTCATCCATTCGGGATGTATCCACTACAAGCTTTCTCCCTTCAACTGTTCGAGAATGGGTTACAAGACAAGACATTCACATTCCAATCAAGTACCATTTTGCTTCAATCGGAATTCTGCTGATGAATCTGGTTGCAGACTCAAGTCTATCGATGGATAAGCAAGACGTGTTCGAAAGTGATGTTGCCCCGTTCTCTTTATCTGCACATCTGCAAAGTTGTGCTGACCTCTGACCGATATGTTGTTTATAGTACCACAAAGAAAAGTACAACCTTGTTTACAATTGTACGAGCAGGCTTGACCCCAAGGACTGGGATCCTGGTAGGAGGTAGGTCGGATTGCATTACTGTAATCACAGCGAAACGGACATCTAGGACCTGGACAAATATCGCCATCTGTATCGGGACAACTGTTGCAAGGTAATACTTGTGAAGAATTCATGCAATCGGACGAAAATTTGTGGATTTCAAGATGTTCAAGAAAGATGTATGCTGTTCCCCTCAACTGGACATTCTCGAAGGCATCGAGGAATGCTACATTCATATCAGGAACAAGCCCTGCTCGGAGCGTTGAACCATTCGCTGGATTCAGAAAGATGGCTTTCGACGGCACCCCGGCATATATTGAGAACTTCTTTGATTCTACCCAGATGCCATGAGTACTGAAATTCAAGCTCATGTTCGTTCCAGCTTCCAAGACCTGGAGGTCTGTGAATGTCGCCCTGCCGTAGACGATCGGAACTTTTGTCTGCCCTGTCAAGGAGGAGAGACGAGGAAGGTCTCGCGCGACTTTCGAGTTCGCCAATCTGCATGCCCGGCCTAAGAACCCCGGATCACAGGTAAGGAGGGGGTGACAAGAGTCTTGAGATACGATCTGATACTCCATGTTTGCTGTCAGTGCATCCCAGTTGAGGTTTATGATTCCAGCGCCATAACCAACATTACACATGCACCTGCTGGTAGCCTGAAAGAATTCCTCTCTGCTCAAGACATTGTCAGGAATGACAATTCCTTCGTCACTCAATTGTCCTCCCAGATCAAAACGCTGAAATATTGAGAGAACAGTCGCCATGTCCACTTGCACCGAAAACTCGTTTTGTAACAGCAGGTTGAATTCGTTCACGTCAATCGTGTTGACGCCATCGACAAAGTCATTTGGATTGAACTGAAATACATTGGTGATAGCCATGGAATATTTCAACCAAATCCCTTGGATCTTGTCGGACGGCAAAGATAGAGTCTTTGTAGCAGGAGGACAACGCGGATATCTACTTCCTATCAATGAAACAGAAACGAAGCCGGAGCTGTACGCTGCAACATTGGTTTCCGAATCCAACAGCAGGATCTGAACACTTCTTGAAGGTGCATTACTTCCAATCATTGTATCCTGAGGATGTTGAGTGATGTTGATTTGTGCTATAGGGCTGTAAACGTTAAAGCGAGGCGACTGCACCGTCATGAAGACTTGATCAGAGCCAGCAACTAAAAGCTCGAATACCAAGGAAATTCCTTGTGAAACTCGTGATATGGCAAGGTCAGTAAAATGAGCTGTTCCATTCATAAATGTTACGGTACGATTTCCTGACAACCAGCCACTCACGTTAAAATTGTTTGAAATCAATGAGGCTTGAATATGATGACCGTTGAATTGATAAATCAATTCATCCATTGCGTTGAAGATTGAAATCTTTGGTTGTTGCACGAGAGGATCTCCGACTGCGGCATCTTCGAAGCCGACGCACTCCTTTCTCTCCTCGATCCATTTACATCCGGCTTGGCACGTGGATGAATCAGAGAAATTAGAGCACAGCGTCCATGCATATGGAGAGAATCCAAGGTATGCTCCTGTGGGTAAAACTTGGAAGGGATCCGAGAAAAGCGGCTTTTGCATCATGTGCTTCAGAGCTTCTGGAATACTGAAGATTCCTGTGAACTTCGATGAGTTTACGAGATCTCCGATATCATACCGAAGTCTGTACAGTCCAGGGTTCGCGCTGACTAGGATCCCTGGGAAAATTGCTTTGCCGTGCATTGTCAAGGACTGCGACATACCGAGCACTTTTTCACATTGTTTCTGAGTCTGTGTAGGAGATTGGAATGTGCTCTCCGAAACCACTGAGAGGAGGACAAGATAATCTACGTCGAAAATCTCATTTTCAAAGTAATCCAGGAGGATCACGGCAGGAACGATCGGCATGGTTTCACCTTGGAGGCATGTAGCGGGTTGCACTAACGCCTTCAATGCAAAAGCATATGGCGAGGAGACGACAGTGAAGTAATTGCTGTATCCAGTGAGAGCTGCGACATCGAATCTAAGTCTGACATTTGCGATAGAAGCAATCACATATATGTCTGGGAAATCAACCAGTGGCGAGGCAATAGAAAGATTGGAAACCCCCTTGAGCAAAAACTTCGACGTATTGAAAGTGTTGATTTGAAAGGATGAACCTTCAATCGTTCTTGCTGATGATACATCAAGGCCAGCCGTCACAAATGAAGATATGCCGGATGAAACTTGGTTCTTGAAACGATCTACAATCACAATCCTCGGTGTTCGAAACTCTTTGAATGCCACGCCTGCTGTCACTCGAGGCAAGACAGACGGCTGCACCACGCTGATGATTTCCGAGGGTACGCCGGCAATGATTTGAAATTTTTGCGATTCTATGATCCATCGAACATTTGAGTTTAAGACTGCAAACATGAAAGTATATCCTGACTTAGCAAGATCAATAGCAATGCAATCAAACGCTGCAACACCTTCACTTGAAGTTATCGTGATCGACCCCACGCTCACGTCCTGACTTCCTGATCGAATCAATTGACCGCAAAGCGTTGAAGGTCGTTCTAAGCTTGTGGGTAGTTGAAATTCACTGAGATAATTCCAACAACTTATCCCAGCGGGAACTGGATTCTGGCCAATGTTTGCTTCAATTGTCAGAGATGTGTTGGTATGTAAATTCCCATAACGATCACTGAGGGTCAAGACTGTCGCAGGTCGCATGCCGATTCCAGCAGTACCTGAAACTGGCTGTTGAAAGATGGAAAGACTATATAACCCGGCATCTTTGACAGATATTGACTGCTTGGAAGCCACGTCAAAACGATTCTTCCCATAAATATCTGTCTCGAATCTTATAGAAAAGATTCCAGAAGTTGTAATCCGGAGGTTTGTGAAGGTGGCGGTGCCATTCCACATAAAAGTTTCCGTATCTCCTTCTATGGCAACTCCTTGCTTACTTTCACACAATTTGGAATATTTTGAGCACTGAGTGACATTCTGGAAGAAGATCCGAGCATAACGACCGGAATACCTGTAAAGGCCCTCGCTCACTAGCGACACTCGCACGTTGGGAAGAATAGCTCCAGCTGTGGCTGAGGACGGAATCACCGACGCGATTGAAAACACTGTCTGTCCTGCTTTCGGCAGGTAGACTTGGGTCACCACCCCTGTGTTTGCAAAGTCAGCGGGGCAAGAGAAAGTCTGCCCTATTTCATTCGACACGACGAAGGTGAAGGAGGTTGAAACATAGTCAACTACTGCCAGTCCATCTCGTGATACCGTGATGCTACTGAAGTTAGCATACCCTTGCTGCGACCTTACTTGAGTTGTTCCGAGAAGTATTCCTTGGTCGCTCGGGATGGTCGCAGTCACTTTCAACTTTGACCGAACTGCTACGCGAGAACTTTGATCATACACGGCTATGATGGGAAACGGATTGAGGATATCAAAAACAACGAATTTGGTTGGCCAAACAACAACTTTACAAGAAATCGCTGGGCTGGATATCTCGAACGAAGAGGAAAAAACAACTGCATATGATATATTCGAAACAGATTCTCCTCTCCACACTGATTCCAACGAGATATTTGACGCGTTCATCTCACCAATGGCAGCAAACCTCAACGCATATGTTCCAGGAGGGCCTGAAACCCCCAGCGAAAGAGAAGTGAGGCCAGTTGACAAGTTCTTAGTGGTCTCTCCAAACATATAGGATCCTGGGGCTGATTGATTTATTGATGCATAAAGCCAGACAGGCTCCAGGATCAAATTGCCGAATTTATCGAGCACGACGACATTGATGTTGAACTTCTCATTGATTATAGCATCCGGTGGCACGTATCCCGACTTGGTAAACATGTCAAAGGAAATGGTATCGGGCGAAAGCAACTTTATGTCCGAAACAGGTCCTGCAACGATCTTGATAGGAGCTGTGACAGTGTTCAACAAGCAAGAATCAGCAACACACAATCGAAGGCTCAGATTTCCAGAAAGATGGTAAGACAAGCCAGATAGAACACCAACCCCACGAGATGTGACAATGCTGTTCACTCCTAATATCCTCCCGAAAAACGTGAGTGCTGCACCATCCAAGTCCTCCTGGGGTACACAAATATCGTAAGCAAGGTAACATGAAAACTTCTTTGAGCATGTGGTGCCGTACATCGACTGACACGTTGACGTCTGCTGATAGTAAGTATACCCCACACATCGCTGTGTTTGGTAACAAGTAGCCTCACAGATCGCCTTGCTTCCTGCAGCATCAGAATTGCTACAAAAGATGTTGTCAGCATTGGAGCATACTTGACCTTGACATCGGTAGCCGCTTGCCTGCTGAACAGGGCTCGATTGAATCTGAGTACGAAGACTCACTGTTGAAAGGACCAAATTATCGTAGAGGTCCCGCAGCTCAATCACGATGGTTCCCAACGGCTCTCCCGCCACTGAGGCGAAAGGTTGAGAGACAATTGCAAGTCGATCCACCTTGTTTGCAGACTTGATCACAAATGGTTTCGAGAAAGCCTTGATAGACAAGTCCGAGACAGCATACAACGCAAACCTGTACGTTGAAAAGTTCTGAAGAGTCTCAAACCCAATGCTGTCAACACACCACGGTGCCAGTTCCGAACGATGGCAATTAGAGTATGCTCCATTTTTCCTGAGCTGTTCCCCGCTTGCACGAAAGATGGATAGTCCGGAATATGTCACAACTCCACTCTGAGGTACGCTTGTCCAGTTTGTGTTACAGAACCCAACGCCACACACCGCACTTTCACATGGAAGTGAAGTTTGGCTTGGGTTGGGCGACATGGATTGACACAGATGCGCAAAAGGAGAGACACATGCTTGTCCGTTAATCACATTGTTTCGACAAACACCGATCTCGAACTCCTCGTCTTCGAATGAAGAGCATTCACCCGTCATGTTGCAATATCTGCTTTGAAGTTTCAGGGCTATTTCATCCTGGCTCAGCTTCAGTTTGTTTCCAAACTTGTCCTGAAGCTCTGCAGTGACTGAAATAGCACTTCCTGCCGAAACCTGAGAGCTGAAAACATCCGGTTGCGATCCTGCAAAGGAAATGTTGCTCAACGGAAGAGTCATCGCAAACTCATTGGACAACACGGTGATACAATTTGACAGCTGAGGAAGGAGCTGGGACATATCTGATCCTCTGACTCTAGGCTCCGAACATTTGCAGGGCTGTGAAGTGTTTGAGTTGCAAGCATCGCATCCTGATCTAGCCTCCAAAAAGAGATGTTGAGCAGAAATCTGGGCGTTTGTGCCCATTCCTTGAACCTGGATCTGACCATCAACAAGTGGCAAGGCGATGGAACAAACTTCAAAAGAACTTGAACTTGACGAGGTGGCAGTCAAATTATGAAGATCACAAGTTGGTTGTGGTAGACTAGCAACGTTACCTACGAGCTTGACATTCATTCCAACATTGTTAAACAAGATGAGCTTGCTCAATGAAAGACTCACTGAGACTTCTTTGCAAGTTGTGTTGAGGATCGGATTGTCAAACTCATCTGTTACTGCAATCAGAGGTTGAATCGGTAGGGGCAATCCAACGAGAGAAAGGGATTGAAGTTGCTGCTTGAAGTAAATCTTCTTTCTCACATTATGCACAACCATAACATCGATTTCTGTGAAGATCTCCTGTGTTGAGCTTGCATTTCCAAGATCTATTACTCCCAGAAGCTCTAATCGTAGCTTGTAAAGTCCACTTTTGGTCAAAGACATGTTTCCCATTGATCCCAGTCCTCCCACTGTTCGATACAACGTCTCACCTCGTAGGAAACGAGAGTTCACTGGCATTCCTGATTCTGTGAAGGATACGTTTACAAAGAAATCTTGATTGCCAACCAGATTTCCGAAGGCATCCTGCAAAATAGCAACGCAGCGATGGTTTTGATTGAAAATTTTGCTTTCATTCAGAAATATTCGATATGTGGTTCCCGGTGCTGGCATTATGCTGGCCAATGAGCTCGGAGAGTCCAGCGGGCGAGTCCAGGACACCTTCGCTGTGTGGTTCTCAACATCAAACGAGGAGATGATGCCGGACAAGCCACATCCCAACGACCACGAGCACCTCTGGCTTGTAGTGGGAGGTACCTGATACCCCTCCCTCCATAACTGTATCGTTGATCCAACATAGAAATTAACGTCTCGCGATCGCACGCCGGTACGAGGGTCCCCCTCGATGTCTATCTCTGTATAGATTCCTTCTCTTCCCCCGAACGTCTCCTTGCAGACTGAGCTGCACTGCGTGAGGTCTAGCGAAGACTTGAAGCTGTAGTTACCATCTGATCCCAACTTGCAATCACAACTGAAAATCACTCGCTTGACTCTGTCGATTTCCTCCCATGCTGAACCGCTTGCACCACAGATAGAATCTCCTGCAGCCACAAGGATGTATGCTGGCTGTATTGCCACCTTGTTAACTCTACAATTTGCAACATCGAACGAGTTGCTGAGCAATGTCGTCTCGTTGTTCGAAAGCTTGAAACCAAGTTTGTATCCGCTGCCAGCTTGAGTGAGCATGATAGCAGATACGTTGCTGCTTCCAAAGGCTATCAACGTCGATGTTGTGTTGAATTCAAAGTTGGCGCCCTTATCGAACGTGATGCTGCCGTACTCAAAAGCAACAACCTCGTCAGTGATGAGAGAGGTCTTAATGGATAAGGCCTCTTGTAGCTCCTGAATGGAGTTACCAAATTGATCGACGATCTGCAAGACGGGTTGTCGAGATAAAGCTTCTCCCGCCGTTCCGTTCCCAGGCTGAACGATCAACTCGATCCGGGAAGGATTGTTTGCCTTAACATAGAACCCAAATGGACAATCGGCATACACAATCTTTCCTTGGTACCCACAAGTCCCGTCGTCAAAGCATTGATAACTGCGAGCTAAGATACGGAGAAAGAACTTTCTGTTCGAAAGAGTCCGGTCGCTGCTTGCTATCACATTGGTTGACGCTATTGACAGAGTTGCAAACTCTGCCGTACCATCTGCCTCCAGAAAGGGGGTCGAACCATTAAAGATAGTGTAACCGTTGTATGGGAAACAGCCCGTCTGCTTCACGAAGACATTGTCGGTACAGATAATATTGGATAGGCCATACAAGGAAGGTTTCATGTAGATTTCAGCAAAAGCCTTATTCCCATTGGTAACTGCAACTTCATTCTGAGTATCATACACTGCGAGCACTTTTAGCTGGGGACTGAGGGGGGTCCCTGCAACAAGAATCGAGCCTTCTTCTGGACAACTTCTCAGGTCAATCTCGATCCTGCCAATCACGAAATCAGACAACAACAACAACAACAACAACAACAACAACAGCAGCAGCAGCAGCAGCAGCAACAGAGCAAACAATCACCTTTGATAGTCAGACGAGAGCACGCGGAACTTGACACTGAAAATTCGCGGCTGGGTGCCAGAAACCACATATGGAGTAGAACAAGCAAGATCCGAGAATCTGGTGACCATCAAGTAAATGTCTGCCACTGGCCTGTTCAACTGCAGCTCGGGAAAGGCCAACGTGCCAGGATTGGACTGGTTGATTGGTTTGCAGCAGCCTCCGTTGGCTGCGAGGCAAGTCGAAGGAAGCTGAGGGAAGTTGATTGGAGTGCACTGACAGTTTAAAGGATTCGGATTTTGACATTCTAAGCATTGTGAAATTTGAACCAGAATAGAGCCTTTGGTTTCAAGCACTCCCGACGAGTCTCGCAATCTCAAGATGGGGCCGCAGCCAAGGGACGAAGAGTCTCTTGGACTTATGCCGTAGGCACATTGAGACGGCAATTTGTCAAATGGCCTAGAAGCCACAACCGATGACGGTGGTTGGACAAGGAAAACAAACTCGTTGTAAGGCCCCGGAGCAACGAAGAAGTAGGAGCTCGTGACTTGCCTTGTTACGTTCCAGACTGCTTCGAAGATGATTCTTGCACCAGGAGAAGCAAGCACAGAGTTCTGAACCAGCAGATTGGCGAAGCTTACCACTCCATTGACTGATAAAAGCGTTGTGTTGCCAGCAAGCGTTGTATAGTTCACAGCGGGGTCCAAAGTCGCTACAACTGTGACAGCACAAGGAGCCAGTCGCCCTTGAGAGTCAACGAACCTGAGGGAGACAGCTATAGGAAGGTTCGCGAATGACGGGTTCGCGGGCTGCTGAACGATAGTGATAGCGTCGAAAGATCTCACAGCAAAGGAGTTTGACGAAACCTGCAAGTCAGTCCCGTTCAAGGTGAAGACCAGCTTATAATCTTCTGACACCGAGCCCAACACGCTTAGGTCTGTGAACTTGACAGTTGCGTCGGATTGAGGGGTGACTGTTGACGTTCCTGTTAAAACACTTCCTGCAAAACCAGAGAGCGAAGCTGAGATTTCATACATGACTGATCCGTTAGAGGAGTAGTGAGTCAGTAAGTTTCCAAACTGATCGTACATGTTCAAAACGGGCTGGATGTCCATCGGGTATCCAGACACCATGTTGCCTGGTTGAAGCACAATAACCAACGAGCTCGTTGCGGCAGGTTCAACAGTGAAAGACGTCGAAACCATCACGTCCTCCAAGCCATAGATGTATCCTGTGGATCCTTTCACGTAAAACTTCAGCTGATATGTCCCTGCCTTGTCTATCCTCAGGTCGCTAAACTTGGCAACCCCTCCAGATCCAGCAGCAATCACAACGCCTGGGTCAGCGCCCGCCGTTCCCTGAAGCACCACATTGGAGACCGAAAGAGTCGCTGAAAGCTGTCCGGCCCAGGTACCTGCCACCAAAGCATCACTCGAGACGAGGTTGTCAAACAGCAAATCGCAATGACCTTTGACGTTGAAGTCAAAATCAACCACGTGGATCTCGGGCTGCTGGCTCAAGACCTGACCTGCTACCGACGTGCCGGGCTGTGTCGCGATAACAAGATGAATCACGTCTACAGCTTCAACGTTGAAGACGTTTGAGTATGCTATCAGATCATTGGTGTATGGCACAGGAGCTGAAACAAGAAATTTCAACTTCTGGTATGCCATCGGCCTTGTAACTTTAAGATCTGTAAATGTCGCTAGACCGTTGGAAGCCGATTGAATTGTTGCTCCAACAATGTCGGTCAAGGAGTCAGGAAATAGAGAAACAGAAACGTTGGCAACAGACAGCAAAAGCTGCAGCCCATTCGCCCCCAGAATCGAGACGGTGATAGGGCCCAGCGGTTGACCACTTAGAACTCTTGGCAAGGTGCTTATCGAAGGCGTCATGTTGCGATAAGTTCCAATCATTTCGTTCACTTTCAATGCAGTTTTCTGGAGGACAAGAAAGTTTGAACTGAAACCTTGCACAATCCCGTTGCTATTCGCCCGGTCGTAACACGAAGTTTGGACGTCAGCCAAGCTCCAACCACTTGGACATCCATTCTGCTTCAGGGCTTCGTACCTACAGAACGAAAATTTCAACCTAAAAGTTCCTGCCACATTAACCCTCAGCTCTGTGAAAGTTAAGATTTGATTTGCTTTGTATTCTTGTCGCCCAAGAAATATCGGGAGATTTCCAGTGCTGATATAATCCAGGCTCACATCCACGTGTATCGGGCAAGAAAAATTCAATCCATTCAAATCTAGAACAAGAACTGAAGGAGGGTTCAGGATGGTTTCGTACTGCACACTTGTACTGGGATTTGAAACAATCTTGAGTGAATCAGCGTATCCACTCACAACATCAAACACATTTGATGCCCCAACCAAGGGGCTCGTGACTGGACCAGTGGAAATTGGAGTAACCAAAACACTGACAAAGTACTTGCCAAGGGTGCTCGGAACTTTGGTTGCTGCAAGCTTGAAATCCCCAGCAAGTTGGCGTGCATTTGGCAGTGGCTGATTGTAACCATTCGTCTCTCCCGTCAAGTTGAAAGCGATGTCAAACGTCTGATTGAATGCTCCGATCTTGTTTTTGAATACGTCGACAAAGGAGAGTGTGACTGCGGAAAGGTCTTGAGAGGCGATCGTGACTGGGATGACCTGATCAAATCTGATCGTTGAGATGTCGCCAACCACCACGGAAAAGGGCTGGGAGAGGACAGCGGGCAGTTGAACTCCAGCAAGGGAGCTGACCTGGATACGGATACGAGCATTGGAAGCAGGAGCGCGGAAGGGAGACAGGAAATCCGATGAGTTCTGAGGAATATTGACGCGCAAAAGCCCGTCAATGGCTGTCATGACCGTTGGTATCGAGGAAATCACCAGACCATCATAGGACAAGACAACATTGTAAGTGGCAGAAGCTTGTGCGCCTTGGATCACATTCCCGTACTGATCACTCAGGGCGATAATGCAAGAAAGGTTCCCACCGACAGTCAACACGCCAAGGGTGGGACACTCAGCAGCAGTGACCTTCTGCAGGTTGAGAGGCCGGACAGAGAATGGCCTTGTTGAGGCTGGGGTAATCTTGCACCACGAACTTGTCAGGCTGGAACAAGACTGATCGAGAAAGGAGGACGTGAAGTTGCTGCAGTTGGTCGAAGAAGAGGGACAGATTTGCAGTTGATAGTTCACCCCTGCTCCTTTCATGTTCACAGCCACTCGTGCTTTTCCGGAGTTGAAAGAAAGCTTTTGCGCCTGTACGGCTGTTGAGCCACAAACTTCAGGCAGAGAAAGGCCTGACACGGGCTTGAAATCGTCTGGAGTTGAAGACAAGCAACTCGTACTTGGGCTGCTACACACTAAGAAGCTAGCAAGGTCATACTTTCTACAAGACGGATTCGACACAAGCAAAACTGTCACCCCATCGGAGAAATCAACGATCGGGTTGTTTTGAGAGTCCAGGATCTGCACATCGACGTAAGCACTTGTTCCTGCATCGAAGTCCACAAGGAACTGATTTGTTTGGAGGTTGATCAGGGAGAAGTTTTTAGACGCCGGATTTATGACTACGACGCTATGCGGCTGATTCGGAATCACTTGGATATCATCACCTCGAGCAAAAAGAGAAAAGTTGCACGTACTGTCTGGAACGATCTGCGCTGTTATAGAGTAAGGATAGCCGACCTTTTGAAGTGTGAGATTGAAGAACGCAAGACCGTTGGTTGTGTTCACTGTCACAACCTTCTCGTCAAGCTGGGCAGTAGACGTGACTTGAATCAGCAGCTTTATTGGCTGAAATCTCCTGGACAAACACTCGTTGCTGGCGAGTGAACAATTCTCGGGGAGAAACATTCGGTTGCCGTACTTGTCTTGCACTTCCAGCTCATACCTGAATGAAATTCCCGCTACCAACGTCCGGCGATTCGACACCTTGACTGGCTGGCTGATGAAACTAATGGCTGCAATCTCACCGGGGGCAACGGAAAACGATTCACTGAGAATCTCTTCCAGTCCAGATGGCGAGTAACTCAAAACCAAACCAAACTTATATCTGAAGGCTGATTTGCCGACAAAGATGCTATCAAACGTGGCGATGCCATTGACAGCTCCAACAGAACGAGGCTGGAACAAGCAATCTGAAGTGCATTCATAAATTCCACTAGTATTGTACTTGTAAAGCTTGACAGTAATCATCGTTCCGTTTTCAAATACATCATTTTTGAACCTATCCTTCACTTGCACCCGTACAGTCATGGAATCATCAGCAATGACCGAGCAAGCAGGCGGTTGTTGTAGGATGCTCAGAAGCCTTGGACTTGCAGCACTCACATAAAACCTGCTGCTGTTCAATGTCGCATATTGTACCGCAAACGTCAGGCGTAGATAGCCAGAACGTGTCAGATTGAGCTGAGAGAACAAAGCTATCCCTTGTTGAACCTTTTCTGTTGTTCTTCCTTCTAAACCGCAAGAGGGAGCGGCACACAATTCCTCATATCTCGCCTCAACAGTCATGTCCACGTTAGCAACCAACAGACAGCACGTCTGCGGACACTGCGAGCAGAGTTGAACTTGCAGCGGAGGTGATAGAAAATTTCCTGCAACACTCGTGCCTGGCTGGTTGACAACATAAAGGTGATCTATGACTAGCACACTTATATTTGACAAGGTCAATTTCACCACATTTTCGCACATGTAATAGAAGACGACATTCCAACTCGATCCAGCGGCCGAAAATCTCAGGTTGATGATAGATTGCCCAGTTGTGAAGTTGACAAGCTTAACACTTTTCTGCTGATCGTTCAAATCTACAGCAGTCAAGTTGAAGATCTCTCGATTGTTCTCGAAGAGCTTGACACAGACCTGTGCCTGAGAGTCTACGACAACATTTCCATACTTGTCCTCGGCCAAGATTGCAACTTGAGATATCGCTCCCTTCACGAACGTTGAAGGAGGTGTTTCACGGAATGCAATGTTGAAAAATTGATCGCTCTGAATCCTGAAGGAGGAGGAGTGGGCAGAGAGTTCTAGGTAGCACTTTCCAGCAGTTACGGTACAATTCTCCATGCAAGACATCTCTTTGCACTCAACCTGAGTCGTGAAAACAAATCGAACATCAGGAACGACACAGCCATCAGCACCGCAGCTGCTTCCAGTCTTGTTCATCATCAGGTCGCTGAAGACACTGCTGCCCTGCTTAGCGTAAGGCTCAATGGTGCCGTACAAGGGGATTTGCTGGGCTGGGAGGCCTGTTATGTGAGCTGCGACACGAATGCGACCGGTGAAGTTGAGAACTTGGTTGCCGTAGTGATCTGTCACAACGGTTGTCAACGGATCTAAAGTGCGACCGGCGACTGGGCTGATCGTAGAGTTCAAAACATGCAGTCGGGAAGGCTGACCGTAAGTGATCTTGAAGACACTTGAGATGATCGTGAACGAGCTCTGACTGAACTTCAGACGGTAGGCGCCCGCCGCGTCCACTGCGAGCTGGTTGAAAGTGACAGGACCATTGGAGAAGATGTTGGAGGTTCCCAACAAGTGAGGAATGACGGGTCTGATCACTGAAGCGCCACTTGCCAACACGGAGACTCGATCAGCAGGCAGCAGAGTCTCGACTGTCGGCTGCCCTTCTAGGGATGTCAACAGGCTTGCTTCGAAGAGATATCCCAAGGAGATGTTTGTATCACTGCGACGAGAACAGTTGAATGCATTTGTCTGGTTCTGGTAGATCAAGACACAACATTGCGTGAGGTCTTGGTCTTGCCTCTCTATCACCGTCACAGGAGCCATGCCGCAAGCTGAACTCATGCACTTCAACTCCAGGGTGAAGGAATCGCAGGCGGACACAAACCCGAACAAGTTCAGAGCCGTCGGGATCGGTTCGATTCGGTTTCCGTACTTGTCGATCAAGGCAACTCGAGGAGGAGGCTGAAAGAAGATCTCTGAGACAGAATTCTCGGGCTGTTGTGTGACTTCAACACTTGCGGGCTCAGAGTGAAAGACAGAAAAGGGAAGGCTTGAAGTGGTGCCAGTGGCGCAAAGCTGGCCTTGACATGAACTAAAATTCAGTAAGACACGCTGATCAAACGTCGAGTTCAAAATCAAGAATTTGAACTCTGCATATCCGTTGATTGCACGCTGGGTTGTACATGGGGGCGAAGAACATACGATGTATCGCAATGACTGCATAGTCAGCTGCACGAGTGAAGTGTTGTCGTCGGGTACCAGAAAATTGTTCCTGTCAAACAGTCCAGCTACCACTCGGAGATGCGACCCAGCCTGCACAGCATACGGTTGTGAGAGGACGAATATCCTTGAAGATGGCTCAGTCTTCACTTCGAATGAGGACGACACATTCTTGACGACTTCATCGTAGTAGAAGGTGAGCTTAATCGAGGTAAAGGCTGTGTTGATCTGTAAACTAGTGAAGGTTGCATAGCCATTCACAGTGACAGCTGACAAGTTTCCAGACAGACAGTTGCATGCCTTGATCCTTCCTTGTACAAACTTGCCATTTTCAATCATGCCAGCACTGAATGGCAAACACAAGTCACTTGCACAATCATCCGAGCTTGAAATTCGAACTGAAAGATTCACTGCACTGAGGCTATTGCCGGATTTGTCAACAAGAATGATTCTTGGCTGCAGCCTCAGAGGCTGACCAACTTTTTCAATCGTAGGATTTCTACATGCAAGACAGTTGGTCTGGAGCAAGGCTGGAGCTGCAGTCTCTGGAAGGACCTGAAACATGTTGCTGTTGATGACACTGGAGCCACAAGAAAATAGCCAAGGAGCAACCGGATCGACCGCACAGAGGGGATATCCAAAGGAAAAGTAGTAGCGACCAGCGCGATTGACTTTCAGATCCGTACAACGAGCAACTCCGTTTTCTCCGTTACAGATCATCCTGTATGCACACCCAGGACGCTGAGCCAACCCAGTGTAGTTGACGTTCTTTATCAGGGTCTTATCTTTGGAGAAGTTAGCGAACATCGCCCCGGAATAACCAAGTTGACTAGGGCACCTCCCGTCACACAGCACTCCATTGATTTCACAAGCACCCAGACATGGGGCATTGCTAGAGGTGTCCAAACATTGCGAGGCATCTCCATTATCATAGAACAGCCTCGCCTCAAGCTGAAAACGAGGCAGGTGCGCCATGTACAGGAAATCTGACGTATACAAGGCAACCATGACAGGTTGAGACTTCACATCCAAGATGTTCCTGAAAAGCAAGTCAGTGCAACGCAGATTATCACACGTCTTACCTGGAGGCGATGGTATCGCTCGGTTGGGACTGGATCCTAAGAGCTCTTATGGTGTACGTGTTGAATGGCTGTGATACTGACAAGACTTTTCGCCCATGAACAAATTCAGCAGCGGGGCTACAAATAAAAGCGGAGCCAATCACTTCGCAGGCGCTCAGATTAGTCGCGACGGCTTCAAGCGCGAGGCCAAAATCATTTTCTCGACTTGGATCCAGAACGATTGACAGGTCTGTGAAGTAAATGAACCCCTGATTTGTATTGAATCTTGGAGAGTAATCGGTGGTACATCTTGCACAGGAGACATATGTGTACGGATCAATATTTGAACCTTGTAGAAATCCTGAAACTCTTTTGGAATGTACACGAAGTGTCAGAGTGTATGGCAACAGAACTGTATTGGCAAACTGATCGCTAATCATCACAGCGGGCTGCGGATTCATTGCCTCTTTGTTGGAGTTGTTAACAGGCTGTTGTACGTATGCTATCATTGATATAGGTCCATGCACCACATTGAATGTGGGGGTGTTTTCAAGGAACAAAGCGGTCTTCAACTCTAGCCAATATGTACCAACTTTTGTCACTGTAAGGTCAGTGAATGATGCAAACCCGTTGTTGGTAACAACAACTTTGTTCCCCACAAGAAGGTTTGAAACAGAACCTCCTCCTCTTAAAGTACAAGTGACAGGCTCATTCTGCAAGTTGACTTGATTGCCGTAGAAATCTACAAATTTGACTGCTGGCTGGTTCGCAAAAGGAAATCCTGCAGTTGCACCGCGAGGAGGATTGTTTGCATCCGTCCACGCTTCACTCCTGGGGTAATTGGCAACGACCATCTTGTCCAAGATGTTTTCAACGATCTGAAAACTGGATGTGGAGATGGGTCCTACAGTTTGATTCCCTTTCGTGGCCAAGAATCTGATTCGAACCCCACTAGCCTTTATCTCAAAGAGTAGATTCGGGAAATAGGCAACACCCTGCCAAGTATGAGCCTGAGGTGAATTCGGAGTATTGGTGAAGTCATTTGCATTGAGTTGTAGATCTGAAGTCCATTCCCTGTAATTGATACAGCTGCTATCCGTGCATTGAAAAATTGCTGGACTCACCCCAGTCTCAGAAAAGACAGCCGTCGTTGATAGTTTGATGTTCCAACCTTCGCTAAGTATGGAATTGCTGTACGCATCCACCAAGTTGATGGTGGGTATCGAAGTTAGTCCTTTCCCCGCAACAGTGGCCGGTTGTACGTCATGAAGAAGCAACAGACGATCTGCACTTGCAGCAACAACTGAAAACTGTGTGATGGAGCTCATCATCCCACCAGATGCAAACATCATGTGAAAATTTGCTGCAGCACCGAAGAATTTCAGATCCGTGAACGTTGCTTGTCCTTCAACCACTGAAAGAAAGGTAGTCCCTTGAAAAAGGGCACTTGAGCAAACTTGTACGTCAGCACGAAGATTGCAAGGTTGTTCATCAAAAGTCAGTGAGACTGTTCCTTGGTAAGTCATAGACCTGTTCCACGAATCAGAAAAACGGTAGTACTTTTCAATTGTCACGTTGAAAGGAGGGATGGATTCCCCAGCTACTATTGAGCTCAACTTGAAATCAAGCAGATTAATTCGACCATATACCACATTAAAGGAGTTTGAGACTACAAAAAGCTCTTGATTGCTACCGACCGAAAACATCAGTTTGAAATCTTTCCCTGCAGCAGGGATCATTAGATCTGTGAACCTCGCAACTCCATTCACAGTTCGCACGCTTGTGTTTCCAAAGAGGGTGCTGCATGCAGGGTTGTTGAAGAGAGAGGCTGTTACCCAAGCTGCGACCTCAGTGCATTGTAGCTGAAGGTTGCAATACTCAGACCGGATGTTCCCGTTCACGTCCAGCAAAGCGATACTTGGTTGTTGACCAGTGACGAACTTGAGCTCCTTCCCAAACGGCCATTCAGATATTGCACCCGAAACATCCTTCACAATGCCTAGATTAACGACTCCATTCAAAAGAACGTCGCTTTGCACGTCCTTGAGATAAAACGAATTCCATGGTCCATGGAACGAATGAGTCCAGTTGCTCCAACGAAAATGTTTCCTGTTTCTATACGGCAAGTTGCCAATTGCGTGATCCGGCTGACATGATATTAAAACAAAACAATAGAAGAAGATGGTTATGAAAGAAGCTTTTCGAAGCATTGTTTGAATTGTACAGTCTGACTTCCAAGGTACATAGTTGAACATGGAATGTGACAAAGGCAAGAGGTTTGACATGAACATGACCAAGTTTACAAGATATGACGCACACAGTCTTTTCCAAAGTGTCGCCAGAAGTTAATGATGACAAGAGTTGAAACGAGGGTCTACCGTGGTTTACAAGGTGTACGGCATTGTCAAGCGGAAGGCAGAGCAGAGAGTGACAGCGCCAGAGAAGAAGAGAGAGAAGGGAAAGAAAGAGATCAGAGCAAGGAGGAGGATTCAGCTGAGGGAAGGTGAGCGAGCATAGGTCTTGACGAGCGAGAAGGCAAGTGGCGGCAAACCCGAACCACGACGACCCTCTCCGGCCATCGCACCTATTCAGAGGAAAGGATTTGACTAAAGACAAACAAATTTTCACTATAAGACCTGTATTTTCACTACTCGAGGTCGAAAATTGACTATTGATACCTGAATTTTTGACTATGGTGACGAATTATTGACTACAAGACTCAAGATATTGACAAGAGCACGTCACTTCGCTGCAACCACCCCCACCACCAATAATGGAGTGGAAAGGACCCCCTCTGCACCCTACACCGAAACCCAATGAAAGCAACAAACTTCGGGAAACCCTCAACACAAGGAACGAGAGGATGGGAGACGAGACGAGAGGGGAGATTGATCACTTCTTGCCAACGACATTGCTGTAATGGACAATCTACCGCAGAAGAAATCACCTCCGCAGAGAGTATCAACACAGCACACTAGAAACAATCACTATACCTGGAACATACACCTCCGTCGAAACTATCTACCGAAGAAACTGTCTCTCACTTCTGAGAAATTGAAAGACTTCAATGGTGACAGTACCGGTTATCAATTGGTGCGATACTCTGCAAATTCAACTACGATGAAATTCCAAGGGCCAACATACGGTGTGGCATAGAAAAATCATAGTTGTTGGATCATAAATTATTCAGTCTAACTGTCTAAACTATTTGTAACATTCACTCAAGTTTTCTGTGATGCTCTTGGACGGAAGTTTTCTTGGCTGGGGCACCCAGCAGCCTGTTCCAAAACCTGTAAAAGCAGTTAGATTCCATCAGTGAAAATATTGTTGTTAAGCAGAAACTTACTTAGTTCCACCCCATCTGTTTTCAACAACCCCAGGCAATTTGTTATCATGCACTTGCTTCTCCGGTTGCAGGAAGCTGAGGAGCGGTGCTTGTGGGTTCTTGATCACCTGGTTTCGAGACACCGTGACGTCAGAAGCCACCCCCTCCGGTTTTGCTCGCAGAGAAATCTGCTTCTGGGCAACTTGGTGATTCGCCCGCAAGGCTTTCCATGCCATGTTGGCGTCCGACAGTTTGGAGTGACCTTTATCTCCAGAGAACATCGAGCTGACGCATGAGTACAAGTCATGGCAATTCTTGTCTTTTACAGGCTGGGGATGCTTCCGCAGCTGTGCTGCAGCCTGCTTTGTCATCTTTTCCTTCTCTGCTGCAATGATCTCAGGTTTCTCCGACCACCAACTATAGGCATTCACTCCCGGCAGGCGGTGTCTCTTGGGGGCAGCATTCTTCTTGTTTGGCTGAACAACCTGGTCGCCTAACGCAGTTTCAGCTGCATTGAGGAGCGTTTGATGTTTGATGTGCTTCTCCAAGGGTTCTGTGACCGGTGCCCTCCCTTCAAGAGCGCGTCTTGCCTGTCTGAATTGTTCGATCTCTCTCTCCAATTTCTCATCGCGCGCGGAGTCATGGGTCACCTCTCTCTTCTCGTTGTACCTTTGAAGAGCATTGTGATACTTCTCTTCCTCAGCCTTGAGAACCTTTTCAAGATGATTCTCATCCGAGTCAGAATGAGATGAGTGACGAGAATCCTGCTGTTTCGGAGCATTCGAATTCGATCTTGACCCATCCTTTTCATGTCGGATATGTCTTATCTCCTCATTGTTGAGCTCTAATTGCCTCCTAATCAATCTCTCATCACGTTGGAGGGACCGGATTGAAGCTCGCCTTGACTTCAACTGCTCTATTTTCTGGCGCGCAAACTGCTCTCTCTTCAGCCATTCTTTTTCTGCAACTTTGATGAGATCAGCCTCTTCCTCGTCATGTTTGCGAATCCCGTCCAAACTCTCAGCCTTTTCAGCAGCATCCTCAGCTGTCCTCTTCCACTTTGCTAGCTTAGCAAGATCATGGGAATCAACAAGTTCGGAGCGCTCAACCCGGGTATTAACAACAGACAGTAGCACGAGTATGGCAAGAGCTCCTGCCAGTAAGCCCGTGTATTGAGGTTTTAGCGCCTCCTGTACAAAAATTTTAATTCTGGAGGACGTGCATTTGGATGCTGTGTAAGTCACCCAGGGATCAATCACTACCCACAGAGCTCTTACACAATATCAAGGGAAAGTGTTGAGGGGAATTTGAAGTGAGGTGTGCAGAAGACGAGGAACATAGGAGGACGTCAGCCAACAGCACAGCCGTACCGCACCGTTGCAAGGGGAGAAACCGAGAAGAGGAGAGGCAGAAAAGAACGAGAGAGGGTGGGGGTTCGAGACCATGACACTTAGTTTGCGAGTTAAACAACATTGTCGTCTAACATGCCCTCCAGCTTTCACTCGCATGACATGTCCACTCCTTACCTTCCAACCCTTCATGGCGCCAGACGAACAGTCAACCCAAAGCCCACTGCCTAAACCTTTATCTAAACCGCACGTGACCTAAACCAATCGACGGACCGTGACACCGTTTTGGTCCGAGTCTCACTGAGTTCGGAGCCGCGGTCGGACCCGGGGCACGGTCCGGCCCCCCCGGTTTGTTATGAGGAGCTCCTGTTAGAAGTTGTACTGTGCCAAAGTCACGCAGACACTGAGTCCATCGACCTCAGTTGCAGTCCGATCTGGCAACAAGACAGTTTTTGCTCAATACCGAGTTTAATCAGTGTACACAAACCGTGCCGTCATCGACTCCTGAGTTGCAACAAGACAGTTTCAAGTTTTTGCTCAATACCGAGTTTAATGCACACAAACTGTGACTCCAGAATTGAGGAGCACCGTGATGATCGGACAGTCGCCGCGACCGGACTGAGCCTCCGAGATAGACGCCGCCGGAGGCTGTACTATGCTAGGATCACGGTGTGACCGACGGTCGGCCACTGGGCCGGGCAAGCATCCGAGTGCCGGGCAGATCGGACATGAGCCGGGACAGTGAGGCCGCAGTTTGCAAGACGGCTAGGAAAGCCCCCTGAGTCTCGCTACAGGAGGCAGCCTTTTTTGTTTACTCGGCGCTATCTGGGTGACCGTGCGTCAGGCTGGCCGTGACCGTCGCCCGCGGCTGGCATACGATCCATCAAAGATAGACTGTATCGCGCGGGGCGGCTAGCCCTGACTCAGTGACCCGATGTAAACCCCAACCGTCGGCGGAGCCTCCGTCCGTAGCCTGAACGGTACGCGGGACCGGTGCGCCTCACCGTCACTGACGTCAGTTTACCGTTGCCGCCGCCCCGGCCTACTGTAGTACCGTAGACTGTAGACGGTACGGTACGGTACAAGGCCGCACCGTCCGAGCCGCGGCGAGGCCGGGCCGGGCCCGGGCCTTCGTGTCCGATCCCCGTCCGATCCGTCACTGACTCCCGGAGACCCGGGCCGCGTCACGAGCTCAGTACAGCACGTGCAGACGCTCCTTGCTGACCTGATGCCTTGAGCTCTCTCCTCGTTTTCTCTCCTCCATGGCTGATGATAACACGCCTGCTAAGCGTGAAAGGGCCGAAGAGACTGAGGATTCTGAGCCCTCTAAGCGACAGCGCGATTCTGAATCAGCTGTTCCAAACTCTAAGCAAGAGGAGGAGCGTGCAGACAAGGATGTTTCAGAGCAAGGGCTGAAGAAGTTGCTCATAACCGGCATCCCTGGAGTGAGACAAGATGCGCTTCAAGGTTCGCTGAACAGATCAGCGATTCCCTTTCATCGGCTGCAGAAGAAGAAGATGGAGAAGGATGCGGAAATTTGGTTGCCAGATGATCCTATCATCATTCGGGTAACTTTTGATTTCTGCTCTCTTTCGACCTGATTTTGTTGTTCTCAAGGCTTGTAAGCTCATTCTGAATGGAACGTGCGTGCATGGCCGGAAGATGCAACTCAACGATGGGGAGCAGAAGGCAGAGGAGGATTCGAGCCGCACGCTATCTCAGCAGGTGACTGCACTTGCCGATATGTTGTATGAGGATCAAATCTACTTCAAAGAGCATATCTTGCGTGCGTCGCTTCGGCGTGTGACGCAGGACCTGTCGAAGAACAAGTACAACTTGGAATGGCTCAAGTCTTGCAGCAGAGGCCCGTGTTGCAACCTCGAGAAAGTTTACCACTCGCCGCAGATCCGAGGTTACAGGAACAAGAATGAATTCACTATCGGTTACGATCGAGATGGAAAAGCTACTGTCGGCTTTCGATATGGACGGTTTGCCGATGGCGACAGTTCGGTAGGAAATGCAGATCAGTGCTTGCACATTCCTGCTTGTGCTTTGAAAGTCGCAGAGGTCGTGACAGATTTCTTGCGCAATTATCAAAAATTAGAATGTTGGGGGGCAGCAAAGCATACCGGAACCTGGCGTATGGTCACCGTCCGAAACAACTCTGAGAACGACGTGATCGCTGTCGTTCAATACTCTTCGTCGAACACCAAGAAGGAAGAGCTGGATGAAGCGCTCGCATGCCTTGATCAGCACATTCGAAGCAAAGTGGACTCAGGAGACTTGACCTTGACATCTTTCTTCTTGCAGGAGTACAACGATGTGAGCAATCGAGCCAACGATGACTGTCCTGTTCGGCTCGTTTGGGGCAAGCCGTTCTTCCACGAAACCTTGATGGACCTGCAATTCAGAATCTCTCCCAGTGCATTCTTTCAAGTCAACACAAAGGGAGCAGAGCTACTCTATGGTCTCGTAAGGAATTGGGTTGGAGCGACGGGAACAGAGACAGTGCTCGACGTTTGTTGTGGTACTGGAACGATTGGAATCTGCATAGCTTCAGGTGCTTGTTTGTTTCGATTGCATCGCCGACTTGTTCCTGCAATGTCTGTGATGCATTCAAATATTTGCTACTCTTGAGTGTTCAATGACGACACCTTTCCACCAAGATCGCTGAGACGTTGCTGCTGTTGATGCATTAATAATCCAGTGCGAATGTGTCTTCGTTCTGAATCCTTTTTAACAGGTGCGAGAAAAGTGATAGGCATAGAATTGTGTGCTCCAGCCATTGAGGATGCAAAGCTGAATGCGGAGAGGAACAAGATTTCCAATTGCGAGTTTCTCGTAGGGAGGGCTGAAGATCAGATCGACGCTGCTATCAGCCAGCACGTCAAAGACGGAGACAAGTGCGTCGCTGTTGTCGATCCACCCAGAGAGGGCTTGCACTGGAAGGTGATCAAGGCGATTCGCAAATCTAAGGAGATCGAACGTGTCGTATACGTGTCATGCAATCATGTCGCATGGGTGGAGCAAGCTCGTCAGTTCTGTCACCCTTCGGACGACTCTCGTCACCCTGGTGAACCTTTCGAGCCAATCAAGGCCATCGGCGTCGATCTCTTTCCCCACACTCCTCATATTGAGCTTGTTGTTCTGCTTGAGCGCGGGAATACTCTGAAAGAAACAAAATCTTCTAAGTTGTAGACTATGTATATTGAAACTATTGAGAATGTAAATGCCCAACTGCATACGTTATCCCGACCTCTCTAGCTTTGGTCGAGTCATCAAGTAATACACAAGGCCGAAGAACGGAACAGACCTGGCAATGAAGAGCGCAGAATCGTTTCTGTATCCTCTCCTTCTCATATCATCGGGGACTAGCCAACCCTGGAAGATCCAAAAGACCAGACTGTCGACTGCGAAGGAATGTGCAAGGCGGTCCGAGGAGGAGACGAACTGCCATAAAGTTTCCAGCCGGGTCGCGGCATCCCCATACTCTGCTCCTCTGGCATATGCCCCCCATAAAACTGACACTACGAACACAGAGGTAAGCAAGAGAGGCAGCGCCTTGCTCTCTGAGATTCTCAGCTCGGCATCGCTACCCTGCGTATCAACTGCCCCGGACTCTTGCAATTTTTGGAAGGACTCTCGCAAGCCCAGGTAGGGAAGATAGAATACGTTGGTCAAGAATGCTGTTCCTATCATGAAGGGCAGCATCGGAACTTTCTGCTTGTTTCCATCCGATAGGAATCCGAAGAAGAGTGCTCCCCATGCAACCACAATGTTGAAGAAAGCCTCCAACGCTGGGTGGAGATTCGGTGAGAAGTCAGGGAATATAGCCGGCATGATGAACCAGAAGTTAAAGCTCAAGTTGATTGCTTCCAAGGTGACAGGCCAGCCAATATTGCACATCTCTCCTGTTTGACCCCCACATGGAGCATCGCTGAAGAATACATGGAAGATGTAAAGCACCCAGGTTGACCAAACAGCAATCTTTGGGAGGAGCTCGGAGTACCCCATCTTCTCTTCTACGCTATTATCACGATTATCATCAAGATTCGCCCTTATCCTGGTTCTTCGCAGATGACGTGAGGGTGTAAGTGAGACGCGTGTTGTCCGTGGTGAGCCAAGCATTTGAGACAATTTTTGAGCAGACAACCCCGGCAGGGATGATGTTCTGACTGAGAGCATAAGGGGAGGTGGCCGGGCTATCATGCTTGATCCTGCTGCCGTGGCATGAAGAAAGCCCTCTGCGCCGGTACCAGCGCTGCATGCCAGCAGCATGAGAATCCACCACGCCATGTTCGTTTACTAGTCTGTGCAATCAGTAATCACCCCTCCTTCTCAGCATCCACAGTGTTCGATCCATGGGTAGGGTACTCACAAAGCAAAAATCGGGACAACTAATGTTAAATTCAACACATTTATCAGCTTTCTTTAAACTCTGAAAGTTTTCTGTGATTTTTATTGTTTTCACGTGTGAAAATCCAAATTGGGCCATTTGCACTCAACAGATCATGTTTAGCATGTCATCAAGACAGTGATTGATGCGAATATCTCCTCCATCACCATCATGCCAGGTGGCAGCTCATACTCAGCACGGCATCTCACAACCTCAACTCCTGATTTCCTCGTAGCGAGACTCATCATTTCCAACATTCCACTTCCACATGAGGGCTTAACACACATGTATCAACTCAACAATGATTTCATTCAGGGACGAACTGTACATGCTCTACACTACGTGCTCTGGAGCATGTCTGCATACGTCCTTTGTCCACTCTCCCTATTTCTATTTGCCTCTGCCTGATGGTCTTCAACTGCCAGCGACTTCTCAATGCTAACCTGCTGGCGATATTCCAGCAAGTGCTTGTAGTATGTGATGTATGAGTATTGCGAGTACCTCTTTCTCTGTGCCATCGTCGTCCATGCATCTTCTCCGTACGCCCTTTCCACCAGTGTACGGAACCCAATTCTGTAACACTGACAGAAGTTGTGAGACATAATTGCCTCGTTTCCTTGCAGTACTCCTTGCTCTCGGCATATGTTTTCCACCATGGTCATCACAAGATATGCTTTGTATACATTCTTCCTCGTGTTCTCATCCTTCACGTCTGCGGAGAAAGGAACCTGACTGAGGTGCTTTAAGGGCCGAATCCTCCTCACTTGTCCTTCCACGATGACATCTTGCCCCAAATTCCACCACATGAACATATTTCGAACTCTGCAACGCAAAGGAAATGGCCAACCCAACGGGATCATATGTCTGCCAGGCCCGCATCCTTCCCATTCGAAGTCATCCCCTCCAACTTGTATCTCACCGTTGCCATCATTCCCCTGTCCTTGTGATGAAACCAGAACCGCGTTCCTCTCCGGTGTCCCCTCCCTGCTCACTTCTGCACCTTCCTCCGATTCACTCTCATTCAATCTTCCATTCGAGCCAGCATCTGACATCACGTTGCTCACCCCATGTGCCATCATAACATGGCCTGCTCCACCCAGTACCATCTGTCGCATAGCTTCACCCACGGCGGCCTGCACCTGCTCCCCTATATTGCCCATCTGCTGCACCTGTTGTCCTATATTGGCAAGTTGTTGCATGACGATGCGGAAAGCATCTGTGAAGTCCATGTTTCCAGATGTAACCTGCCCTCCACTAGGACCTGGTACATCCCTCCTCCATCCAGCAACAAAACCTAAATTCGTTCGCAGTTCCTCCCTGATTACAGTTTTGAAATCGTCAAACTTCTGGTCCAGTTCTTTCATCTTCTCATCCATCTTCTTCTCGATTGCCTTCATCTTTACATCCATCTTCTCCTCGATTACCTTCATCTCCTCCTTGATGGCATCTCGCACTTCAACCCTCATATCTTTCATGCCTTTCAATATTTCTGTCTTGGTTGGAGTACCACTAGCTGACATGCCGCAATGGGTACATCTGTGCGAACACACGATGATATGCTCTCGCAATGACATCAGCCTTGCCATACTGCCTTGTCCAAACATTCCGAACATCGGTATGCCCCATATGTCATCGTTGCTGTGCGGAAACCATTCCTGTAGGGTTGGAAGGTGCCATAAGACACTTGCAAGGAAGAAGCGGATACACTTTTGAAATCCTGCCGGGAAACTTCTGTAACCTGATATGAACCTCTCCCAGCCGATCTCTTCTATTTGCTTCAATCCTTCCGTTGTGAAGTGGGGGGGAAGTACAGCAAAGTCTGCGGTTCCGCTGTCGTTGCCAGCAAGAATCCTGCCTGCGAACTGGTCTCCACCCGTTTCACCAAGGATATAACGATCCTGCGTCTCTCCTGCCACAATTTTACTTCTTATCCCTGTTCCGCGATTTCATAGCAGACATACCTATCTTCCAGTTGGCTCGGATATACACTGTTGGAGCTCCTGGCAACAGTCCTGTCACTAACAATCGGCTGACAAACAGCAGTGCAAGTCGCACCGGGACCATCCATCATACCCAGCAAATGGGTGATTCCTCCCTTCCGCAATGAATGGGTCCCAGCATTGTCCAAGTTGCCATGCTGGTCCTTTGCAGCTTGAGATGCCATGCGTTGCATGAGCTGTGCATACCTCTGTTTCTGATCCCTCCCCATCAGCAGCTTGTTTCCCTCCCTGGCAAGGAAGATGCCTCGGGTGGCAAAGGTGTACAAAGCAAGAGTAAGGACTGGACATATTTCTGGATTGTGGGGTGCGGCAAACAAATGCTTGATCCTGGTGTTTTTCAAGTCAGTCCCAATCCCGGCTTGGTCTGTTTTGGTGCGCAAAAGTACTACTTTCATGTAATCATTCTCCCAATCAAAGTGCTGTAGATGCAAGATATCAAGGCTCTCACTCCCGCAGATGAGATTCCACATGAGACATGTGCATGTCCATCCAAATATCCACGTGTCTCCGGGTGCTGTGCTACCTTGACGAGGTTTCTGGTTCCTAAACGTTCTGCACAGGCAGATATACTCATCCATTCTTATCCCCGTTCTGCCTTCATGAATGCGCATGACTCCTCGAGATTTCTTCTCTGTAACTACTTTCGTGTACGACTCCATGCAACGGTCTAACACCTCGTCTATACACATTGCTGCTTCTCCTTCTGGCATGTCCCTGGCTACAAATTCCATGTGTCTACATTGGTACAGGTACTTCAACGCACTTTTGTAGCCTCGTATCGTAGACACGGCTACTGTCGGTTTGTCCGCTGCATTGGTTACAAAATTCACGTCTTGAATGCCAGTGAGTCCCACTACCAATTCAACATCATTGCTGGTGGTGCCTGCTTGTTCTTCAACGTCATCATCCATCTCGACATCATCATGTTCATCTTCATATGAAGCATGCGCCTGTGATGGGCCTGCTTCATGCGCCTGTGATGGGCCTGCTTCATCTTCGGCTTCATCATCGACTTCAATGTGATCGCCATTGATCTGCATGGTTGGGTGGGTGCCCTTCTTCATACGTTTCGCTTTTGATTGCTTGATCTTCTCCCTGACCCGCTCCTTTTGCGACAAATAACCGAAGAATGCTACTAATGCATCGTATGGCAATGGCAAAACAAGGTCGTCCAAGGTTTCATTCAGAGCTGCATGATATCGTGGGTGAGACCTGAAGAAAGCTATGATAGCATGAATGCGGTATGCGTAGTTCCTCTGCGTACTGAGACTGACCACTTTTGACTGCAATTCTCGAAATGCCTGCATGTTCAAATCAGGTCCCCCTGAACCGATGACCCTGCGATCCTGGAAGACATGCAATAATTCTTCGTCGGTGCGAGCACTGACCCGCCGTTTATTCGAAGGTCTACTTTGAGTCACGGTGTTGTTATGGGCTCCTCGGTTGCATTGCCCACAATAGTTCATATCATCTGTGCCTTTCAGAGTACTAGCACAGAGATGATGGAAGGGTTTGTTGCAATACTGGCAGACTTTCAACTGAGCCTCAGGTTGCCCTCGCATAACACATGAGGCTTCATACAAGCATGTCTGCCTAGCTGGTGCCGACATTCTTTGCCAGGATGCAAATGTTCTCCCTGATATGGGTACTTGCGATTGTGGTGGAATCTGTTTGTCCTCGGCAATGCGACGAGGAATGATGCCCGGCAGTTTTCCCCTGGTTTGATCGCATAGATACAGCTCGCCTCAGAACTTTTACCTATATGACATCAAAGACAGCAATAGACCTGTAGATCAATCCAAGACTTCATCGGAATTTTGCGAGACCTGCGACCCGAAATAGAGAAAATGATGTGCTGAGCAAGCTACGAACATGTTCTGCTGAGTCTTCTGTGAGATTGAGGGTAGGAGGAGGAGGAGGAGGAGGAGGAGGAGGAGGAGGAGGAGGGACAAGATCAAGAAGAGAGGGACCAGATGAGATGGAGGAGTGAGTAGCAGTATCGATGATGAGCAAAACTATCGTGACGGGGAGGGCAATGAGGGTAGCCTGAGCGCTAGGACGATAGATGTAACATGGTCGGAATCAACAGGAGAGGGACGAGGCAGAGAGAAGGTCATCAAAAGAGCACGTCTTGTCAACTTTTAACGATGAATCACTCACTGCTTTGCGTTTACAGGTTCCTTCCTTCAACTGCCCTCCCTGATTGATCGCTTGAGGGCGCGATGCCCTGGACATCGGAGAGGCCCAGCTCCACAGGAAGCAAGAGCAGGGAAAGCACCACGGTGACTGTGACGAAGAGGGTGGGCCTTGAGTCCCAACCACTCCTGGCTCAGGATGGTTCTGCTCTGCATTCCAAGGACCACGAGGGATACAACACGATCACCATGATGAAGCCTGAGAGAGACCCGATGAAGTCGGCTCATCCCGTCATGATGCTGGAGTCCAGCAAGAATCCGTTGCATTCGATGAGCACAGAAGTTCAGCTTGTCTGTTTCTGCTCAGGGTGGGTAATGTTCTTAGAGGGGATCAACGGCATGTCGGGGTTGGCCACGAGCTACTTCTTTAAGGAGACTCTCAAGGTGGAGCTGCGGTCCTCTCATCCATAGGCTCCATCACCTCTCTTCCCTGGACGTGCAAGCCCTTGTACGGATTCATATCGGACGCATACCCGATCTGGGGGTATAGGAGGAAACCTTACCTCCTCATCGCGGGCATCCTGGGGAGCATCTCCTGGTTCCTCATGTCCAAGTACGTGACCACCGTCTTCCTTAGTGGCATCTGCATGACTCTCGGCTCGGGGGCCATCGCAGTGGCCAACGTGATCGCCGAGGCGATGGTGTGTGAGAAGAGTCGAGGGGAGACGCAGGAGTACGCATCCAGGCTTCAGAGCATCATATACACGGGTCAAGCGGTTGGCTCGATCATCGCTGCATGGACAGGAGGATATCTCTTGACGTTCATGTCTGATCGCCAGGTGTTCCTCTTGGTTGCAAGCTTCCCGCTGTCGTTGATTGTCATCGCATTCATTGTTCCGGAAGAGAGATACCACGGGAACCATGTTAAGGAGCGAAGTGAAATCAACGACAAGCTGCTGCAGCTGTGGAACGCGTTCAAACAGCCGCAGATATGGAGGCCTTGCGCATTCATCTTCATGCTCAATGCCACACCGGCTACGGGAGCGACCTGGTTCTACTTCTACACTGACGTGCTCAAGTTTTCATCGGAGTTTCTCGGAACCATCGGCCTGGTCGGGTCATGTTTCACTCTCGCTGGAGTCTTTCTCTTTGACGCAACGATGCGCAAGGCGTCCTTCAGGCCTGTCTTTCTTTGGTCCACCATTGTCAGCACCATCCTCGGCCTCTCTCAGCTCATCCTCGTCTTCCGATATAACCTCGTCCTGGGCATCCCCGACTCGGTCTTCTGCTTGGGTGAGAGCGCCATCCTGTCCATCGTCGGGTGGATCTGTACGATGCCGGTGCTCGTTCTGGCCGCAAGGTTGTGCCCCGAGGGGATGGAGGGGACGATGTACGCGCTGATCATGAGCATCAACAATCTCGGGGGGATCGTGGGTTCACAACTAGGGGCCGTCTTGACGACCTGGTACGTTTCTTGACCTCCCCCTCTGTACCTGAAGTCTGATTGCAGGTTGGGAGTGACTGAGCAGAATCTGGGCAACTTCTGGCTTCTGGTGCTGATCTGCAACTTGTCGACTTTTCTTCCTCTGGTAAGTCACTGCTAGTCGTCCTCCTTCAGCTGATCAGATCCCTACCCACAGCTTTTATCAATTGGATCCCCGAGGACGATCCTCAGGTGCTCGAGGAAACCACCGCACAGGTGAACCTTGCTGTCGTGAGGAGATCGAACCCTCACGGTGTCCTCTCACAGGCATCGGAGGTGGACATCAAGAGCGGTCTCGTCTGATTTTGTTTCTCTCGACTTCCTTATTGTTTGTCTTTGAGGGCATTCCAGAATTTGTCCTTGAAACAGTTTTTTCTCCTCTCCGGGTTGAGGCTCAATAAATCGCCCACTGGCTTCCTGATCCTCAGTGACGCTCTCCCCTGTCTTCCTCATTCTCGTCCCCAGCTCTCCAGCGTCTGCATGGTTGAGCGAATCGCTTCCTCGCGCGAGTGCCAGTGCGAGTCACGAAACTGCCTATGCTCGTGTGCCCGGCTGCGATGAGAAGAATCTGGGACACGGAAGGCGCAGGTGAGGAGGTCCTCCGTCAGTGGAGCCTGACCGATCTCCATGGAAAGCTCGAGCTCAAGAGCACGCATCTCCTGCTCCTCGTCTCAGTTCCTCATCTTCGCATGCAAAGTCACCTCAAGGGCGTCGATCCTGTCGCTCAGCCACTCGTCGAACTCCTCGTCCTTATCATCCTCCGGAAACTGACGGGTAATCAGGAAGCGGAAGGGAGTAAAGAATGGGGCTTACAAGCTCGGCATGTTCTTCAGAGTTGAACGAATCGTCTTCCTCGGATGGCGCCTGACGTGACGATGGGACAGTACCATCATGCAAGCGACTGATCCCAGCGAAGGTCATTCTCGATTCTTCCTGAGCTCTTGACAACCGCTCGTACAGGCTGGGCAGTCCTGCCTCCTCCTCCTCCTCCTCCTCCTCCTCCTCCCCCTCCCCCTCCCCCTCCCCCTCCTCCTCCTCCTCCTCCAACTGCACTGATTTGTGTACCACGTACTCGCCCATGAGCTGTTGTAGCTCCTGGAGCAGCGATTGATCCCTCTCCATACTCGCGCGCTCGATGCTCTTGATCTCGCGCGGGTCATGCCGGAGCTTGACTTCCTTGTGTTCAGAGATTACATATCGCATCTTCTGTGCTAGCTTCTGCGCAGTAGATGGCCTGTACTTCCGTCGCGTTTCCTGTTCACTAATTGAGGCTTCTTGTCTAGAGCGGCGCTTCTCAGATTTAGGTTGATCCTTCCCCTGCGAGGGCGTGAGATCCACACCCAACGTCTCATGCTCACACTTGACCTTCAAGGAGCGTTTCAAGGTGCTGTTCTGAACCCTCAACTTGCCTATCTCCGTCCTGAGCTCGTTGATGAGGCTCTCCTTTGCATCCAGCATTACTACTGGTTTGTTCCGAATATTTTTTGCTCTGGAAACGAGAAAGATTCACAGACTGCAAGCCCGACACAGGAGCTGACCTGCTAGCGAATTCCAGACTGCGCAGACTCTCTGAGAGATGGGCAGCAGAAGGCGAGCAGCACGCCAGCATGAGCGTCTTGGAATTCCCCCCCAGCGAGTGCATCAGCAACTTTGTCAACGTGCTGTCTCGATATGGCACCCTGAAGTTGCTGTTTTTGCGCGAGCTCTTGCTCAAAGCGTGAATCACCTTCCCCAAAGTGAACAGACTCTTGTTGATCTGGCTGCTCTCGACAAGCATCTGATCGTAGGAGATATGATAAAAAGAAGCTGGCTGACAAGGAGATTTACCTTTCCATTGGCCTTCGTATCTTTGTTTCTCTCGCTGCCAGCAAGGTCGATGAAGGAAACTCGTCCGTGACAGATCTGTGAAAGGCTGGAGTCCTCCGAGTCATCAACTCTCTTGTAGCATTTCACGTTGATCGTAAAGATACCTGTCAAGACAGTGAGCCCGAAACAGGGAGACCCTGACAAGAAGCTCACAATGACTTCTGTTTGACCTTTGATTCATCTCGTGGGTGCCGATCATGGTGTTCTTATATCCCTCGCAGAAGTACCGCATGACCTCTGCTTTCGTTGAACATTGGACTTCGCTTAGGTTCTGCACGTAGAAACCTTGGTGAGGGTTCCACTTGATCGGGAGGTGGTTGTTGGAGGGATTTAAAACGTCCCTCACTTGCTCATTGTAAACTTCGTAATAACTCACAAACACATCGAAGTTTCCCTCCTGGCGTCTCTTGATGGCGCTGAAGAGGAACTTGACAGAGCGAGATAGGAGCCCGTCGAGTTCGCTTGACTTCTTGTCAAGTTTGGGAATCACTGATTCATGTCCTATCAGGCTGTAAGTCTTTCCAGATCCCGTCTGTCCATATGCGAAGCAGGTTGAAGAGAAGCCATCCAAGGCCGAGGCAAGCAGCGGACGGATACCACAGACGTCAAAGAAGTGACCTTGAGAAGCGTCTTGAGACACACACACGTCCAACGTGTAACTCCTCGCCGTCCTCGCAGTTTTCCTCGAGCTCTCTTCATAGATCACTTGGATGGTCCTTGAGTCCCCCATGCATCTCAATGCGATCGACGAAGCTCTCTCGATCTCTTCTGCCGTCAGCGATCTGATCCTCCCTACAACCCTGCGCATGATTTCATCCCACAGATAAGCACACAGCATGCGGAGTTTCAGCTACGATTAGCATCCGCACAACACAAACCTGATGTTCTCCTCTTCCGCATGAGGTCCGACTTGCATGCTCGATCAACATGCTCCACAAGTCATCTCAATGATACATCTAAGACTCCCAGACCTGACGAATTGGAGCAAGTCAATGTCACTGTCAATCCAGTGCCCGGCTAACAAACAAGCTGTCGATCGCATTTTCTTTCGATCTACTCAGTTGTCGTCTTCATGGTTATCGTCTTCGTTCTTTGCCACACCTGTATCTACCTGACTGTGGACTTACTTGTCTTGCTGTTGCTACCTCCTTCCCTCTCACCTTCTCTCTTCTCCACTTACTTGTCTTGCTGTTGCTACCTCCTTTCCTCTCCCCTTCTCTCTTCTCCACTCCCCCTCTCACTGCCATTTCCCGCTCTCTCGCCATTGCTGGTTTGTAACGAGGCGGGCTCGCTAGTATTAGCGAGCGCACATGCGCAGGCGATTCGGACTGGTAAAAGATGCACAGCGAGGAGGAGGGGGGAGGGGGGAGGGGGGAAGAGAATGAGGAGGAGTTGGTGGTGTTGGCGGTGGTAGTGGAGGAGGAGGAGGAGGAGGAGGAGGAGGAGGAGGAAGGAGGAGGAGGAGGTGGTGGTGGTGGTGGTGGTGGAGGAGGAGGAGGAGGAGGAGGAGGAGGAGGAGGAGGAGGAGGTGGTGGTGGTGGTGGCGGTGGTGGGTTACAAGGATCGGGGAAGTTGAATGAGGTTAAGCTGGGGCAAAGTTGAGGAAGGGAAGAGGATTGAAGAGCAAATGGAGTATTACATAAGGGAGGAGGATTGAAGAGCAAATGGAGTATTACATAAGGGAGGAGGATTGAAGAGCAAATGGAGTATTACATAAGGGAGGGGGGGGTGGGTTTGTTGCGCGAGTGATCGCAAGTGACGATTCCTCACAGGCATTGTTCTTGAGTTCGGCGTTGTTGAGCTTCAGAAACTCTGTCCATGTCGACAGTGTAGTTGCCAATGAAGTGTCCTTGCGTCTTTGCAGTCCGATGCACAAGCTGGCGTTTGTTCAGACATGTAGACTGCGAGGAGGGTCCTTCCCCTCCCTGTCCTCAGCACGAGGAGGTTTCTTCTTCTGCGTCGAGAATCCTCTCATCTCTGTTGGTTCAAAACGTTTGAAGACGGCCCAGCGCCAGAAGGTAACGGCCAAGGCCGAAACTGATACAGTCGAGTATGCCAACATCAACAGGTATCAACTTGACCTGCCTCCTTGCCCCTGCGGTTGTTCACTGACCCTCCACAGCCTGCAGACCGACGACTTCTCCTCCTACACTCCGAGAGGACCTGCTGTGTTCAAGGCAACCTTCTCCATGGAGGACCACGTGCAAGCAGCATGGAAACATTGGGAGAAACTCGGAAACCCTAGGTGGATCATGGCGCCGATGGTTGATCAGAGTGAGCTTGCATTTCGGATGATGGTGAGGAGTTCTCCTTTTCCATCTTGTGCCCTTACTGCTTCGTTCTAAGGGGAGGAAGTACAATTGTGATCTCTGTTACACTCCCATGCTCCATAGTCGGATGTTTGTCAACAATGCCCATTACAGGAAGGACTACCTTCAAAGCTTTGAGAAAGATAGACCTCTCATCGTTCAGTTCTGTGCCAACAATCCGAACACCTTGCTCCAAGCTGCAAAATATGTCGAAGACTCTTGCGACGCGGTTGACCTGAATCTTGGTTGTCCGCAGGTATTCTTTCTGCTCTGGTGAAAGTCATGTGACCTATCTCCTAGGAGATCGCACGGAGGGGAAGATATGGATCATTTCTGATGGAAGATTGGGACAGGATACATGATCTCGTGCTTACTATGAAACAAAGCTTGAAAGTTCCAATCTGGGCGAAGATACGACTGTTCCCAGAGATCTCTCAGACGATCGAGTACGCCAAGATGATAGAAGCAGCAGGGGCATCGGCTATTGCCATTCATGGGAGGACAAGGAAGCAGAAAGGAAACAATCCAGGTTGAGAAAGTTTGAGCAGACCGATGTTGCTTACCTTGGCATGCAGGGCCAGCCAACTTGGATTCGATTCGAGAAGTTGCGAAACATCTTCGGGTACCGGTGATAGCCAACGGAAACATCAGAACTTTTGAGGAGGCTCAGGAATGTCTGAGAAAGACAGAATGCCATGCAGTCATGAGCGCGTGCGGGCTGCTTGTCACCCCCAACTTGTTCTCCGGTACGTGAGGGAACAGGTTGTGCCAGCACAAGGTGACCCGACCCCCACCAGGTGGCTTCATAGAACCGGTGGAGCTTGCAAGGGAGTACCTCGACTTCGCCGACCGGTTCTGTGCGCACCCCCGACAGGTGCTTGAGACCCCCTGTGCTGGGAGGACGCTGACGAGCAGCTCAGATTCGGTCGCACATCTTTCAGATTCTCGTTCCTCAAATCCAACATCGAACCGACCTTCTTGATGACCTCGCTAACACCAAGATCCGACGTGGGGAGACCGCGGCACAGACCTTCTGCCCTTTCTTGGAGAGAGTTCGCCATGAAACCGGAACCTTAGAGCAGGCCCGAGCGCAGCGGGCGATCCTAGAATCGACGCCCATTGGCCTTGGCAGCGACACCGAAGAGCTGTTGCTGCAGGAGCTTCAGGGTAGGCAACTCAACAAGGCTCAGTACCGGGCAGCCTTGAGGAAGCAGCGCCGAGAGATAAAAAAGCGAAGCGACGTGACAATCTCGGGGCTGCCGGTAAGGGAAGTTCAGTTGCAGCCTGGGGCCCTCGCAGATCCCTTCGCCCACTTCACTTGCTTCTATCATCGTGTACCCGAGGAGGATCTTTATGGGGAGCAGACGCTGGAGCGCCTGATAGCAGCCGCGAACCTTGAGGAGGGCAGAAATGCCTTCATTGTGCGCCGCAGCAACAGCGACAGCAGGAGTGCAGTGAGCCTGACCTTCCGAGAGGGAGTGGAGTTTTATCACCGCAAGGTAGGGAGTGAGTGGTTCCTCGTCTCGATGGTGACTTGTCTTGTCAGATCAAGCGCGATGCAGACGATGGGGGCGCGGTTTGGAGGATGGAGTCTTTCGATGCGGAGGAAGACTTCTGGCAGGATGCCTCTTTGGACAATTTATTGCAAAAATTGGAGAAGTTGGGCTACTACGGTCTTCGCAACGATCTGATTCAACTTGAGCTGAATTCGCAGAGATGACAGAAGATGGTAATTGTGGTTTTAACAAGCCAACAGCACTTAGATGATCTCCTTTGAACCCACTCTAAATATGATTCAGCAGCACGGCTTGTGTGAACAAGTTTGAAGAGGCGTGCAGGTTGTCAAACAGGCACCTCAGATGAAATCAATAATCCGGGTGCCTTTCTATCAGCATTGCAACCCCCTGTCCTCCTGCAGCACAGGCAGCGACAACAGCAAGCTGCTTGTCTTCCTGCTTGAGGCGATCCGCTGCCCATGTTGTCAAACGGACTCCAGTAGCAGCAAAGGGATGCCCGACGGAGAGAGATCCACCCCGCGTGTTGAGGCGCTCAACAGGAAGCTCTCCAACCCTATCTGTTCCTAGCCACTGCTTGCACCAGGCATCTGAATTCAAAGCAGCCAAATTTGCAAGGACTTGCCCGGCAAAGGCTTCGTGCAGCTCCCACACATCCACGTCTTCAATCTTCAACCCAGTCTTGCGCAAAAGTTTGGATATCGCGTATGCTGGTCCTAGGAGCAACTGATCCTTTGGATCCTGAGAGACAAAGACGTAGTCCTTCATCCTCGCACGAGCACTTAGACCCAGTGCTTTGCACTTGTCTTCAGACATCACAAGCGCAGCTGAGGCACCATCGGTGAGGAAGGAAGAGTTTGCTGCTGTCACAGTCCCATGAGGCTTGATAAAAGCAGGCTTGAGTTTGCTCAGCTGCTCATCCGTGGCAGGTCTAATACCGTTGTCCTGTTCAACCCAGTGATCCTTCACCGAACTCTTGACCGGAACGATCTCTTCTTTGAACAGCCCCTTTGCTTGCGCATCAAAAGCAAGTTGATGAGACCTCTGAGCAAATTTGTCCTGCTGCTCTCTGGAAATGCCAAAGGCAGAAGCAAGGCGATCAGCACTATGCCCCATGACCTCTCCTGTGGAAAACTCTGCCACACCCGGAGCTTGCGGCGCGAGGTCAGAAAATTTCAGACCATTCAATAGGCCGAGCATCTGGCCCGTGGACTTCATCTTGCTGCTCTTGATCAACCTCTTTCGAACGGGCCTGGAGAAACGAATGGGGACATCAGACATGATCTCAACTCCTCCCGCCAGGAAGGTATCCAGTTGCCCAGATCGAATCTTGTCGATGCCGGTCGCCATTGCAATATTGGATGAAATGCAGGCTAGAGTGACTGTGTGAGCAGGTGTGCTTAGAGGAATACCAGCTGCCATGGCCGATTCTCGTGCAACGTTGGAGGTCAAGACCTCTTGGATGACCGTGCCGCAGCACACATACTCGATCTCCTCAGGTGGTATGGCGGTTTTCCTCAGCAGACCCTTGATCGCCTCACGCTGGATTGCGTCGAATATCATTGATGATCAAGAAGTTGAATATCTCAGACGTCATACCTGCAAGTCGTACGCCATGTAGTCTTCGTACTCTGTGCCGGACTGGCAGAAGGGTACACGGACGCCTCGAACGAACACTGCATCCTTGTTGTGCTGCAATCTTCGTCAGGAAAACGACGAACAAGCTCATCGCAAATTCATTCATCCATGATCAACAAATCAAACACACACATTTCTAATAGTCGTGATCAGGTGATGGACCACAACATAAGCAGAAGGACACAAGGATTTCGTTCAGTTATGAATAAAGGATCAGCAACGAGATTGGAATTTTGAGAAGACAATAGAAGGCAAATATTATGAACAGGCAACGAGGAGCTGATTTGAAGATAGCTGAAGGAGTCTAGGATGGATTGAACAGGCCAGCGATAGATGGAGAAGAACGAGCGACGAGAAGCAGAACGAGTGGAGGGCAAGAGATTGGAGGGGAATGGAATGGTTGAGCGTGGAAGAAGAAAGGGAGGGAGGAAGAGACTAGAGCGAGGGTCCTACCTTCACTGAAGATGTGCTGAAGCTCCGGATTTTTGGACATCTCACCAGCCGCCGCAGCATGGCGAAATAACTGGATGAACGGGGTGGGGTGAGTTTTGCAGAATAGTGGGTACTCAATGACGGGTGATATTTAGGTATTTCTTGTATGTACTATACGGGTGATATCCAATTTCTTTCTGTGATGGTGTGGGTAGGGGTAGAAACTATTTGGGGTGGGGTTACAGCATGATACGTCCCACAGACGGTCGTATGAAAGTAACGGAAATACTATTTGTTGTAACGACTAACCGTTTATAACGGCATCGGAATGTCGGGCGTGCAATGCGAGCCTTTTGAAGTGAGTAAACTGTTTTAAAAAAACTAGGACTAAAAAAAGAAACCAAAAGAGTTCTTTTTGATAACCATTGGACCTAGATTCCCTCTCGTGCAAGAATCGTTGCGATCTCCGCTTCTCTAAGCTATTACACTTAAAGAATGACCGGTACTGTTCTCGTTCTGGACGGGTGTCCCATAAAGGTTACTTTGTACCTAAAACAATTTTGAGGTGAGATGGAATCTCGTGCAGCGAAAAAACATATGTTCGTAACATAAAACATTTTCTATAACTAGTTATTAAATTGCACAAAGGTTGTTGGGTGTGTGCAACTGGCCAGATACTCTGAGAGATAATGAACATTTTGTATCAAATTTGAAACTGTGCCATATCAATTTCAACAAGTATAAAAAGGCTTCTTGAAATATCTGTGGTAGTGAACATGAACTGTTCAAAATGTTCGAGTAAGTTTTAAATAAGCAGACAAAGTGCTTCAAACATTTTCCTTCTTTAAATATTTATCAGCAAAAAATCAATTAAAAAACAAATAATTTCACGTTGCTTCACTTGCTACCCTACCCTGCCATGAATTAGAGTGCGCATCTGCACCCTACAATTCAACGTTACAACGTGGGGTATTCGATGCCTTTTTGGAAGACCCTACCCTACAGCTATGGCTGCTGCACCCCTTTCTTGCGATTACCCCTACCCAGCTTTTCCCCCACTATTACCCCCGCCTAGTAGCTTTACCCCTCTGGTTCGGACTACCCCTCCACCCCATCCGCCCTGGGATCTCAGACCCCACCCGTCTCCTCCTTATTGCCTTCGCCCTCCCGTTCCCTCCCTTCGTGCTGTTTCCTCTCCCCCTGTCATCCCTATCCGCATCCTCCGCCTCATCTCACCCCCGACTCATCAATCTCATAGTTTCCTCCTCCCTTTCATCGCTCACTTCCAGAAGACGTTGATCTTGCTCAGCTCTGGGCAACTTGTTGCGTTCCCGTCGACTAGTCACATCTCAATTTCGTTGGGGATCCTTTAGGTAAGGTGAGAAAATTTGTAAGTTCAGGCTGGGAAATGGTTCAACATACATGTATGTATTCGAAACAGTCCTGCTAGACCTTGTTTGGACATTTTGCGTCTTGTTAATCTCTTGTTGTTGAGGATTTTGGTTTCTGCTGTTTGAGCTGTGCACAAAGCACTGTTGTATGAATATGGGAGAGATATTAGTCATGGGATTTGTTGTAGGGATTCGCTTCATCTTGCCATTGATATTTCCTGATAGTTCCACTTCGTTCTAACTCCAGCTGATCAGGATGGAGACTGTTCTGGACTTGGGGTTGGACACGAATCTGGAGGATATGGAGAATTGCGACATCTCATCATCCTCAACCTCACCCGCTGATCACAACATCGACTTGTTGGAGATCGAGATCGGCTATGAGGCCATGAACGACCTGTTGTGTGATGCCGGCAACTTCAGCATCCGCTGTGAAGCAGATTCAGAGCCAATCATGGAGCAGAGGGAATCAGTTCAATACGAGAGTCATGATTCCAATAGGGCCGAGGCCACGAGAGAGTCGATCATGCCGTCAAGCATAGCGAAGGATCCCGTTGAGGTCTTCTCCCAGGACTTCGAGGACAGCACTGACGACATCGAGGATTCCCCAGACTTCGCTGCCTCCAGTTTCCCTTTCTCCAACTGCGCTCCAGACTCCCACATAGATTCAGCTTCGTCCGTGCCAGAAGCTCATCCCACCAAGACTGAATCCTCGTGTTGCAGACCGTCACAAGCGGCTCTCAAGCTTAAGATCCGAGAAAACATCAAGAATGGAGTGAGCAAACTTCAGAAAGTCTGCGCGTACGAGTTTTGTCCTTCGCCGTTGCATTCCAACAAGTGGCGCCTGGTAACACCAGACACAACAGCTGGAGGGAGAGACTGGCAGCCTCTTCTCGGCATGACTCTGTGCGACTCTTGCTACTCGACATATAGGAAGCACGGGACTTTCATCAGGTCTGTGCGAACGGCAGAAGGCTGGGCGCGCTTCGATGAGAGGAGCAAGGAAAAGATTGTCGACTTGCAGAAGGTGAAACCGTCAGCCGGTCAGAAGCGTAGTAGATGTGCCCTGTCACAAACGTCAGCAGCAAAAGATCTTGTTGGCAAGTCACTGACTTCACGTTGCGCTCCAAGACCAAAAGCCGGAGGCGTCCTGGTGAGACGTTCTTTACCGCTTCCCACTTGTCGGTCGTCTGACAACCGTTCAGGTCGACCAAGAGATTTTCTCGATGGAAGGGAGGCCGAGCAGGTTCAGGAAGCCAAGCATCAAGCTTGTGGAAGCCATCGATGCCGGCAGCAAGTCAAAGCGGAGGCGAGCAAATGCGAACAGGGCGCAGAAGTCCGAGTGGCCATGGGGAGGCGTGTGCCCGGACACGGTGCAGGAGCTTGTAGGCGATGTGACGGCAGAGGGGGAGGGATTGGATGGATTTGACTGCCGAAGCGTCTTGCCGCGAGAACTAAATGATTCCGTGTGGGGGATGGCAGAAACTTCACCAGACGACGATTTCTTTTAGGAGGAACAGACAAGTTTTAAGTAGAAATTATGATTATGATTATGAATTAAAGTATCCAGAAACAAACGGACTTTGCTATCTCGAGACCGCATGGTTCGTCCGCGGGAGGGTCCACTGGATCAGAGCCGCATGGAGTTGCTTCAGTAAAGGGTGAACGCGTGAGGTTTATCCCTTGTCGTCCACCTATCAATGATTTATTCATGTTTCCCCCTCCTTATACTTGGAGTTCTCTCTCGTCCTTCTTCTCCCTGCGGAACCATGTTCGAAAAGCTCTCAGACGAGCCTTGAGGCGGCTGCTCGAAGACGCTGCCTGCGTTGCTATCGCCATCATGTGCGTGTCTGGTCGCATGCCGCTCGTTGCCGCCTGCTCGAGCAGGTCCAACACTTCCTCGCGCCTGCCGACCTGGATCTGGAGAAAGCATGAGGAAGAAGCAGGAGGGAGGAGCAGGCTAAAAGCAGAAGATAGGAGCAGGAGGGAGGAGCAGGAGGGAGGAGCAGGAGGGAGGAGCAGGAGGGAGGAGGAGGCTTACCATCGCTCTCATCATCACTGAGTATGTCTTGATGTTTTGACAATCCGCGGGGATCTTGGCGAACAAGGAGGCGGCAAGCGAGACGGCCTCCGAGGTCCCTTCCTGTTTGGCTGCCTTGATGATGGCCAGGAAAGTGACGCTATCAGGACGGACGTTGGCGGCGATCATCTCGTTCAAGACCTTGATCGCCTCAACGATGCCTCCTCCAGCTGTACAAGGAGCTCTAGCAAACCCTTCAAGGAAAATGTTGTAGGCAACCGTGTCCGGCTCGACTCCAGCTCTCCTCATCTCCTGCATCACCCTGTAGCTCCTCTTCAGCGCCTTCTCTCCGTCGGCCGACCCAGCAGAGGTCGTGCAAATCTTGAGCAGAGCAGAGAAGCTGCGGCAGTTGGGCACGACACCATGGCTGCGCATGAGCTCGAGCACCCGATTCGCGTCCAGCAGGCACAGGCGGAAGGCGTCTCCTCCTTCAACAGGCGCCAGCTCGGCTGCCAGCGCGATGGAGTCGAGGAGGGCGTTGCAGGTGACGACGTTGAGCTGGACGTCGGAGGAGAACATGTCCTGGAGGACGCCGATGCCTATGGAGATGTATTGACGAGCTTCCTTGAGGGCCTCGGGGGTGCCGGACTGCGGGAGGATGCCGAAGCTGCGGGGGTTGGCTGACCCCACCAGCATCTTCTCGAACTCTTGGTAGTCGATCCTACCGTTGGCGTCCATGTCGGCCCAACGGAAGAACCTGACGAGATCCTTCTCCGAGACCTCCGAGCGAGGGAGGGCCCAGGAGGAGCGGGAGGAAGGAGCTTTGGTAGGAGACGACACGGCCTGCTTCTCCTGGAAGGGAGCTCTGCGGAGAAATGCGGACCTGAGCTCATCGACGCTGATCTCTCCGTCTCCATCTTCATCGATGCTGCGGAAGATGTTTTGAATCTTCCTGCGAAGGCGACGACCCCGCCCGTCTCCTTGCATGCACGTCAGGCTCTTAAAGATCACGTCCATGAAGATGGCGCATGACACGCCGTCGGGCTCCACATTCGATCTCTTCATCAGCTCAATTACCCTCCAGGAGAGTCTCACCCAGTCGCCGTCCAGCCCTGCCGCAGCCGCCATGCAGTACATGTCGATGATGGAGTTGAAGGTGACGGAATCTGCCTGCACTCCATCCTTCTCCATGAGCTCCAGGATCACGCTGCCATGCTTGAGCAGGCTCAGGTCCCCCACCTTCACTCCGTTGGCTCCTGCTGCCACCAGCGATGTGTATGAGATCACGTTGGGCTTGAGACCCTTCCTCCTCATCATCTGGATCAGCTGCAGCCCCTTGGCGATGCAGTCGGCGGGTCTCTCGCCCGGCACGCAGGAAGCGACGGCCTTGGAGCAAGCGGCGATCAGCGAGTTGTACGACACCAGGTTGGGCGCGATGCCTCGCAGCTCCATCGCTTGCATCAGCTCGACTCCCATGTCCACCATCGCCAGGCCTCGATGCTCCGCGGCTTTGCTGCACGCAGTCAGGAGGCAGTTGCATGTGATGATGTTGGGGTTCAGCCCCACCGCCTGCATGGCCTCGACCACATTCAGGGCTTGCGACAGCCCATCCTCCTCCTGCGTCGAAGACGACTTGATGCACGCGTCGAGGATCGTGGTGTAGGTGACCACGTCAGGGGACAACCCGTCTGCCCTCATCATGTCCAGCACGATGCTGCCCTGGTCGAAGACGCTGTCGGAGCTCCGGCTCAGCACGGGAGCTGTGCATGCTCGCATCAAGGCGTTGTAGGTCAGAACGTCAGGCTTCACTCCTGCCCTCCGCATGTCCTCCAGGATCTCCAGCCCCCCTTGCATGCCACTGCTCCTTCCCGCCTGCGCCTCCTTGGCCATGGCGCACATGAGCGTATTCCAAGTGACCAGGTCTGGCGTGACCCTCTGCCGCAGCATTTCCCCTCGCACGAGCCCGCGGGCCGCCGCTAGCCTGCCGCTCTTGGCGTAGACGTTGAGCAGCGAGTTCCATGTAGTCGTGCTCCACGTCAAAGAGACGTTCCTGTCACGAAACAAATCCTGCAAGCATGCACGTCACCTCAAGCGAGTAAGGGCGAGCAGGGGAGTTCACCTCAGCCACCACGACTGCTGCCTCGTATCCTGCTTCTGCTGCCTTGGCACAGAGAGAGAAGAAGTGGTTGTAAAAGTCCTCGTTGAGTTCAAGCCCATCCTCCCTCACCAGCTCCAACACTTTGCATCCATTTCTCACAGCCGATTCCGACCAGTTCCCTGCCCTCTTCATCTTGGCTGAAGTCAAGCAGATCTTGACCATCTGGATGTAAGTCAAGATGGAGGGGTTCAGGTCATGCTCTCGCATCAGCACAAGGATCTCCATCCCCTTCTGCCATCCCCGCGACCATCCTCCTCTTCCTCCTCGAGCCCCCGTGGATCGAGCACACATCTCCATCATGCTCGTGAATGTGATGGTGTTGGGTGCGATACGCGCATCTCGCATCATGTCAAGAACGGAGTACGCGTTTGCAAACGCTTCTTCCTGAGACATCATGCTTGCACTCTTGGCGCAGACATTCATCATCGAGTTGAAGCTGATGAGATCGGGTTCAATGTTCTCCTCTACCATCCTGGTCATCAAGTTGATTGCATGCTCGAAAGCAGGTTGGCACCCCCTTCCTGCCGTTAGCGCCGCGAAATGAAGCATCATGTTGTATGCGACAACACCAGCACGGTCTGCGTCCTTGAGCAGCTGGAGAGCCTCGAGAGCGACCCGCCATGACTCATCACAATCGCTGGAGCAGATGTCGCTGCTTGCTCTAAGGAAGCCACGGAACGAAGAGAGCAAGTCCTGAGTTGAGATAGTGCTAGACTTACACGCCGATTTGAATCGTTCAAGCTTCGACCTGATCTCTTGCTTTTCTCCCAACCCATTCGAGTTGCGGTTGCCTTTCCTCCCATCGCCGTCACCCTTGTTGTTCACCCTTTCGTTGTGTCCAAGGTCTAGCAGCGAAGTTTGAACGATGGAGGGCTCTCCCAGCTTGGCGATCTTTGATCGTTCATATTTGAGCTTCTGCTCAAGGCTCGTCACCACGCTGTCACGTCCCCTCGCGTCATCCTCACCTTGTTCACCAGCATCTTCTGCCTCTCGACAGCATCGCCAAGAGAGCACGTCCACGTGCGATGGAGGCACATTACCTGGCAGCATGGCGGTTAGAACAACAATAATCGGAATGCGCAGAGTTGATTCACCCGGGCTCCTGACTTGACGACAAGAGGATGCTTTGACCCCACCTGAAAAGCACCCGCAGGTTTGCCATCCCAGATCACGAAGAAGATGAAGACAACAGGGATGATAGTCTTCATCCCCTTCATATCTGCTATCACAACATCGCTTCGTCCACCTGTTCCGAAAGTCAACACACTCCGGTGTTACTATTTCTTTCTTTAGCTCCTCTCTGCCTGATGATGTTCAACTCAAATCTGGTTCATCCTTGCAACCAACCAGTTCTCCTCACATAGCCTCTGATGTTTCTTCTTCTTCCTCTTGAAAACGGATGTATTCCTCTTGAAAACTATCGCATATCGTCATCCTCTGTCTCTACCTCTCTCGCTCTATCCAGTATTGCCATCACGTTTCTTGTAGATGTCTCATGTGTGCAACTGTGAACTCTTGACACAAGAAGTCTACTTCCGCATCTTACATCTTCTTTCTTGTCGCTCTCTTTCTCTCTAGGTATTCAATCCTCATCTTCTCTCCACTCTCTCCGTCTCCCCTCCCCTCCCTCCCCTCCCCTCCCCTCCCCTCCCTCAGAATCCTGACCTGGTGCCCAACCATTTCCGTAGTCTTGCAACAATGCCACATGCACCCCCTCGAAATCCACTTAATTTACAGGTAAAACGAGGGGTGGGGTAATTCTGTTTGCCGCTTGTGGGGATGAGGGCCACGAGTTGGGGAACATGGCAGATGTTTTGGGGGTTGGAGCAGAGGGAAGGACGACGAAGACGACGATGCTGGGGAGAGAATGCGTGAGTGAAGGCTTGTCGATGGTGCATGTTGAAGGATTGTTTCTCCTGTTTTCCTGCCGATCTTTGAACATGCTTCACATCTACCCGTCTTTCTCCTGAGACACCTCGTAGGTTGTGAAGGAGCGGGTCAAAAAGCGATATCGGCATCCGACTCTTGAGGCGTTGCTGTCCAAGAGAAGGCTCAATCAGGTTGTTTCCATCGTTCGATTGTGATCTCAGGTCACCGCGAACTTGCAGGAAGTGCGATGCATGTTGAGAGCACGAAAGTGTGGAGTCGCAACGCCATGCATTTTCCATGTTGACTATGAAGAGGCGAAGATCTTCATGTCGTTTATCAAGGGCAAGACCATAAAAAGCTGGCTTCAGGATCAGGTTCATCTTCGATCTTACCAAGAGTCTCGATCTGACGTATGCACTCTAGCCACCGCAAGAGGATGTCGTAAAGCACCTGACTGAGATGGGGAGACTGCTGGGAAAGCTTCATGATTCTGATGTGAATTCCAACCTTTAAATCAAGAACTGCAGACTTACATTAATTTGCAGGTAATACACGGTGATTTGACCACATCAAACATCATCTTGTCCGAAGACAATACTCTCTGGTTCATCGACTTCGGGCTGAGTTACGTATCAAGTATGCCTGAAGACAAAGCTGTCGATCTCTACGTCATGCAAAGAGCTCTCGAGGTGATATCACAATCAGCTCATTCCTTGCATGCTCTGTGAGACCTGAAGCTGATGCGTGATTCCTCTAGAGCACCCACACCCAACAGGACCTCACAGATATCATATTGAAAGGGTACAAATCTTCTAAGAAGCAACAGGCTACACTGAACAAACTCACTGACGTCCGGATGCGAGGACGGAAGAAAGTGATGGTGGGATAGTTGATAAATGCCTCTGACTCATCGAAAGTTACGATTTCACTTATTTCCTTATCTTACATGTAATTTCCGAACTGAATCCCCTTGAAACTTCCGATTGAAACCCATGAAACAAAAGCTCCCAAAGAGAAAGGAAAACAACAGACATGAAATTGAATATTTCAATCTCCGAGATGTAGAATTGATGAGATCATGAACATTTTTGCGCCAGTGCGATTAGAGCATTTGCTGCTTCTTGGGCCAAATCCTCCTCAATGGCGTTCCTTTTTCTCTTCCTTTCGTTGACTCCGGTCACCTCGGCGTCATAAGCCCTGTCCCCCTCTGCACCAAGTGGGGCAGCTATTACTCTTTCGGTAGAGTTGCTTTCGCCATCAGTGACATACTCCTTCTCCCCACTTGGCTCTGGAGAAGGACACGAAAGGTCGAACGTGCAGTTTTTCTGCGCCAGGTCAAGAATCGCTCTGTCAGTGTTTGGTGATCTGTGAGCCAACGATCGCAAGTCAAAAATGTTTGGCGAAACCGTTTGCGGTTGGGGGAGGAAAGCAGGATTCAGAAAAGCAGGCATGCCAACTTGGCGCGGTGCCATCGATGCTAAGAACTTTCCGTCTTCGTCATTGTTCGCGTCATAGTTTTCCAAATGTCTCTGTAATCTGAAGATCAGTTTGTTGGTCAAGACATGCCACACAATCCTGGACCTGCATGTGATTCCTCTTTCCTGTGTCGAACGAGTCTCGTTCCATCCAGTGCATTGGGTTCTTGCAACCCATCGGAGCACTACCGCAGTCACAGCAGTACGAGCACCAAACCCATCTAATGAAACAGGAAAAAGAAAAAGCATCAGTTCTACATTGAACATCTTAAGCAATCAACCTTGATGAGAGATCTTCATACCCTGAACAAATATTATAGACACAGAGCATGTAGTCACACACAACAACACGGCACGAGGTCTTGCACATACGAACTGTCAACAAGAATATACATGCTCATCATACAGAGTGAGCCATCAAGACATGCCTACACAGTCAAAGGGAAGGGAACGTACTGGTGTCCAGCTTCACAAATGACGGTCAGGTAGCCCCTCTTGTGATTGCGAGTCCTCAAAGCACACTTGCAAGGATTTCTGTTTTGCTTCCTGTCGACGTGTTTGCACTTTTCCAACACCTGAACACCGTGTGCAAGAAGGTTCACTCGGTCAATCCAAGGCACTCTTGGAGAGTATGATTGAAGAGTTGGGGAAGCACGGAGCAGAGAACTGGGAGAACACACCATTCCAGACTGCAATACAGGAGCAGGACCAGGAATTCCAGCACATGCCGAGCCTGTTTGCAAAATCGGAGAAAAACGTGGCTCGGCGCAGAGAACAGAGTACACTGGTGAAGGACTCGCCAAACCGGGTGGGTTCACGCACACTGCGATCTTCTTGAAACCGTACATATCTTTAGTTCGCGGAAGAGGCCTGCTCTCTGCGCCTGTTTTGGAAGGAGCATTTAAGTGCCTTTGCATGTGATTTCTCTTCCCGGTATCAAATGAATCTCTTTCCATCCAGTGTGCAGGCATTATGCATCCGCGTGTCCCCAAGCCACAATCACAGCATTGTCGGCACCAAACCCATTGATGGCCAGCATCACAAGTGACTGCAAGATGACCCCTTTTGTGACAACGGATATGAAGCGGCTGCGCACACTGCATTCTATTCGACTTCCTGTCTACATGCTTGCATTGATGAAGCACTACCACCGGCTCTTCTGCACCATCGACGCGGATGATCGTTGGACTTGGATGTGCATTCAAGTGAGGAAAGGCAGGTGGCATCAAGGCCGCCATATCTTCGATGGTTCAGATAATCAGCCTTTTTAGATATTTGATTTCAACCCTTCGTTAATTCTGTAGAAGCACCGTCAGTTTCACCGAAATTTTGCGGACCCAGAGGCGTGGATGCGAAAGCTTTTGCCTTTGCCGTTTCTACAACACGACATGGCTCAACACACATAGACCACCGATTGAACTGAAGAAAATCAAATGCTGAAGAGGTAAATGGCAGATGAAAAACGAGGATGTTGATGGTTCATCAACTTATGCACGGGTATTTACAAGTCGTGCTAAGTGCTCTCGACCAGGGTTTTGCATGGAATTTTACATTTGAGCAACATGAGAAGAAGTATAGAGGAATGAACAAGAGAGAAACTTTGGTGAAGGAAAAGCATTCACGTTGCTAGATTGAAAAGCGCTTGTTCGCGCTTGTGTGAAGCACTCGCAGCTACTCTCAAGCAGGTTCGCTTTCGCCTACCGCCAGCATTGCTCACCTACTTCGCAAGCTTCTACCCAGATGGGTGGGTCCAAATCAGACCCCACCGATGTTTGCCTAAAAAGTTTGGACCTCATCACCCCCTTCTTGGATCTAGAATGGACCCGTACTTGCTGAAATCTGTAGTAGGGGTGGCACTGCCATACAAGGGGTAGAGGAATGGTCATAGCAACCTTCCAGAAGATCTTCTCCAGCAATCAATTGAATGCCGGCCAGTGCCGCGCCGGCCGGGCGCACTAGGCCAGGCACTAGGCTGGCCACCGGAGGCTTCAGCCCCAGCCGCGGCCCGCCCGGCCGCCGCCGGTGGGGCCGCCGGTGTCCGGGCAGTGCCCTGAAGCGAATTCGCCGGGCCGTGCCGGGCCGCTCCGGCTCGGAGTCCTCCAAGTCAACTCAGTAGTGTGAAAACCGTTGACCGGTAACGGTAAGCGGGCCCGGCCCGAACCCGGCGAGCCGCTCAGTCTGATCGGATCTAGTCCTTTTTACTCAACTCACAGTAAAGTTAAGTTAAAAATCAGTACGAGGACAATGGGTAGTGATTGCAGTCGCCGGGACTGTCACGTGCAAGTTTGGGGAATGCTGAAAATAAGGGTGGGGTGGGTTATTAGAATTGTGGGGGTTCTGATAAGGGTATCTTTGTACTGAACTGCAAGGGTGAAACGCCACTGGGGTCATTGACCAATGGGGGTAGGGGGTGATTTTTCGAGGGTATAAAGTATTCGACGTCAGAGGGTGGGGTGGAGGTCAGCAGAGGACGTCGTGCAATGGCGTCTTCCATGGGAGGAGCGTCAGCGAACAGGCAAGTCTGCGATTGCAACATGAACATTTTATGTTCCACTTTGTTTTACACATACTCTGATATTCTTCGTTGTGTTGTGATTGTGACTATGGGGGGTGGGGCTGCTCTGAATTCCTCGGGTTCCCTTGGTGAAAGGTGATAATAGGCTGCGAATGCTGATCCATCCGATTAGTTGTTACACACTCTGAATATACGATGTAGAGATCATACTCAAACGTATATCTGAAGCAGCTTTTGTGTATCTCTCTCACTGAATAGCTCATTTTTCGAGTGGGCTGATGAAATCTTTTTTTTTCCATCCAGCAAGGCAAATGCTCGTCCGCCAAAGAAAGGAAGTTTTCCGTTGGACCACTTTGGAGAGTGCAAGGAAGCGATGAGTAGGTTGATTCATTTTTTTTTTGATAATTCTCCTTTTTTGATTTTGATTTCTTTTCAATTAGGTATATGGCCTGTATGAAGAACAACGACCATGCACATGCTACATGCAGAGAAGAGACCAAAGCGTATGAATTTCAAGTGATTGTATCTTGATGTGACCTTTTGTGTTATAGGTATCTTGAATGTCGAATGGCAAATGGACTCATGGAACAAGAAGACGTCTCGAAGTTCGGTTTGAATGATTCTATCGACCTGCAAAGCAGCCTGAAAGCGCAAGAGGTGATACATGTTGTCCATCCATCAAACATTCCTGGCATGCTGGGGCTTGGGATGTTCAAATCTAAGTTGACAACCGACTGAGAAATCCAATGCGGAATATTTTCCTCTCGTACTACTGAAGCTTCACATATCCTTCACTTCCCATTTCAAAATTTTGTATTTGAAAAAGTTTTTTGAGTTTGTCGTTGACAGGAATTTGTCGAATCAAGGGGACGAAAATACGAGGATGGGTTTGTTGCAGGCCTTTCTCGAAAGAACAAGTCTAGTTCATAGATTGTATATAGATTATTTTTTTTTACTGTACTATTTTCAAATGAAATCAGGTTTCTGTCTACATTCATTCATGCCTACTCTTTTGCTAGACACTCATCAAGAAGAATAACTGGAGTTGTAATTGGGGTTGACGATGTCAGACTCATGTTCTCTTTCCACTCATTCTTTCGATCTTTGTAAACGTTCACCGCTTGGTGTGCGATTGACCCTATCACAACGAATATTTTTTTTTCTGTTCGAGTTCTGTTCGAGTTACTTTGTGACGTATTGTTTTCGATTACTTGCTAGAGTCATACTTTGTTGCACGTGGAAGTTGAAACCTTGCTTGGTATTGAACTAGATCTATAAATAAACCACATAATCACCTTAAGTCATTCTCGCACAGGTGTGCTTGACCCGAATCCGTTATGTTTTGTCCTGCATCCGGTAGCAATCAATCAATGGTCGAATCCGACATCTTCTGTTGCGTGCGTAGGTAGCTCAGATCTTGCAAGCACCTCCCCATCCATCGGCGATCACGATGCAGTGACTCCTTGTACCTTTGGCAGCACATCAGACCCCTACTTGTAACTGATTTTCGCTATGTCTTAGGGGGTGGGTGGAGAAAGTTTGAAGCTAGGACCCCACCCCATTTCTCTCGGAGTCAAGCCGTCCAATTGCCAGTGGTCCATGTCCCTCTACCCCCTGGTATATTATCTATCACCCCACCCTCCGTCCCATGGCACGAAAGGGTGCTCTGACCATTGACTTTCACTCAACTTTTTGTGGGGGTAGGGTTGTTTCAAGCCGGGGTAGTATGACTCCTGCCAATTCTGACCGAGAGAAAGTAGGGGTACCCAAAGGCATAGACCATGTTGGGGGATAGGGTGGGTTCGAGCAGTTATGGAGCCAAAGGGTAGGGGTGATCTGAATTCCATCTTGGGGTGGGGTGGAAAGGCGTGTGATGTCCTGTGACAAGGAGTTTTCGGACATGGCGGGGAGAGGAAGTGGAGGGCAGGGTAAGGAGACGGAGGGAGCAGAGTGACGAATCAAACTGTTGAACTTTGATCCATCATCACTACGAGATCTGCTGCTTCTTCGCGGCCTCTCCTGCCGTGCTGATCGCTCTACCTTTCAATGCTCAACCAGTCGTGGTTCGTATCTTTCACAGAGAGGGTAGTCCCAGCTTCCTTTGCTCGCATTACCCGGTCACTAATGCAGTTTCAACAACGATGCGATCCCACTCGTTCCAGGAGGAAGCTTGCCAGAAGAATCTCCTCCTCGATCTTTCGGTTTTCCTTGATAGCCTGCGTCATGACGTGTTGCTCCTTGAACTTTGCTCATGGGGCATCGAGTTGTGGTGGGAATGCCTCCATCAGCGCAAAGGATCAATGCAGCAGCATTGAGTCGCTTTGGACGTCGATAGACTTCCAACCAAAGGTTGTTTACGAGCCGGTCGCAATGACCATCTCCATGAAATACTCTTTCCCGTTATTGACCAACGAAATAATCTCTCTTCACCTTCCAGGCTTCAGAAGAATGCAGGGCTCTGGACTTTTGGGAAACATCTCGACTTGTGATGCTTCCTTTCGATGGTATTGGGATGAATGCCAAAATCTCCTGACGCTGGTGCCCTCAAGTTCTTTCCCACAAAACCAAGTCATAAATTGTCGCCTTTATCCGAGGGACGGTCTCCAATTGCCAGAGTTCGGAGTGATCACAGATAGCAAGACCATTTCAATCTCAACAAATGCGGTTGCTTTCTCGTACATGTTCCCTACCATAACTCGCTTCTGTGCTTCACACGTGGGAGGAGTTGGAAGCATCACAAACGGGCCAGGGCTGCAATTCGTTCCGGGAATGGCTGGAGTGGTGAATGATATGTACGTGACGGTGAATGCAAGTGCGACGATTCTCCCCATGGACTCGATCATTTTCGAAATGAGCGATTTTGTAGCTGAGGGATGCACGCTGAATCCGCAGTGGAGCGCCAGTGCTGGCTGTGCTGCAAACCAATCACATAACCACACTACCAATTACTCTCAGTCATGTACATACTCTACGAGCTTCTGCTACCGGAGGGAGGAATGCTCAAATCTGTGTTATCTAACTGAAAACTGTGTTCAAGAATCGATTGTTTTCCAAGACTGCAATAACAGCTGCACAATGGTTGCCATGATCAATTTTAGCAATGTTTCATATGAGTGGAATTGCGAGAAGAACTGGTTGAAGGTCATATTTGACAGTCCAATAGAAGCGAACAGGGAAAAGACTGTCAAGATTCCATCTGCATATAGGATAAGATTGCCTTTGCGAGGCATTACCCCTGCCAACTCTGGAATCAAGTTCGAGGCAAACTTTCAGAACGGAAAGATAGACTGGACACCGGTCAAAAACTTGAACTCTGTTGGCGCTCTGCGTGAGACATCGCTAAGATTTGACCCGCCGGTGGCAGGGTACAACATCAACATTACCTTCCAATTCATCCCGGACATGCCTATGGTACAGGGAGATTTGATGTTGTTGAGAATGTCATATTTTGACCTTGCTTGTGACGTGTATGCGACTGAAAATTCTTCAAATGTCACCTCAGACTATGAAAATTCAACCTCATTGGTCAATGTTTCTAATTCAAGTCAATCTTCGCAAGGGCAGACGAAGTGTTTCTATAGCATGGGGATCCGAACCTTGCCAGAGAATGTGATTGAAGTATTGCGGTGGGTGAACAGTGAGCAAACCTTGTACCTTCAAGTCAACCAGCCTATTTCCGCAGGGCAGCATATCTCTCTGACCATCCCTTCAGCATTCGGATTCAAAGTCCCGCGCCTTGGTATTCAAAGATCTTCCAATGCCTTTCAAGTTTCCGCCGACGCCAAGTCAGGCATGGTTGTATGGACTCCAATCGAGCAATACGATCTCATCGGAGGTATCTTGCATTCTTTTTCGTGTGTTCGATGTTGACGTGTTTTGCGCAGCATTTGTGAACACCTCACTTGACTACGGCACTCCAGGAGCAGCGCAGAGGTCAAGCATCTCGATAGCTTTTTCTCCTGTCATGGCGATTATGCCACGTGAAAGAGTTACTTTCATCCTTCCAAATTTCTTGTTTCTCTCTAGCAAGGGGCAAAGTCTCGTGCCCTTGCCGACGAGTTTAATTCTTCAGAAGCCTCTGGCTTATTTCTCAGACTTTTTCTGGAGCTCGTCGGATCAATCCATCCAAGCAAATTGTCTCCACGAAATTCCTGCTGGCTTGTATGTTCAGCTGACGATTGACCGTGATATGAATGTCTCCCTCCCAATGTCCAACTTGGCCTTGAACGATCCGGCCCTCGGTTTGTCAAGCAACACGACCAATGGGCCTGTGCTTTTCGCATCCTTTGAAAGATCACCAGTTGTTTCGGTCTTTGGAAATATCACCAATCATTCCTTGTCTTTCTCGGAAGATTCAATTGCCCATCAGCCTGTTGAATTTGAATTTGAATTTGCCGTCACTGAGCATTTGCAGTCGTCGCATCAGGACGAGCTGGTCTTGCACCTCCCAGGCTTCTCAAGCGTAAAACAAACATTTAACGTATCCTCGACCCCTGCTGGGCTCCTTCGCTCAGCCGTGTGGACTCAGTCGGCTGTCGAGGGGTTCTGTCCTTCTGACTGTCTCAAGCTTGCAGCCGCAAGCGATGTGCCTGCCGAGACTCTCGTTCGGGTTCTCATTCCTCTGGAAGCAGGAATGACTCTACCTGTCGAAGGTGTGAGAGTGAACGATCGAAGGTACACCATTGCTAGCACAGCCATTTCGGGGCCTGTGCGACCGACTCCCTTTCATGTTCCTCAAGGAGTCGGCTCCTTTGGCAAGACAGCGAACGTTACATTTTATGAAGGCAGAGCCGGGGAGCCTGTGGCGTTTGCTCTCAATTTCGTTGCGTTCATGCCCCTAGGAAGCAGAGATCAGGTCTTGTTGCGCATGGATTCCTTTGGAGGAGATGACTTCCAATACGAAGTCGATGCCAATCAGAATCATTCAAATGTTTCCTTCAATGTGTTTCCTCCCGCTGCAGTCTGTAGAATATCCTGGAACAAAACCATCTTGAACGTTTCGATCTGCAACGATTGGCCTGCGGGCCAGCGCTTCAGTATCTCCATCCCCAGGACTTGGGGGATCATCTTGCCACCAGCAGGACTGCGGGTGGAAGGGAGTTACTTGTGGATATCTTCCAACGCGTTCCTCGGAGTTGTGAGAGACACCCCAGTTGTCACTTTCACCCCTGTCGGCGCTCTCGAGCAAGACTCGCTCCAGATGTTATTCGAGCCCATGCGGGCAGCAGCGACTGTCAGTCTCACCGTCAGGTTTCATCCTCTCATGTCACTGGAGACAGGCGATCTGATTGTTCTGCACTTGCCTTCCTTCTTCCTCGTCAACACCTCCAGCAATCACACAGGCAATGCCACCGATCGGTTCTCGTTCTCTTGGGACCAAGTATCCTTCAACCTCAGCGCTAGGCTACTCTACCCAATGGGTGCCAACATCACTCACGATCTGATCGTTCCATCCAAGTTTGGTCTTGCCTTGCCAAGGGAAGGAGTTCGACGGAATCAGGATTCAATTCTATTCAACGTTGTGTCTACCCAAGGCAACATCCTTCCAAGGAGGTTTGATGAGATTCTTCCCGTCGGAGCTTTTGTAGACGGCGTCGCCCTTCGCTTTGACCCTCTTGCTGTTGGTCAAGTTACCAGCATTCTTATCAGTTTCCAAGTCACAAACGTCATATCTATCAATGACACCTTCATATTTTACCTGCCCAGGTTCTTCTCTCAAACCTCACACAACAAGACTACGGCTGAGCTGGACTTGTTCGATGCTGTTTGGGACAATGCAGAACAATCTTTGTCCTTCGTTGCCAAGACACTTGTCTCTCCCTATCAGAACATTTCCCTTCTTGCTCCTCCTTCAATGAATATTTCGATTCCTCTGAGCGGTTTGCCCTCGACCTTCGTTGGGAGAGTCAGGGCAGACGTGAAGGAGGGGCCTATTCTCTTGACTCCCGTGAAGCCCTTGCAGACCCTCGGAGCTTTCCGTTCTTCGAGCATCACATTTGTGACACCGCGTGCAGGGAAGCCAGCGGATGTTGTTGTTATGATCAGGGCATACATGATGATAGGTAAAGGAGACGTGGTGATGTTGAAACTGTCAAACTTTGAGGGTCCCGGCGGCCAACTTGCGGTGAACAGCTCCTCCTTTGACATCGCGTCATGGAACTCGACTTCAGGGATCTTGAGCATGACAGCCTCGCGCCTGATTCCTGCAGGAGAAGAAGTATCTGCTGTCGTCGTCAAGTCAGATCTCCTTCTCTTGCCCTCCTACGGAATTTCTCTTGCCCATGTGATTCAAATCAGCTCAAACGCCTTTGACGGGCCGGCCCCATGGACGAAAGTTGACTATGTCCAGCCTGTCGGGTCCTTCTTATTTTCAGAGATAGCTATGTCCATTCATAAGGTAGGACAAGAAGTTGCCTTGTCACTGTCTTTCAATCCTACGATGGAGGTCATGGAAGGAAGCAACATCACTTTCAAAGTCCCCAGCCTCTCAAGCTCTTTGTCAACCCTCAATTGCAGTCTCCGATCGGCAGGGGACGAAACTCCCTACCAAGCCAAGTGCACATGGAGGCCACAGACGAGCTCTCTACAAATGGAGGTGTATGCGAAGCTTGAGGCCAACAGCACCTATCAGGTACAGATATCTTCTCTTCTCTTCTTTGGTGAGGAAGGAATTTCCTACGATGATGAAAGTGTGACGATAGCCTGTGATTCACCTACTGGGCCTGTGCTCCCAACGAGAATCATTTTCATCCCTTCGATTCACTCTTACGGCAAATTCACTTCATCAAAGATTTCTTATCAGCCTCGTCGCACGGATGTTCCAGTCGTCATTCTGTTCTCGTTTGCTGTTGATGTTTCTCTGTACAGTGGTGATGTGGTGACCTTGCACCTGCCCAAGTTCCTCTCGAGCTCGACGAACTGCTCAGTACATGTCAACGGCAATGTCTGGACGGACTGTAACTTTCAAGGGGAGACTCTGAGCTTTACCGTCATGGCTGATTTCCGTCCCAACGAGGTTATCGTCTCAAAGATTGCAAGTGATGGAGGAATCATGTTGCCTTCTGACGGCATTCGCCTCGGCGACAACTTCTTGAAGGCTCAGGTGCAGGCGATTGCTGGCAGCGTTGCGCTCGCCACGATCAGCTCCCAAGATCCAGTCGGCACACTGAATGGAGCCGCCCTGACTTTCAGCCCAGCTCAAACAAGTCAGAAGGCACGGCTCATGCTCTCATTCCAACTTCAGAATACGATACAGGCTTTAGAAAGATTGACGTTGCAATTGCCGGAATTCTCCTCTGACACTAACACTACTTGCAATTTGAGCGCGTTTGTGTCCAAGGACCTCAACTACACGTTCCGTACCATCGAGGTCAGTGCAAGGTGGAGGCAGTCGAGCTCTGACCTGGTCATCGAATTTCTTCAAACTGTGCTATGGCAAGACAACAAGCACGTCACCATCGTCCTCCCTCAGGCGTGTGGGATCCATCTCCCTCCGAACAGTGTGGCCATCGATCTCAAAAACTTCACCATCGCGTCCAACGCCCTTTATGGTCCTGTTGACCCCACCCCCCTTCAGTTCCATCTGGCTATCGGCAAGTTCTCGTCGCTGTCTCTCTCCTTCGGCGATGCCGTTGCGGGTGAAGCAGCGAACCTGACTCTAAGGATTGCCTCCGAGCTTGCCCTGGCACGTGATGACGTCATCACAGTCTACTTGCCAGGCTTTCGTTGTGACGACCCTTCAGCCGTACTTGTTCCGGACCAAAGCTCTGTGAATGTCTCGTTGTATTGGCTGCAGAACACGTGCAGTGCGTATCAGAGGTTCTGCTCCGCCTCACCCATGGCAGTCCTCTCTGTCAAATTGCTTCAGGACGTAGCCAGCAATCAAGAGATCGTGCTGGAAATTGTGTCCGGAAGTCGCCCGGACTCTTCGAGCAACTTCAGCATCTTTCTCCCTCCGAACGGGGTTCGGACGTACGAGGCTGAGCTCAGGGCTGCAGTGAACAGCAAAGTCAATCCCATCTATCCGTCAAACTTCGATTCTGTACAGCCTGTCGGATACCTGGGTCAAAGGAAGAAGCTCAAGTTTGCGTTTCCCGCTCGTGCAAATCAAACCGGCGGGATACAGGTAGAGATCACCCCGGCTATGGACATTCAAGTGAACGATGAAGTATTCCTTTTCCTCCCACAGTTTCTGGGGCCAAGTTTTGACAACAAGACGACCTATGATGCCAACCATGAAGAATTTGCTCTGGTCAGCTGGGACGCTGCTGAGATGCTGCTGAGACTTGTCATGAAGCAGAACTTGAAGGCTGGCAACCTCGACATCCCATTGCCCAGTGACTTGGGAGTGATATTGCCAGCAGAAGGCCTGAAAACGAATGAAACTGCCTTGAAGATCAATGCCGCTGTAGTCGCTGGATCTGTTCGTAGGATTGGCTTTGACGAGGTCCAGGCTGTGGGCGCGTTTCAAAATGTCAACTTTGATTTTGAGAAGTTCTTCTCATCGTTCTCGTGCTATATGACCCTCTGGCCGGGAGACGAGCTTGTTTTCTACATTCCCACATCGATGAAAGCGTTTTCGCAGGCTTCTTTTGACAGCAGTTGCTCCCTTTCGGTAACTTTTTATCCCGAGGCCAACCAGTTGAAACTGAAGGTGGATCAGAAAGTGACACGATTGCAAACTTGTGAAATTGTATCTAGTGCATATCAGTCCTTTACCTCGTTTCCTGCCTTAGCCGAGACGTTCATGTGGGTGGAGGTAGAGGCGACTGAGGGATACATTCCTCCGACTAGGATCGATGACGTCATCACAAAGAACCCTTTCATACAGTACCCTGTGCTCTCCTTGCACGCAGACCCGCTCAAACGGGCCATAAACATTTCGTTCGTGTTTACCCTGGACGAGAGTTTCTTTGTCAACACTACTGTTACCAACGTGACTCTGATCTATGTGGGTGCGGCTACGGTCACTCTGGAAGACATGTACAATGGAACGTTTATAGGAAACAGTCGGATGCCGTTGAGCTTGAACGAAGCTGCCCTGTTCGAGGAACAAGCGTTCCAGCTTCAGTTCCCTATCCTTTCCCAAGGCCTCTGGAGGAATCAGAATGGTTTCTGGTTGACCTTCCGGAAGGATGACCAGGAATTTTTGTTCCCGTGTAAAAACACTCCATTTGGAGGATTTGCACAATCCGAATTGAAGTTTGACGTCGTGCAGGGCAAGATGAACATATCTGTCGTCACCACCATGGATCTTGTTGCGTTTGACAGTCTCTTCATAAACCTCAACACTTTTTCGTCTGATCTTGATGTCATCTCTGTTGCTTCGGACCCTCCTGGGATTTGCAAGAAGGGGCTCTGGGACGGATCAGGCGTCTTGGTGCTTGTGATGGAGGGCAGGAATGTCTCTGCCGGCCCAGTCGTGCTCGCTCGCAGGAAGCAACTGACCGTCATCCTCCCGCTGGGACCAACGGGCCTGAGGCTTCCGAAGAATGGAGTGAGGAGCGAGGATGAGACCATCACCGTCGGCTCGAACGCGTCCTTGGGGCCTACCAACGCCAAGTCTTTCGGGTTTGTTCAGCCGGTCGGATGCTTTCGCAACGGATCGTCAGTTGAATTCTTCTCATACTTCTCGAATAGAAGTTTGGTCGGGAATCCTGTGGGGTTACGGATCTCGTTCAAAGCTTGCATGAAATTGTTGCAAAACGATGCGGTGTATGTCAAATTGCCTGGATTCTATGTGGACTCCAAGATAACTCCGGTGGCAATCTCAGGTTCTGACTTTGAACTTGTCGATTTCCAAGGCGATGTTGCCACGTTTGTTGTGCGAGGAAACGTCACGGAAGACGAGCAAGTAGTGCTAGAGGTGCTCCCTTCTGTTGGGTTTCGCCTTCCGTTGGTTGGCGTGAGGCTTGACGACGTCGCTTTCAACATCGCAACAAACGCGTTCGAGGGGCCAGTGCAAGAGACTTCGTTCGACAAGGTGCAAGCTGTTGGGTCCTTCACCTCCATCTCCTTATCTTTCGCCCCAGACAGCCAGGCTGGTCGACCGGTCAACGTGACTTTGAATTTTACTGCAGCGATGGACATCTTGCAAGGAGAGAATGTCTCTTTGCTCCTCCCGGGCTGGCAAGCTGAAGACTTCATGGCGGATGGCTCCTTGCTCACTTTGAACAACACCAGCATCCACGTAATCTTGTCATGGGCCCAGACCGACGGCCCCCGGCTGACGATGTCGTTAGCTGATCGGCTTCCAGCAGCAGAGTGGGCTCAACTTCAGTTGACTAGAGCACTTGGCTTGGTGGTGTTGCCTTCACAGATCCAACACAACTTGAACGCAATCGTAGCCTTCACGAACGCGCGACTTGGCGTTGTCAACTTCTTTCCTGTCGACATGCAGAACAAGATCGGCGCTTTTCTTGACACCAAAATAGAATTTTCTCCTGCAGCTGCAAACATTGCTGTGGAGTTTACAATCTCGTTTGTGGTTCAGATGGACATCTTAGCAGGAGAAAACATCCACTTCCTGATGAGATCGCTGAAGCGCATCAAACGGGGCCCTGTCTCTGTTGTGCTCAACGGCTCCTCTCTCAATGTCTCGTCTTGGGACTCAAACTCCACGGATCTTGTTTTCCAGTCTCCCGACACCATCTATGCTCTCGACCCGGTCACATTTAGGATACAGCTGTCCGAGGGGTTTGTCATGTCACCGCTCGGTCTCGCCGAGGAGGGGTCGCCCAAGATCTACACTGACGCTTCCAACGGGTTTGTGAACCCCATAGAGATCGAGCAGTTCCCTTTGATTGCAAGGATCTTTGACGCCAGGCTCGTCGTAGTGCCGCTCATCGCTGACTTCGATGCTGACGTCAGCTTGGAGTTGACTCTCTCCGTCCCGCTGCTTCCTGGAGATGTCGTGAGGGTCCACCTCCCAGGATTCTCTGAGGGCAGGTCGAGAGCTGCTCAGCCTTTGAACGCCTCCTTGAACTACTCTGTATCCTGGAACGAGTCGGATGCCTCGATCTCTTGGACGATGTACGACGAGGTCCCGTCGCAACTTCCGATGACGTTGGCTGGGCCGTCGGACATGTACCTGAGAACTTCAAAGAAAGGGCTTCTCCTCTCCCAGCAGGACAACTTGATCGAGCTGCGAGCGGCAAAAGGCAACGTGATGTGGTCCCAGCTGACCGCCTTCGATCCCTTCGGGGCGCTCTCTTCTCTTCCGCGGCTGGCATTGCTGAACCCCTACCCTCAAGCGGAAGCCACGTCGGGGCTTCAGCTTGACTTCCAGTTGTCCATGGACCTTGTTCCCGGGGACAGCTTGAGGGTGTTCCTTCCAGGGTTTCGCGTGCCTAAGAATGGTCGATTGAATGTGTCGTCTGCAACGATCTTCAATGCAACCTCTCGAGTGGAAGTTGACGCGTTTGCTGGATCTGTGAGCAACATCTTTTACCATTATGCAAACTATGAGGTTGTGATGTTGACAGCAAATGATACCGAGGCCGCCGGAATTTTGATCGACCTGAAGTGCGAGGATCGTGTCTTTTCCAATTCATCCATCTCGATTCAGGTTGGTGACGATGCGGAGGTTTCGCTTCCACATGATGGCGTCAAGGGCATAGAAGGCTTTGCGATGTCTGTCAATGCTTCTGATGGACCTGTCCTTCCTAGTCCATTTGCTTCTGTCCAGTCGGTTGGAATTCTTTCCAACACATCCATGATTTTTGGAGACTTGGCAGCCGCTGGTGAGATTGGCAACCTGACGCTCTCGTTTTCGTTTTCATTCAATCTTTCCGAAGGCGATAAGATTGTCGTCAGGCTCCCAGCATTCTTCAATTTGTCTTCTCAGGGAACAGCAAGACTAATTGCTCATAATGAGTTGTCAATGGACATCGATTTTCATGTGCCTGAAATGTATGTGCTTGAGTTTACATTGCCCCAGAATGCTTTGATTCCTCCGGCGTCTCTTGTAAGTGTAAGCGTTGTCGAAGAATTCGTGCTACCTCCGCATGGCGTTGCTCAGGATTCAAAGATCAACATGACAGTCCTCCAAGGATCTTCATCGATTACCTTCTCCAACATTCAATCGAAGCAACCGGTTGGAGCGGTACTCAATGAAAACATTCTATTCGACTGTCCGAATGCAATGGGGGCTGTTGGCTTCACACTCTCCTTCCTTCCAACGATGAGCATCCAATCGGATGAAACAGTCGCTGTCTTTCTGAGAGGCTTCTATGCTGAGAACTACTATCAGCTTGCTGTCGCTTCTTCACAAGTACAACAAGTAACTGTTGAGCCGCTTCCCACTGGAGTCCGGGTTATCTTTGCTGTACAGGCCCTGTCTGCAGGTAGTCAAGCAACATTGAGGGCCGACGTGACTCTGGGTATCAAGCCTCCGAATGCAAGCTCTTGCCATGATCGCATTGCTGTCATCCTTTCTGTTTCTGCAGCTTCCGGTCCAGTGCGGAGCAAGGCTCTCTCTTCGGTCGTTACTGCCTCGGTCCGATCTCATGCTCCGGCGCCCGGTGAGACGTTATTCTTGTCTTTCGAGATGCTCTCAACTATCCAACTTCGTGCAAACGACACGATGATGCTTGTTCTCCCCCCATTTGACTTCGCCTCGACCGCATCTAGGAGTCTGGGCAGCACGGAGGTCGTACAAACGTGTGGAGATACTTCCGCTACTGTGTTTCAGTCGAGTGTTCTTTGGGACGCATTGTTGTCAAGTTTTGTTCTCAAGATTCCAGTTGACGTGCAGAGCGGTAGTAGGTTGTCAGTGAACATCAGTGGAGCACCAGCGGGATTGAAATTTCCGTTGCAGGGAATCCCTCTCTCACAGACGAATCAGTTCTCTGTCAAGATACAGCAGGAGTCACAGACTTACATCTCCTGCTTGGGAATGTTAACACCATTCGGAGCGTTCTTGAGTCCTACAAACGTAACATTCACGAGCAATGTGCCGGGAAGTGTGACTGGCTTTCAAATTACAATGGAGATGTCGATGAACCTGTATCAGAATGACCGGATAGAAGTCTTCTTTGATGGGTTCGATATCTTTCCAAGTGGAGGATTTCGTCTGGATCAAAGATGTATGGTAGTCTATTGCGAGTTTCATCCTTTCTCATTCATCGTGAGTGCAGAGAGGAAGGCTGGGGGCGTACTGGTAGCCTTCATGAGCAATCAGTTCGTAGCTGGCTTTCAGAAGCTGGACTTGTCTGTGCCGGTGGAAGGAGGGTTGACCCTCCCGCGCAGTGAAGCTGCGCTACACTATTCGGTCAATGTGATAGCAGACGGTCTTGATGGTACCACCAGAAACCATCGGCCGATCAGAGTTCCAAGGCTTGGCTCGTTCCTTCCTTCCTACCTTACATGGAACTCGACTGGGAAAGAGACTGCTGACATTCGTCTCTTCTTCACTCCGCATATTGAATTTCAAGGGGGTGAAACCGTCTCACTCCGCATGCTTCCCTTCCTTGCCTCCTCAGCCAACGTCTCCGCTGACTTTCACTTCTGTGACAAGTCTTTCTCGTCAGGCTGTAGGTTTGACAGTTGCTTTCAAAGTCTGACAGCAAAAGATGCGCTCGTGCAGTGTTGTGGTTGTGCTTTAGTACATTCTGTCCCGGTGACTTCCGTATGGAATACCTCTTCAAGCTCTCTGACCTTCGCCATTCCCTCGCTGTTTATGACTGCTGTAAACAGAAGCGATCTTTTGCAGCTCACTCCTTGTTCATTGCACATCCCACAGGGTACTTTCCGTTACAACTCAACCTTGAAATATGCAACTGTGTTGGATTTTACACTTTCGACAGACTCCAAGACTGCTCCAGTGTTGCATGAGCCAATTCAAAATGTTTCTGCCATTGGCGATACCAGCTCGAAGATATCGGTCGGTCATTATCAAGGTAGGGATGGAATTCAGAGTATCATCAAGTTCAAATTTCCCTTCCGTCTTGTTTCCAGTACGAATTTTTCAGCCTTGGTCACTACGTTGGAACCATCCAGAAATGTGTCTTACTATTTGAATGTGACTGAAGAAGTCTTTACGCTTGAAATGTACAACCAGACATATTTCAATACCGAAGAAATCGCCGTCAATCTGTCAATGCAAGAGTCATATATGGATGTCTGCTTTGGAAATTTATCCCAATTTTCTATGCTTACAGAGCGTCGGAACTTCACTTCAAGCACAACAAAACTTCTGAATCGTACAAATGTGCAGAACATGACTCAAGTGAAGACCTTCACCATGATGACAGACCCTGTGGTATCCACAAACTTGACTGCTATCAAGCACAACGACACGATTGTATTGCACCTTCCAGAATTATCAGGACTAAGTTTTGAGAACGTGAGCTTGGATGTCCTGTGTCTGAACGACATTGGAATGCATTGGGATTACATACCACTGACCCAGCAAGAGTGTCAAGATCAGGTTCAGTCGTGCACTTGTCAAAGCTTTGGGCGCATCACTGCCGAATGGGACAACTCTCTCCACCTTCTTAGCATGACGGTTTATGGAAATATGAGTGGCGACATTCAGGTGCAGATTCCGGATCGATTGGGATTTATACTTCTTCCCCTTGTGTCATTTTCAGCACTTACCGACGCATGGATACAGACTGAGAGAATTCCTTTCTTCAAGTTAACTTGCGAGAAGGCAGTCAATGCTACTGTGCTTGAAGCATCAATGGAGTTTGGCCAAGTTTCAGCAGGGGAAGTAGCTGAAATCTTTGTTGTGATGTCTCTGTCTACGAAGATGAAGAGAGGCGACAATCTTTATATCTCGATGCCAGAATTCAATATCCAGCCCACAAATTCAAAGAGGAGTCCATTGATTGTCAACAGTCAGACTTGGAAATTCTTGGGCTATTGGGAGGCTATGTGTAACTTCTCTGGGATCAACATCGTTGCAGATCAAGACATACCTCCTGGAACTTCAATTCATCTTACATTCCCCAAGGCCAATGGCATAATGATGCCTGTGCAAGGCGTGTTGAAAAACTCTTTTGACATTCAACTTTCAATGGTCACCTCCGAAAATTCTATTTCCAATGTACCTTTCAAGACGGTGCAACCTGTGGGCTCGTTTGCTAAGCTGCCAGTGATACAGTTCTTCCGAGTGAATTCCTCTGAGGCAGCCTTGTTCAATCTGAACGTCACATTTCACATGCCCGTAAGAGAAAGAGACGTCCTTGAGTTGGTTCTTCCAGGTTTCTCTTGCAGTGGGCGGTCGTGTCAAACTTCAAAACTGATTTCTATACTGCTCAAGTCAGCGACAACCAAGGAGCTCATGAATTTCTCAGCTAGTTGGACTGAAGCCTCCAAAAAGCTCAGGATTTTGTTTCCTCTCGATGCTTTGCCGGAGCAAGAAATCACATTTGAATCCACTAGCCCGATGCTGTTACCTGATGTCGGTGTATCATGGGAGGGATCAGGGATAAGTATCTCTTTGAATTCAACGCTCGGCCCCATCGAGCCAACTTTAGTGCAAGTGATTCCCATTGGTTCAGTGCGCTCGTCTGCCATTGCGTTCGTCCCGGCGGTTGCAAACTCTCCTTCGAGAATCATTCTGACCTTTATACCGGGGATGGATATGAAGGTAGGCGACCTGGTCGAGCTGGGCTTGCCGCAGTTCTTGAGTCTTGATCGAACTCTGCCCAAGGTGAGGAGAGTGGTCTGTACCGAGAACGTGTGTGTGAAGATTCGAAATGGAGTTTGGGACGAGAATGCACAGTTGATGACCCTCACAGTCCTGAGGCAGATCGTGGCCAGAGAACTAGTGACCTTCGAGATTCCGTTCTCCTTCGGTTTGTGTCTGCCAGAGAAAGGTTTTCGAGCAGATTCTTCGAACATCAATATCACAATCTTATCGAACTCATACGTGTTGGTAGGACCGATTCCTCTCGGATCTGTACAACCTGTGGGTGGTTTTGTACAAGCTTCTGTGACTTTCAATCCAAACATACCCAATGTGAAGACCAATATTGTGTTGAGATTCATTCCTTCTGCTCGGCAACTGCGTGGCCGCAGCTTGTTCCTTACCATGCCTGGGTTTTCCAACACAAGACTGGGCAATTTTTCTGTCACATCTTTCCCAGCTTCATTTGTTAAGTTTGCCCGGTGGTCTGCGTCAACCTTCCAACTTCAATTCTTCATTGAAAACGATGTCCCTGAAATGACTCAGATAGTTCTATCTATTGACGCCGATGTTGGCTTTCAGATTCCATCGGACTCGATGCAAACAAGCCTCGTCTTCAAACTTCAGTCTGACATGCCAGACGGCCAGATGCCTCAGCCCCTTCCTATTCGCGCAAATTTGTCTTCTGGTCAGCTGTTTTCGTTTTCGTCGTCAAAGTTGTCATTCCGGCAGAAATATGCTGGAAAGCCGACGTCTCTTTTTCTCGAATTCTCAACTGCACTATTTTTTGTCGAGAACGATCAGCTCCTGTTGCTCCTACCTGGCTTCACCCGCAGGAACGGCGATGTAACCTGTAAAAACATTACCACCACGCCGAGTTCAGCAGTGAAGCTAGCTCTATGGATTCAAAAAGACAACACTTTGGTTCTCAACATCTCGACATATTTTGAAGAGAACAAACAATTTCAAATACTTGTCTCAGACGCATGTGGCATTGAGTTACCTTTTGATGGTGTTTCATCTTATCAAAGTGGCATCAAACTCTCTGCAGTAAACGCTGCTGGTCAAATTGGCTTTATGCCACTGTCCATGGTCGAACCTGTTGGATCGTTCGGTTACTCAACGGAATTGCATTTCGCCGAATACGGACCACAGAGACAGGTGAAGTTCTCGATTACCTTTTCACCAAAAATGGGCTTATCACCCGGAGATGAATTGATTGTGAGTCTGCCTGGATTTGTCTGCAATCGCACGATGGTCAACCTGTCGTCCAACAAAGAGGGCCTCGTTTCAGTTGGATATTGGAGGCAATATGAAGTGATTGAAAAGCTTCGCAACGGCACCAGCTCTGGGCCGATCTTCCAAATCAGCGAAGAAATTGTATGCGAAAACAGATCATCTGTTGTTGAGGTTAGACAGAGTGCTGACCCATGGTGCGTTCCAAAAGTAAGTGAGATTATACAGACCGTCTGTTGGAATATTTCGAACAAAACATATATAAGTTCCCAGAATTCATCTTTCATGTACGATAGTGAAATTTTCCCTAAGCATGAATTGACCATTCCGATACTCCACGGACTTGATCCGTGCCAAGTGGTGACTTTGCAAATTGTGAACAATGATTCTTTCTACTTACCACTGGAAGGTGTACGCGCCAATGACGCAAACCTTACTTTGCGAGCGAGCGCTGTCGCAGGCAATGTTCCAGCAACACCATTCGTAAGTACTATGGCAGTTGGAGCAGAATCGACGTGTGACTTCGGATTTTTTCCCCAAACTGCTGGAAGGTCTACTCAATTAGAATTCAGTTTCTCTTCGATGATGCCGCTTTCCGATGGAGACCTGATTGTTTTACGCGTTCCAGGCCTGCGGTTGAAGAACGTTTCTGTTGAAATTCCTGGTTGGAAGCTACTGAATGATGCAGCGAGTAACAGACAATATTTCTTGAACACTTTGACCAAGCAATCTGTGTGGGCAAGTGATCTCATCCTTGATTTTGAGCGAGAGTATTCCACGATTAATGAATTCACGAATGTTTCATACGGAGTGGTCGGGAGCCAAGTTTCATCTAAGAATGCAAGTGCGGGTAACCTCACGAATCCGGTCATGATTGTTGGTGGCATAGGTTATTCTGGTTTGGGAACTTGGTGTCCTTTGAGTGAGGAATTGACTGTCCTTGTGTCAAATAGCATCCAGGCTGGCGTTAGATCCACCTTCAAGATTGAACCGTTCGGCAGTACCTTTGTACTTCCCGACAAGGGTTTTACCCCCGACAATTCCGTGTTTTTCAAAGTGGTGTCAAAATCAGGAAATGTCCAAGAAAGCAGCTGCAAGGCTGCTCAAATTACTGCATTCGTGAACTCAAGTTTAGAAACGTTTGTTAATCAGTCGAACCAATTTTCAGAGATTCACATAAAGTTCACAGCATCGGTTTCCTTACAGTCTGGCGATATTCTTGTTGTGTCTTTGCCTCAATTCACAAGAATGTTCAATAGTAACTTTGAATTGAGATTATCTTCTGGAAATCAACATTGGTTCTGCGCTGCTGAGTACATTCAAGACAATTTCACCTTGTATGTGAACAATTCGATCTTGGTTCAGGGTGCAAGTGCAGTGGAAATGGTCATTCCCGAAAACCTTGGATTCAAGATTCCACGGAATGGTATAAGAGTAAACGATACAAGATTTCTCATAGGACTGAAATCTTCCACAATCGGAATTCCTTTGACAGTATTTCGACATGTGACACCAGTTGGAACTCTCAAGTTCAGCTCCGTCACCATGCTTCCAATTCGTATCTCAGAGGATGTGGAATTGAATATCTCCTTCAGTCCGTTCATGAACTTAGATGCAGGCTCGCTGGTACGCATTGAATTTCCTCAATTCGCTTTTCAGCCCAATGCATCCTACGCAATCACACCTGATTTGTCAGTTTGTCCTGATTTTCAAGTTCATTTCAAAAACGATACCATAGTAGATTCACGTTTAGAATTCACTATCAGGTTTCAATTCAATTCTACAATCGAGCCAGGAAATCTGATCTCGATCCGGTTTATGAATCAATCGATGAAAAATTACGAGTTTCAATTGTCACCTTCACCGCTGATCGATGTCAAATGGCATTCACAAAACTCAAATGTGAACGATCCATTGTTCGTCTTCAACGACTATGTTGAACCTCAGACTGATATAAACATGACCTTTCTCATCTTGACAGGTCAGGACAAGTTTTATATCATCCCTCCTGAGTTGTTTGAAGTCTTTCTCCTACGCAGCACTGCGGACACTTGTCAAAATTCGACTCAATCTTGTAATCTTTCCACGTGTGATTTGAATTCCAACACCTTGAATTCGACCAACGTGTCCCACGCCAATCATTCCAGCAATGCGAGCTACTGTGACAAGAATCTTTCATTCATGATGGAAAGCTCAATTTTCACGAGCGTTTCGAGAAATTTGAAATCGGTGCTGGAGCTCCAGGTAAAGACCACAATATTGGCTGAGTCAAACATCCAGCTACGTTTTCACAGAAACATTTTCTCAGTTCAGTTTCTTGGAGATGTTTTGGATCCATCTACGTCGGTGCCCAAAATTGCGATAACTTGCCCAAGTGGAAACATCCCTTTGACAGTCTTTCAACAATATCCTGCTTTATCACGGTGGAAGAATGTCGATGTTGTCCAATTGCAATTTCAGCAGAGTACTCAAGCAATATCTTCGACTGTTCAGATCGATGGAGAATTGATCTCCAAGGTTTCCATGGTACCAGGAGATTCCATGTCAATCGTTCTGACAGGTTTTAGCGCTCCTTGCAATCGTGAACCATGTAGCCCTGGTTTCTATAGGAGCAACTGTTCGGATGCCATGTATCAAGATAGCATTTGCCTTCCGTGTTCATTCGTCGCTCCTCCAAACTCTCAACTCAGTATAGCGAATCCATTCGATCAGGACAGATGCAGCTTTCTTTGTAAATCAGGGTTTTACCGCAACTATTCCACTTGTCTACAATGCAATACGTCTCGATGCCCCCTTGGATTCTATAGAGAGAATTGTGAGTTTGGCCGAGATTCTGATGCGATATGCAAACCCTGCCAGTTCCACAATCACACGGCCTTCAACGCTTCAGACGGCGGAAACTGTACTTTCTACTGTCTAGCGGGGTACTATCTGCATGGAGACACTTGTCTTCCATGCAATACATCGCATTGCGAATCAGGTTATTTCCGGCAGCAGTGCGAAGAAAACTCAAAGAAAGATTCAGAATGCTTGCCATGTTCGCAAGGACCTAGCAACTCCAGCAAGGGCAAGGCAATTATCTACAACGAAGATACCTGTGACGTGATCTGTCACGCTGGTTTTTGGCGAAAGAAAACATCTCAGAACCCTCCTCAATATCAGTGTATGCCTTGCAACACTTCATCATGCCCTCTTGGTAGGTTCAGAAACCTTTCGACTTGTTTCGGTGATCAGGATGCCATGTGTGTGTCATGTTCAGGCTCCACCAACGGCCATTCCACCTTTGTTTCGCAAGGGATTCCGAGCACCGAAGATAAGTGTGAATGGGAGTGCATGCTCGGATTCTGGAGGAATCATTCTGAATGTGTTCGTTGCTCTAATGTCAATTGCTACGTCGGAGAATTTGTTCAGCCATGTTCTCAAACGAAACCAGCGGAGTGTAGGAAGTGTGAAAACGCACCGGCAAACAGTCATTACCTTCGCTCGATTTATCCAGGCTCTGCAGTCTTTCACATGGAACCTACGCAAAGCTATGTGACTAACAATTGCTCGTGGGACTGTAATGACGGATTTCGTAGGATCAACGATACATGTGTTCGATGCTCAAATTTGACCTGCCCATCAAACTCTTACCTGGGTGAATGTATTGGAAATCAAGACACAATCTGTGTCGAATGCCTGCCAGACTTTGCACCCAACAGTATTTCAGTATCTTTGGCTGTCAGCAAATGCCGACGGGTCTGTCAGACAGGATTTTGGCATTCATCTGCATTGAAGGCTTGTGTGCCCTGCACAAGTTCTGCTATGTTTTTCGCGTCGAATCACAGCCGTTGCCCATCAGGATACCGATGGGATACTTCAGTTTGTAGAGGAAACGTAGACTCCCAATGCACCGAATGTCCTGCTTTGAATTTTTCTCTTGCAGTATACATGGACTCAAACACATCTGAATGCCAATGGGCTTGTCCTCCAGGATACTTCAAGTCGAATGAAACTTGCATCTCTTGCAACAGGTCGATGTGTCCTGCTGGAAAATTTCGAACTTTGTGTCCTTTGAATTCCACAAAAGACTCCGAGTGTCAGGCATGCTCGAAGGGTCCAAGCAACTCTACGCTGCTGGAAGCAACTGAGATAGGATTTGACTCCTGCTCGTTTGTTTGCAACGAAGGATTCTTCAAGACGATGACAACGCTCAATGGAGTGACTGTCGAGACTTGTCAAGCTTGCAACACTTCAATCTGTCTGCCCGGAAAGTATCTCAGTAAATGTGACCATTATCTTGGGGACAGCTTTTGTGTACCATGCACAACCCGCCCTGCTAATTCGCATTACATAGGTCCCGGATTTCCGTTTGACGCAGATAATTGTTCTTGGCAATGTGATTACGGTTTCTGGAGGAATGGAAGCGTATGCGTGGCATGCGCTGACTATCTTTGCGCATCCGGATATTACAGAACTCAGTGCACTGAGCGTATTGATTCAAATTGTGTCCAATGCTCAGATGAGGGCATTCCTAAAAATGCTGAATTTACAAACATGTTGGAGGATTCGATTGGTGTGCAATCCAGCAACAAGTCTCAGTGTCTCTGGAAATGTTTAGAAGATTTCTGGTGGAATGGTACGGCTTGCGTATCTTGTGATCTTATTCCGTGCGAGAAAGATCAGTACAAGACTACCTGCATGAAGAATCTAGACTCTGGGTGCAAAGTTTGTTCTATGTTTTCCTCTGCAGTCTTCCCTCAGCTCCCAGTCTCTTTCAATGCATTAGAATATTCAATCCTAAACGTTACTCACAACATTTTCAGGAATATGTATATCAAACATTCTCGAAATGATAGATATGTAGAATTGTTTTTCATCTTGGGAAGTGTGGTTCCAGCAAGAGAGACAATCAAGTTTTCAATTCCGGCCTCTGTTGATATTCGAACACCAGAAGTGGGAATAAGCTCCTGTAATCAATATTTTCCATGTTCGTTCAAGATCCATTCAAATTTATCAGCAGGAATAGTGGAGGATAAATGTATTTGTGACTTCAACACATTAGGATACCTGAACATGACGAGCATCAGGTTTGACCCGCCTGTTGCTGGAGAGACGTGCATGATCTACTTTCGATTCCTACCATCTATACCAATCAACGAAGAAGATATTTTGATTTTGTCGTTACCAGACTTTCTAGCAAAGGATTTTGATAATATTTCTTCGTTTATTCAAGTGGTGCCTGTTGCAAAGCTAAATACTAGCAATCTTACCAGTTCATCTGGATGGAATCTCACGAACTCTTCTCAAGTCAACTCTACAAATTCGACTGAGTTGAATTCTACAAACTCTTCGGAATCGATATGGCTTTCTTGGAACCAATCGAAACATGAGTTGCATATCACGTTCAAGAGTACGCTACAGAACGGTGTTCTGTACGAGGCATTGATTCCATCAATTGCTGGTCTATCGTTGCCTCCAACTGGCATTTTCCAGCGGCTTGGGAATTTCAATGCGAGAATAGACTCTCCTCGAAGCTTCGTTCGAAGAACTCAGTTGAACTCAATACAAAGAGTTGGATCTTTCAACAATTCCGTTGGAATTAATTTTGAAGTGGTTGGGCAAGACTTGGTCTCTTTCTTCGAAATATCTTTTATTCCATTTATGTTGATCCAAGCAGGAGAAAAGATTGAGTTCAAATTGGTAAATTTCACTTTCAACGATTTTTTCCAGGCACAGTCGAATTTCCCAAATATTTTGTTCGATATTACATTCTCACGCAATGATAGTGTTCTGGAAGTTCGCCCAAAAATCGATTTGCCTGTTAGTAAGCAAGTTCGTATAATCATCTCACCTACAGACCTGGTTGCTCTTCCTGCACTAGGGATCAGTCAAGACTTCTTGTTCACGGTTTCAAGTAATGCTGTTGAAGGCCCTGTGATCCAAGAGACCATAACAAAATTTCCAGTGATTGGTTCCTTTGGGGATCATCCTCTGCTTGAAATCAACTCGGCAAACATTAATGATCCATTCCTTACTCTTGTTTTGAGATTTTCTGTTCAGATGGACATGGATATTGGGCAAGTAATACGCCTCCATCTGCCCGGCTTTGAAGGTATCGGCAAACGTAGGATCATAAAGCAAGAAGGAACTGTCTCAGTAGCTTATTGGGAAACGAATTCGCAGATCTTAGATCTCATCTTGAGGTTCAAAGTTCAACGAGGACAACAGATTCAAATCGCTGTTAGGTCATCATTCGGTTTGATGCTTCCGTTGACTGGCCTTAGGAAGAGAACGCTTTTCCTTAGTACCGATGCTACGAGTGGGCCAGTAGTGACTTCTTACCTCAATTATCTCCCAATCGGTTCTATCAAACAATCGAGAATTTTCTATTCTGCATGCAATGTAATCCTGTCAGAAGCTTTCTCATCGCTTGATCCTTGTAACAACGTGCCCCTCAATCCGTTATCAGACGTTTCCATTTACATTGAGCTTGTTTTTAGCATGGCAATCATGGTGGGTGACAATATTTCACTCAATTTTCCTGGGTTTCAAGGAATTCCCCAAGGGCCAAACATCGTTGAGCAGCTTGCTAACTACTCTACAATGTACGGGAAAGGACAACGACTTGATTTTGTCATGAAACAGCAGTATGCCCCAGATTCCAAGATTCAATTTTATCTGCCCATCGAACTGGGAATCCGACTGCCTCCGGCCGGGGTCACTGAGAACCAGACCGACCTCACCGTGTCCACCAACGCTGCGGCCGGCCCAGTCCCTCCCACGCCCATCTCCTACTCTCCCAGCGTAGGCGTGTTCTGGTTAAAGCCTGCCCTGAGCTTCGACGGAGGCCAGGCAGGAGAGGTATCGGGGCTGAGGATAGCCTTCGGCTTCACGATGGACGTGGAGGAGGGCTCTGTGATGGAGGTACAGCTGCCCAACTTCACCATAGCGATGGAGGTCAACATGGTGGTAACGGGTAGCGACGGGTCGAAGTTGAATGCGACGGCAATGTCGGGAGGAGGCGGGGTGACGTTGAAGCTACGGGTACTGCCAGGCAGCCGGGTGAAGGCGTACAGGAGGGTAGAGGTTGACTTAATGAGCTCGTTAGGGGTTCGTCTTCCCCCGACGGGAGTAAAGTCTGATGATCAATTTTTCTTTCACTTCAGAAATGATACGATCATTCAAACTATTCTTTGCGATAAGGAATTGGTCGGCTTCTTTCCGACAGCGCCAGAGCTTATTTTTGACTTCTCGCATGGACCGAATGAGGCTTGTTTTACACTCTTATTTTCTTTGTCTGAAACAATAACCTGTTCGGACAGTGTCAATTTGTACCTTCCAAACTTCAAAGGAAATTTCTCCGAACAGTATATTAAGTTGAATGGTTCTTCGATACTTAATGTATCATGGAATCAACAAAATAGCAGTTTGTTTTTCTTTCCAGATTGTGAGATGGATTTAAAGAAATCAAAATTGATAAATGTATCGTTTTGTGGTTTTCCATTATACTTGCCTGAGGTGGGCATACGTCGTAACTCATCTGCACGGTTGATTGTGCAGTCTGCGACATACCCAGCCATTTCAACTCAAGTAAGCTTGCCAGCAGTTGGATCTTTCTCCTTCTTTGCTCTTGAATTCATACCAAGAGAAACCGCCGACTCATTTGACCTTGCGATCCACTTTCAATTCTTGATGGAATTGAATCGAGGTGACAGACTCTATGTCAGCATGAGAGATTTTGCTATTTCATCTCAGTGTATTGGGGTTTGGTCCACAGAAATTGAGACCTTCTCCTTCGTTGAATGGGACTCTACACTCCACATGCTCACCATACCTGTGCAGAGTGATGTTTTGAAACAGCGAGAAGTAAGAATCGTAATTGCAGGAGTAGGAATGCAATTGCCATATCATCGTATGAATTCTAGCTACGATGGCTTTCAGCTCAGTGGGACATGCAAGGCTGGCAATGTGATTCCGATTCAAATCTCAAACTTCTCCAGAATCGGCCAAATGCGATCTTCTCTTGATTTCCCTGTGATGGACTATGAGCGTAGAGTTTTGTACCAGATCCAAATTGATACAAATGCTGAGCCAAAGAACAGATCTTCTATGGAAACCCTTTCGATATCCATCGAGGTCCTAGTGAAAGTCAACGCTTCCAACTTGATAGAAATAGACATGATCGGCTTGGGTTTGAACCATACCACTGTTGAAGGTGTATCTTGTTTGCCAACTTCCAAAGTGAGTCTTTTCAAGTTTGACCGTAAAACACAGAGCATAATTTTGCAGGCTGCTGAGGACTTGTTTCCATCGAATATAATATCCGTTCAGATTTTCTTCAACAGCAGTCAACAAAACGTATCCAGCAGACTAGACAGAAATTCCGCACAAACTTTGTTTGTTGGGACATATATTACCTCGACCTCTGCAGAACTTCCTATTTCATGCAATAATGAAAATTCTATTCGGGTTTCTCAGCTTCAAGTCTCTAACGCGAAACTTGATCAGAACCATTCCATCTTGTATGCCTTGAGAAATGTCAATTTGACAAAAGGGGATGTCCTAGATTTGCCATTTCCGTCTGCGTATGTAAGTCTGGACTGTGGCTCCATGTTTGATGTTCATGTCTATGGCTCCGGAAATTTCTCTGTGCTGCCTATCATCTCGAAGGGCATCCTTTCATTGCGGACCGAACAAGATCTCAATTCTGAATTTATAGTGTTACAATTTTCTTCGCCTGGTTTGAAAGTTGCTTTTGAACATGTCAAGGTATATTCTTTCGATGAGTCCGAGAAATTGCAGAGCAAAGATGCTGTTGCCAGAATGATAAATTATCAATCCATTTTTGTGCAAAACCATAGCATGATGTTCCAATTGTTCGACCAGATGCAAAACTTCAACCTAAAATTCACTTCCACTATGATGATTCAGAAGAAAGAGAAGTTAACTATCAGACTAACAAGCTTCGAGGGAGACGACTTTGCTTGCATACCTGTGGTCTCAAGCCCGGCCGGAAAGATCGCATTCGCTTCATGGCGCACGGATACTCAGCAGCTCAGCATGACGTTGGAGGAAGACGTCCAGAGCGGGGAGGAGCTTCAAGTGCATGTGCCTTGGTACTCCGGCATCCGTCTTCCTCCGGCCGGGGTCACTGAGAACCAGACCGACCTCACCGTGTCCACCAACGCTGCGGCCGGCCCAGTCCCTCCCACGCCCATCTCCTACTCTCCCAGCGTAGGCGTGTTCTGGTTAAAGCCTGCCCTGAGCTTCGACGGAGGCCAGGCAGGAGAGGTATCGGGGCTGAGGATAGCCTTCGGCTTCACGATGGACGTGGAGGAGGGCTCTGTGATGGAGGTACAGCTGCCCAACTTCACCATAGCGATGGAGGTCAACATGGTGGTAACGGGTAGCGACGGGTCGAAGTTGAATGCGACGGCAATGTCGGGAGGAGGCGGGGTGACGTTGAAGCTACGGGTACTGCCAGGCAGCCGGGTGAAGGCGTACAGAAGAGCAGAAGTAGCTATACCAAAAGCGTTCGCGATACAAATTCCAATGGTAGGCGTTGCCCGTCCTTCGCACATCTTTTTCTCCCTCAACAATACATTCAGCATTGGCGCTGATTCTGTTGTTGTTGGCAGCTTTGATCAAAGCGTTTTTGTTTATCTTGACGTCAGAAATTTTTCTTCCATTGTTCAGATATATATACGATTCAAGTATTCGGTAACATTGGTTGGTCAGGATGTCATACGGGTTCATTTTCAAGGTTTTCAAGGGCCAAATGCAACTGGAATTCAAATGCAACAGAGCATGTCGGACGATCGAGTTTCACTGAGCTGGCTACAATCGTGTTTTGGTCCGACACTTTTTGTGCAGGTAGCGCCGGACCATACAATCGAGGCAAATCAAATGGTAACAATAGTAGTTCCTTCGACCGTTGGTATTCGGATCCCCTATAACGGCATCCGCACAAACTTCTCTGGTCTCATCATTTCGACCGATGCCCAGAACGGCCCTGTCTACGGAGAGAGAATCTCAGCATTCAACCCGATCGGATATTTCACTTCTGTCACTCTGGACTTCGAACCCAAGTTGGTCACCAGTGCTGTCAGTGTGCTGCTGTCCTTTGAAGCACAGATGGTGCTGCGTCCGGGTGACACGATCATGCTGAATCTGCCGGGGCTCACAACCCCGTCTGAGTGCTTCGGGCTCCATAGCAACGTACAGAAAGCCATCAACCACGCCCATTTCTCCAGCACCACCTCAGTCCTACGGATAGACATAGAGGACACCATCGAAGCGAATGTGCCGGTCAGCATCACAATCCCGCGTAGCGCAGAGTTCCGCTTGCCCCCGCAAGGACTCGTGAGGAACTATGATGGGTTCTTCGTCTCCGCTCACGCCAAAGATGGGAATGTTGCCCCCACCCGCCTTTCTTCCTCTCCCGCGATAGGGTCGGTACACTCTCGCTTGTCTTACGACCAGAACCATGGCGACGAGCGCGTCATTACCAGCAAGATACAAGTAAGACCATTCCAAGACTGCGGGCTTGGAGCATACAATGAAACCTTCTGCCTTGACTCAGCGATAGCCTTTGCTAGCTGCGCGAGGAACAGCAGCGCAGCGAACTGTACGTGCATCCCCTCGTCCTGTATGCAAAACAACACTTGGTGCAGCATCCTTGAAGAGGACGTGCAGTGGAGCTGCCAGAACGTCACTTTCTGCTCTGAGGCATGTAACGCCTCTACACACGTCAACGTGCCCGACGATGACACGATGGTGACATTTGCCGTTGTGTTTGAAGCAGCGAGCAGCACTCAAGGTACCTTCAAGCTCCCTGTAGCTGTACCGCTAGCCGGCAGGTTGCAAGTTGTCGCGATCAGATCCTATCCCCCGAAGGTGCAGGATGCGCAATGGTCTATAGGCGAGGACTACCTCCTTGTGAATGTATCCGAGACCCTCGATGCCGGAGAGACGGTGACGCTAGAAATGGACTTGCAGCCTGACCAGAATGCGCTCATGCAAGCCGCCGGCTATATTGGTTGCTCTGAATTCTCGATGAACCCTGTCTTTGCCGGGCTCTACGCGACAGAGCCTCTGTTGTTCTACAGCAAGGCCCCTTGCACCAGGAGTAGTCCGATGGTCAAGCTTGTTGATGCCACAAGCGCGCTGAACTCGGGAGGGCCGCGATATCTTGTTTTGGTGCTCGAGCTGAATCATATGCTCAGGCCCGGAGACGTGTTGCAAACAGCCATTCCCGCGTACGTCAAGTACTGGAGTGTGTCGACTGTCAGATCGCTGTCCAATGCACTGGAAGAGTTTGACATTGTCTCTGCGGGGGCCCATCAGCCTTGCCATATCAGTAGCAGCTCGGTGAGCGAACCTGTGTGCACAGAATCAGTGAAGCAGCACGTGCTTTGCATGACAGGGTACGCCAACAAGTACTGCGGTTGTATCTCGCAGGCCTGCGCAAACTTGACCGTAGGCCGCCTGCAGGTCATGGGCCAAACAGTCACTTCGCAGTCTGTCACCGTATGCTTGGCCGAGTCCGCGGTAGGAGATCAGCGCTCTGTCAGAATCGTGTCGAAAGGGTACGTGACGGGCAATCTCGTGCTAGCCTTGGAAGGAAATTTCACAATCTTTGAGGAAAACAGGAGCACTACGGTAGCCAATCGTACCGCAGCTTGCTTGAGTCTAGCCACAAACCTGTCTGCCTGTCTGGAGTCAAACAACTCCAGTCAATGCGCATGCATACCCGCGGACTGTTGGAATGTAACCTGCAACGCGTTGGTGCGAAATGATACGAGGATCTGCAAGCCGAGCATGCTCTGCCATGTGAATGCGACTGTGGGTATGCTGCCTGTGTCTCTGATGACGGTAGCCGTCTCTCAAAGGAAGAACGATACCATATTCGAAGCGAGAGTGGTTCCGCGAGGAAACAATATCTCCGTGAGCACCGCAGCTCACATGGCGGTCTCGAGGGGCGAGGGCTATGGCCTCACACTGACGGGCTTCGAGGGAGACGACTTTGCTTGCGTACCTGTGGTCTCAAGCCCGGCCGGAAAGATCGCATTCGCTTCATGGCGCACGGACACTCAGCAGCTCAGCATGACGTTGGAGGAAGACGTCCAGAGCGGGGAGGAGCTTCAAGTGCATGTGCCTTGGTACTCCGGCATCCGTCTTCCTCCGGCCGGGGTCACTGAGAACCAGACCGACCTCACCGTGTCCACCAACGCTGCGGCCGGCCCAGTCCCTCCCACGCCCATCTCCTACTCTCCCAGCGTAGGCGTGTTCTGGTTAAAGCCTGCCCTGAGCTTCGACGGAGGCCAGGCAGGAGAGGTATCGGGGCTGAGGATAGCCTTCGGCTTCACGATGGACGTGGAGGAGGGCTCTGTGATGGAGGTACAGCTGCCCAACTTCACCATAGCGATGGAGGTCAACATGGTGGTAACGGGTAGCGACGGGTCGAAGTTGAATGCGACGGCAATGTCGGGAGGAGGCGGGGTGACGTTGAAGCTACGGGTACTGCCAGGCAGCCGGGTGAAGGCGTATAGGAGGGTAGAGGTTGGGGTTTCGCCGTCTGCAGGCATCGGGCTCCCGTATCTCGGCATTGTGAAGAGCAAGATGGGGCTTACGTTTGCTTTGAAGACTTCCAGCCTGACCAAGCAAATCAGATTGGATCATCCAGCTCTGGGAGCCTTTTTGAAACCACCAACCATACGCTTTCTCTATCCTGTAGCTGGCGAGGTCAGTGGTATTGAGATCAGCTTCACACCAGCAATCAATGTCTCCAGAGAGGACACGCTGCGTTTCTTGCTGCCAGGTTTCGAGAGTATGATGCCCATGAGCGGGTTCTGGGCAAGCGATGGGCAGAGGTACCTGCCTGGGATGTGGAGCTTGAGCTGCCCAGCTCAGACGATCACTCTGTTTCCAAGCGACACAGGGCTCAAAGCAGGAGAGGAAGTGACCATAACCGTCCCTCATGACGCTGGGATCCAGATTCCAGCTCTTGGAGTACGATCTAACTCCACGGCATTCAGGATAAACTTTGACTCCTACACGTCTCCAATCGCTGACCTTCCGTTCCGCCCGCCCGTTCCCATCGGCTTCTTCCACAACTTCACCGTCGACTTTGTTCCCAAGACAGCTGGCAGTGAGAGTGTCATAGTAGCGTCTTTCACGCCTGAGATGAACCTACATTCAGGAGATACAGTCGGGCTGATCTTGAAGAACTTCACCCGAGCAGACTCGTCCGGATGTATAGTCACACTCTCGCAACCTCCGGGTGTTACTGGTCTGGCAAGCTGGTCGTCGAATAGCAGCGTCCTTACCATAGGAATGATTGCGGCTGTCCGTGCGGGCCAGCACTTGACCATCACGATCCCGTCATCGAGCGGCTTGATGTTGCCGAAAGAAGGGCTGGATGCTGAGGCGTTCCCGATCAAGGTAGAGTCATCTGCGGTGGAAGGGCCGGTACTTCCCACAGTGGTTCATCAGTTTCCTGCGATCGGTTCTTTGCTAGATTCAGTTTTGTCATTTTCGAACACCTCAAATGGAACGCTTGTTTTGAAGGAAGTATTTCTTTCGTTTTCGAGACCGCTTTCTGTTGGAGATTCTGTAATTATCTACATGCCAGGTGTTCAATTTCGATGCAATGTTTCATGCGCATATGAAGGATTACATTTTTTAGCTATATGGACATCAGGAACGCAGTTTTTGAAACTGGTTCTGAGGAACGCTGATACCCCTCCTCAAAACTACACAATTATCTTGAGTGACATATTTGCAGTCATTCAATCCAGCCAATCCATTGATATTGCCAGATTTCAAATTAAGACACTGTCAGCTGAGAGTCCAGTTGAGGTTACCGACATCACAAAAGTGATCGGGTTGTCTCCATTCAGGTCAATTCCCATTGTCCGCTTTAGTCAAACTCCAACGCTTCTAACAGACATGCAATTGAGTTTCTATTTGGATCAATCCTTGGAGATCAATCACACGTTGATGGTGACTCTAAACAAGTTTCAAATTTATTCAACTTCTTCGCGATTCAAAATCATCGAAAATGATGGATTTTGGTTCAATTGTACAGTTGAAGAAGGTATGGAATATGTCAAGATTCTCATTGTGCCTTGTTGTTACGTTCAGGCAGGGACGTTCTTGAATCTTCCTTTTTCATCTAATGTGCAATTCCATAGTCCAAGTATGAACGTATTCAGTGGTGTTCCAATTACCCTTGCCATAGTCAACAGTGATCATCATTCCATCGTTGGATGCAGAATCTTTCCTCAAGGAAGCTTCTTTGATGCTCCATTTGCAAAATTTCTTCCTGCTACTGCTGGTGCTATTTCACAATTATCATTGTCATTTACAACAAATATTCTTATAAGAAATAATGACCCTATTGTCGTGACGTTGGGTGTATTGAAATCGGTAAAGCCGTTTTTATGGAAACAAATCTCAACACAGGTATTCTCAATGAACAATGAAAGCGCTGTGCCGAGTGAGATCGTTGTGACGTCGAATGCTGTATGCGATACAAAACTCTACATCTCCCTACAAAATGATATCGTTCCAGGACAAAGCATTCACTTTCGAAACATCACAGTAGATCTTTCAATTCCGAAGGAAGGAATCAATTCTTCAGAAGTGATAACAGTTGAGTACAAAGGACCGACCGCAAACTCTCTGAGCAATGTGCGGTTCGATCCAATTGGTTCGTTTACCGATTCACTTATTTTACGTGTGCTTTTGTCCGGCGCAGGCTCTCCGCCCACGCTGATTTTGTCATTCATCCCACAAATGGACATTGTGGAGGGGGACACAGTGAATTTGAAAGCTAACCTCCAGGGCTCGCGTGATCATGATTGTATTGCAGTCTTTAGCCAAGTGTATGTGAGCAGCCGATTACAATTTCCATATTTTCGGGGAGTCTGGAATGCGTCATCTCAGACATTCTTGTTCACTGTCCAATCAAAGATATCAGCTTTGAGTCTCGTCGAAGTTATTATTCCATCCTATTTCGACATTTATTCCTTTCCATTTTATACTACAAATGGACCGCTACAAGATTCTTCATTGTCTGCTCAGGTTAAATCCGGCTCTGTCCTCAGCAGGCAGTTTTCGAAGTTATTCATAGAAGATGGGCAATCGAATATTTTCTCTTTTGTGATGCCCTGCTACAGTGCCAACAACACTTTCAGTCTCACCTTCACCTTAGCTTCAAATCTGTCAGAGGGTGAGTACATCAGAATTCGATTGCCAATGCTGGATTCCACTCAAGACACAACTATTCCCAACTTTTATTCCCCTGAATTTTTGAATCCGAATGTCGCATGGTCGCAGGATACGCATGTTTTGACTTTGTCCCTTGGAAAGAATGTCTCTGCATTCGTGACATGCCACTTTTCATTTGACTCATTCAACAGAAATCTGTCATTCGTAGGAAGTAATGCTGTTCTTGTAGAAGTGATTAACTATGAGGGTTTTGTGCAATTCTCGCAAACCATTTACGATGTAGAAATTTGTGACGAATTCTGGCGTGTCTCACCGTTCATTACCTTTGATTCGACAGTACCAGGAAAGAGGTCGCAAATCAACATTTCAAACCAATTGAGGCATGATCTCTATCCCTATACCAACTTCAGTCTGGAGTTCAAGCAGTTCAAACAACCAGAATACAGTTGCAATACCAGCATTCTTTCTGCGTCCTATGCCAGACTAAATGAGACATTCGAAATGCAGATAGAGAACGAAATTTATGTGAATTGTTCAATGCAGGAAGGGCTGATGGTACACTTTCGCCTTTTGAATGACATGGCTGTGAGTAAGAAGCATACCCTCACCTTGGTTCTACCACTTTCTCTGGGTTTGGACTTGCCAGATCACGGGGTTGACCCTTCAAGTCCCAATATATTCATAAAGATTCAATTCAACATTCGAGAACCAATCATTGCGACCATGATCAATGGTACGGAATACGTCAATACATCAAACGCGTCCTGGAATCCATCGAATTCCTCAAACAACGCTTCAAATACGACAAACATGTCCGCATTTGACACTATCAGCTTCAATTATCGCTTTGTTCAGTCGGACTTCATATCTTGCTTTGCTCAGCAAGTCGGTGCGATGCTGAATTCAAGTATGTCATTTGATTCACCATTAGCAGGGCATTTGACAAACATCAAACTGTGTCTTGCTTTCAACTTCGAGCTCAAAGTCCATGACACAATCAGGCTTTCGTTGCCACTGTTTAATTCTCCAACAGAGGCAAACTTAACTGAAATTGAGTCGTCACTAGGGCATCGCTGTCTTATTTCACGTATGGTTTGCAGGAAAACACAACTGCTCACAATCAATTTCCTTTTGAAAGACACATGCGCGGCTAACAGTGAAATGCATTTTGATATTCCATCCAATTTCGGGATTTTGGTACCAGGCAGGGGTTTGGTCGATCCTAAGCCAGTTTATTCTGTCGATGTGACTGCACGTAGCATAATTGCAACTGAGGGGAAAATATCGAGTATTCAAAGCGTCGGATTTTTCGACCGCAGCCATATCTCCTTTGCTTATCCAAAAGCCAACGAAGTCACCGAAATTTTGCTGTCAGTTTCAGCAGTGATGGATTTCAATTATGGGGAATATCTTCTCCTCACCCTGCCTGCTTTCAGAATGAATTCTCGTCAGGAAAGTGCGTCTAACAGAAACGTATCATGCTATATGCAATGCCTCGTTGGCATGTATACTGGCAATTGTGAATGGCTAGAGGAATTGAATAGCCTCAAAATTCCAATCAATGAATGTGCAAAGAATTCCAAGGATGGTATCAACATCACTATTCCGCAAGAAGCAAACATCGTCACTCCGAGCGTAGGAATACCATACGATGAAAGATCCATCACAATCGAAACGAACGCTTTGGCTGGGCCAGTTCTTCCTACTCCTGTACAGGTTGTGCCTCCCATCGGGTCCTTCCTCGACTCCAGCAGCCTCGCGTTTGATCACAACGCTTCTGCAGCAGAGGTCAGCACTTTGTTGTTGAGATTCCGAGCCAGTATGTCAATCTTCATCGGGGAGGTTGTGACTCTCCATCTTCCTGGCTTCCAGCAGGAGCGCCAAGTCCCCGTTGTTTTTTCCAGTGTTGAGTTTTCGGCAGCGAGCTGGCAAGCATCTTCGCAGTCACTCATTTTCACGGCTGGGGAAAACATCACAGCGGGGACACTGTGCAATGTTACTGTTCTGCGTGACGCGATGATACGGTTGCCTTTGGACGGAGTACGGGTCAATCAAAGCAGTCTGAAACTGAGCACCAATGCACGGCAGGGGCCCATCTTGCCAACGAGCATCTCATTGGTCCAGCCTGTAGGACACTTTGTACAATCTGAGCTGTTGTATGATCCAGGAATGGCTGGAGTACCAAATAAAATAACTCTGAAGCTCGTTGCGAGCATGAATATGAGTGCAGGTGATAGAATTTTCATCAAGCTGAACAATTTCCAGAGAAAGAACATTACGAGTCGACTATGCCACAGTTTGACTTCATCATATACTACAAATATGCCCTCAAATGTTTCCTCGAATACTTCCTCAAGTGCTTCAAACTCAACAAATACTTCGAGTTATTTAGAAACTCAAAGTCCTTACACCATCTGGGATTGCTCAAATTTCTCAGACGTAGAATCTAACCTCGCTAATTCTTCGTTCAGCTCGTCTTGGAATGTTGATGACTCTACACTGACCGTGTACATCAATAATTTTGTGGCATCAGGGTACAACCTTTCTCTGACTTGGTTGGCCAGTGAAGGAATTTCGCTACCTAGCGAGGGAATTCGTACAAACTCTACAAGATTTCTACTTAGAAGTGATGCAGTCGAGGGACCGGTCTATAAAGCATTTGCCAATTCCCTTCCCGTGGGATGGTTGACGAACATCAAGATACGGTTGGGAGAGAATCCTGTTGCTGGTCGCGATACAAGTATTCTGTTGCAATATGTCCCCTTGATGAATTTAGTTCGAAATGATATTGTTTTCTTGTCACTTCCTGGTTTCTATGGAGAGGATTTTCATCGTCTTCCAGTGCTCGACAGTGCAACAGGTCAAAGGTTGTTCAATGTTTCATGGAATAGTTCATCATCTGTGTTGGAATACACTCTGACTTCAGAATACGAACGAAATCAAAACATTTCGTTTGTTCTAAATTCAAGCTTCGGTTTGTCCATTCCATTTGAAGGAATCCGAACCTTCGAATCAGAGTTTCGCATATGTGTCACAGCAATTGAAGGAGGAGTTCCATGTATCATGATTCAAGACTTCAAGGCTGTTGGCTCATTCAAAGATTCAATTCAAGTTCATTTTGACCCTGCTTATGCAGGTCAAGGTACCAATGTTCGATTCAACTTCATTCCAGAGATGGCACTAGATATCAACGATATTATCACAGTGAAGCTTCCGGGTTTCTCAACCAACAATGTTCAATCGAATTTTAGTCTGATATCAGATCCAATTCAGATTTTCAGCTCCGCTTCCTGGAACTCGATTACGCAAGAGCTAAAAATGACAGTTAGCGCCCATGTGGATATGAAGACCAATGTCTCGATTTGGACCGAGCCGACGATAAATCTGACACTTCCAAATATAGGAGTTGGGAAACATAACAACGGAATCATGCTCTCTGCTGATGCAGCCGCTGGACCTGTCTATTTCATTCGGCCATCCTATATACAGTACATTGGATCCTTTCTGGACTCCACAGCTCTTTCTCTCTCGCCTATCCTTGCTAATGCATCAGTCGTAATTGAAATCTCATTTGTTCCAGAAATGAATATTTATCCTGGAGAAAGCATCAAGATAACATTGACGGGTTTCACCGGTAAGGACTTGGCTACAGGGCTGCCAGAAAACAACATTTTGTTCAATGTGACGTGGACAAGCAGCGAGAATGTGCTGGAAATCATTCCATTGAAATTGATCACCAGAGGTACCAGCGAGTTATTGGTAATCCCGTCATCGTTTGGAATTAGAAGCCCGTTGACCGGTCTCAGTGGCAATCAAACTGATTTAAAGATCAGCACTAATGCTGCGGAAGGGCCTGTTTTACCCACTCCAATACGACAATCACCATCTATAGGATCATTCGGTGACTCTACAAGGCTAGATTTCTCACCACACATACCAGGTGCATTAGCGGAGGTGTACATCCATTTTGCTCCAACGATGGATATATTTGCAAACGGAACTGTAGTAGTCGACCTCCCGCTCTTCTCAAAGCAGCAGGGAAGCTGTGTCGTGTTTAGCTGTGTTCCGGATGTTGTGTCTGATATAACTTTCGTTGATTCTCAATTGAGAATTCAGACATTTAAACAAATCAATGCGCAACAGAATGTTTCTATCGTTATAAGTAACCGTTCCGGATTCACAGTTCCTTTGGCTGGAATACAAAGAGAAACCAAGATCTACACGATTTCTACACAGGCATCCAGTGCTCCTGTTATTGCTACACCTTTTTATCATGTGAGATCATTGCCATCAATTTTGTACAAACAAGCGCAGGGATTTGTAGTCGCCAAAATAGATGCGAATTCTGTCATTCTTGATGCAAACGCTGATAGCACTTTGGACATCTACAAAGCTTGCACTCTGATAGTTTACTTCAACGGAACACAAAATGCATTCGAGGCAAGGGTGATCCAAGAATTTCAATCAGGCCGACGGGCGATAGTGAATGGAAACTTCTCAAGCATCAAGAACAACAAATATGTTATCCAATGTCCGACACCAAAGTTTTTCTTCACTCAACCAATACCTGGCAGCAATATTGATACATTGACATTTGAAATGGTATCCAGATACCCCTTGAGCAGCGGTGACAAAATCTCGTTACAAGCACCAGATTTTCAGTTCTGTAGATTCCGATGCTGTCCAACGTCTATCATACCTACAGGAATTCTTGAGGGCCAGGTTTCAAATGTCGATATCGTTCGAGGAAACGTGACTTTCAATTACAGCGACCCCGATATCGTGTGGAACGGCGATGATTCAACCTTTCTAGTTACTATGAGAAGGGACGTCATGCCATACACGTTGACACGGGTAGTTATCAACACAGTCAATGCAAATGGCCACGCAATCTGGCCACCGGAAGTCCTGCTACCAGATTCAAACAAGATTGGTGTTTCTATTTCAACTAAAGACAGTGACATGTCATTGGTTCCAATCATAGTTTCGCAACCCATTGGATTCTTTGCAAGTATCCCAAAATTGGTTTTCGATCCCCAAGTTGCAGGCGGAAACACGCAGGTTACTTTGAACTATTCGACCATTGCTGATTCAACCGATCCGATCACGAAGATCAAGCTGTATTTACCCAGTTTTACTGCCACAAGTCAGACTTTCTCGTTGCCATCAAGTACCATCTCGATATCTCAATTGGTTGGTGGAGTCTCCGTCAATATTGTTTGGAATCATCAAGCCACGTCACATGTCACCTATACGCTTCCAAGTACTTCTGGGATCAAATTGCCAATAACAGGTATAAGATCTGAACAGAATTCATTTCAGATTGAAGTGAAAGACGGATTTCCTACGATAGCATCAACGAGCAGGATTGGAGCCTTCGAAAACGTCATGATGTCTTTGAATCCACCTGTTGCAGGCTCGACAGTGCAGATCACTGTCACTCTCCAAAATAAAATGCAGATCATGAATGGCGAATCGATTTCTCTTCGACTACCAAGATTTGAATGCTCCCAATGTGACAAAGAGCTGCCACTGGGTGGACGGAACAGGAATGATTTCATTGCACAGTGGGATTCGCATTCATCGACTTTGATCTTCGTTGTGAAGTGCAAATCGAGGTTTGATGTCGGATACAACTTTGAAATCATCTTGCAACAGTCAGCAGGCTTGAAATCCCCTGCTCTTGGAATATCCACGGATTATCAATCAAACGCCATCACGATATCATCAAATGCAACCGATGGCCCAGTACATGACATGCTGGTTGCAGACGTCACTCCAGTTGGGCTCATCGAAGATTCTACCATACTGTACAGCCGGCATCTGGCTGGAGCAATCATCAGCTTGAGAATATCATTCAAAACAATGTTCAAACTCGATCGAGGGGATGTCATCGATGTATTCCTTCCCAAATTCAGCGTCAACAATCCCGTCTTTGCTGATTCTGCTTGTTTTGGGTTGGGTTGTGCATTTCTCAGCTTTGAGACAAATTGGATAGAAAGTCAGGCAAGACTTTCAATCAGAATTTTGTACGGTTCTGCAGCAGTTGGAGATCTTGTCAACATATTCATCCCTGCTGAAATTGGGATTCGGCTACCTCTCGGAGCACTTTCACAGAATGATGCATCCATCAGTCTGTCTGTCAGCGCTGCAAGCGGAAATTATGCGAAGAGTCCATTTCATTACTCGGAATCTGTGGGCTACGTGCAATATTCAGAGATCGATTTTGAACCAAGAAGAGCTGGCTCCCTCGTCCAGGTCAATCTGCTGGTTGTGCCTGCAATGAACTTGACCAGTGGAGACCAAATTAATGTCCAGCTTCAAAACTTCGTGCGAGTAGATCCTGCTTCAAGCTCAAACTCTGCTTCAAATTCGTACCTTTTGTCATGGTCCTCACAATCGCAGCAACTTACGATCCAATTACTTACCTCCTATGCTGCTGGTACAAATGTTCGTTTTGAAATTCTATCTTCCTTCGGGATTACCACCCCCAATGACGGCGTAGCACCAAACTCAATTTTCATCCAAGTTGTCTCCAAAAGCGGTTATGTGGACTGGGGAAATGTTGGACAAGCTCCAGCCATTGGATCGTTTCTGTTTTCGAAAATCTTATTTGATCCAGCGGTTGCTGGATCTGCATCAAACATCAACATTGATCTCCAAACTTCGATGAGCTTTCGACCCAGTGATCAGATTGTTGTTGAAATGAGAGGTTTTCACATCTTGAATAACTCCGATGCGTTGGTACAAGAAAGCTGTTTCCGAGTTGTTCCGGAAAATCTATTGGCTGTCAGGATAATTTCAAAGCAGAATCACAGCAATTCGAACGATACCAATCAATCTTTGATCAATTGCACTTGCCCTTACGTTTGTCATGAACAAGCAAATGGGATATCTTTGTCACTCGATCTCAAAACTGAGCTGCCTGCACGGACATCATTCAAGGTGGAACTCCGCGCGTGTGCTGGAATAGTCATCTCTAAGGTTGGTGTCACGGATGCCGATGTCGTGATCAGTACAAATGCTTCTTTGGGCTTTGTATTAAAAACACACTTCCAGCAATTGACTACAGTTGGCGCCTTTGCAGAATCGCCCGAACTCATGTTTTCAATCTCAAACACTACCAGACGCACAGCAATTTCAGTTGCCTTCAGTACAGTGATGACCCTATATTTGAATGATGCCATCGTGCTCTGGCTTCCTCAATTCACCATCAACCGACAAGAAGCGACTTCCTTGCAAATGATTGTGGACAATGAAACGTTTGCAGTGAAAAACTATTCCTGGCTTAGTTTTACCAATGATCCATGTATGGGAGGTAAGCTATTCATAAACGTCCCAACAACGATTCAATCTTGTGTGGGACTTCAAGTTCTTGTTCCGGAGACGTTTGGATTTGTTTTACCTGTTTGGAACACATCGACTTTGAGCAAAGACTTTAGGATACAGCTCATTTCTGATCGCATGCCAATCCTACCAACTACAGTGAGTAATTATTCACCATTCCAAGACCTGTTCGAAATCTTCTTCATTGACTTCACAGGGTATGATCCTGAAACGTGTGGCAGTGTACGGACTATAGAAATCAACTTCAAGGCCAACATAGATTTCCAAGATGGTGATAACCTGCAATTGAAGTTGCCTGTGGAGTACGAACTTCTCCCAGGATTTCAGACCCACCCTAAAGCAACTTCGGGTTTCAACATCACGAGATCGAACGATGTCATTGAAATCTACTTTACAGAGCTTAAGCCCCATTCAACGCCGACAAGCTTGAGTATCAACACATCCAACCTACTGAGGCTGCCCACAGCTGGACAGGTGGAAAATGCAAGTATGATTGGAATACAAGCTTCCATTGGAAAAGAAAAGATGTGCATTGTGAGACCTTTGACGAGTCCATATATACCATCGTTGGCTGAGGCATCGGTCTCTTTTTCTGGTCAAGTGGGAGAGGCAATACAGCTCTCGTTGGAACTAATTTCGAAAATTCTTTTCAACGTCATCGAGTTACACCTTCCCGAATTCACAGGTGACAGTGCATATCTTCACAATATCAGCTCAGATCCGCCAAACATTTTCAATCTTGGAATTTGGAATGAGTCAACAAAAACCCTCACTCTTTGTGTAAAACGGAATGACTCAAACATTTCTGGTTCAATCTTTTCCAGTGAATTGTCGTGTTCTAGTGCACTTTTAGCTTCAGATATTGTTTACAGAATTCGTGTCAACAACACAAGAATCAGACTTCCTTACAACGGCGTAAATTCTAAAAGCAACGTCATGATATCTGTACTCAATACGAATCAATTCTCAAATTATCCATGCTTGATTCCTGTACAAGTACTAAACCCCATCGGTGCCGTCATTGACACATCCCAAAATTATATCCCGCTCAGTGTCCAGTGTCCATCAGTTTTGGACATGATGAATTTCAGCTTTCAATTCACTCCGTTGATGAATTTGAGTAATGGTGACACAGTCAGCTTTTGGATACCGAACGTAAAGCAAAGATATTGCTCTAGCAATAATACTGAGTTCAACTTGTTTGTTAACTCATCATTGTGTGACAAGTGCGTGAATTTCAATTTAATTTGGTCTGACTCTGCAAAAATGTGTCAGCTGCACGTACACGTTTTGAATAGTATTGCAAAAAGTAACAAAATTTCAATTATCAGCTCAACAGCGAATATACTATTTGAACCAACAAATGCCCAAAATGCCATGTTTCAGATGATGATATCAAGTAACCTGAACGGCAATGTGCAAGCAGTCTCCATTGGTACTTCTCCCGGGTTGATGAAAGCTGTACCAACAAATATTTCTGAACTATTTCAGCACTTTGCAGTTGTCTTTGATCCACCAATTGCTGGAAGGCAATGCAATATCTATTTGAAATTTTCAAATGTCGCAACGATGTATCCAGGAGATGAAATTGAATTATATCTGCATGACTTTCATGGGAATCAAAGTTGTCTTTGTCGAGATTCAAATGCATGTCCAAACAACTGCATTGTTGACCCTAATTTCATTGGCTTGTCATGTTATTGGGGTCAGTCTCTTTGCAAACCAAATGCGGTTGATCAGGTTCATTGGAATCCTCAAAATCAATCATTGAGGTTGACATTGCAGTCAAAAATTGATGCATTTGCTGATTTGAATATTACTATCCCCTCATCTCTTGGGGTCTTTATCTCCAGGCGCGGTGTAAGCATAGAAACGGTCTCGTTGAAATTCAATGGCTGCAGTGGGAGGAGTGAATCGACGAAACTGCCCTTGACAGATGTGTCGCTCGTAGGCTCGTTTACTGACACGGTGAGATTAGCCTTTGATCCGCCTCAGAGTGACACACAAGCCTCTCTTCGACTTGTGTTTACTCCACAAATGAGAATTACTGAAGGTGACAAAGTCACTTTGCATCTGAATGGATATCGGGCACAGTGGCAATCCCTCAACTTGACTGGTTGCTTCTCAAGAGCCCTATGGATAGCAGAGCTGGACAACCTAGTCTTCCACGCAAGCGACTGCAAAGATGGGTTGATAGGAGGAACAGAGGTCGTTCTGCAAATTCCAAGGAGTGAGGGCATTTGGCTACCACCGTACACTCCCAACAGTACATATTCAGTCACAATGAGTGCTGACTGTGCTGCTGGACCGGTATTGCCATTTACCATTGCTTCTCAGGGCTGTCAGGTGTTGCACAGCATGATAAAATTTCAAAACCCATCAGCTTTTTCATTCACTTCTCTGGATATTTCATTTTCTTTCTCATGTGGATTGTCTCAAGGAGAGAAAATTTACGTGATTTTGCCTGAATTTACAATCTCAGCAGCATTGGGCTCGATTTCAGATCCTGTAGGCATGTATCTAACGATGGAAAAAGTGTTGATTGAGCTTGCAGATCTAAAGATCGTTTTGAAGATTGCAAACGATATCAAACCGCTTGAAATCATAAATGCTACAATCAGGCAAGAAGTTGGTATTAGAATTCCATCAACTGGCTCAGAGTATTACAAGGCTAGATACTCCTTTTATACAACTACTTTATGGAACCCAATGCACTTTCTTGATGTCACAACCGTCAAAGGATTACTCCAGAATGTCTCGCTCATTTTCTCTGCCAGAACCATCGGAGCTGAAACTTCAATTGTTTTGAATTTCTTCAATCAAAACAGCCTTGATATTGGGGATATCTTGATTCTATACCTTGTCAACTTCATCAAGAACCCACAGGTTTGCTTGTTGTATTCAACCACTCCAGCAAATATTCTTGGAGAGGTGTTATGGAACCCTAGTTCTCATTCACTTGTATCTACTCTCAAGCGTTCCATCCCCTCGAGGACATGGATTCAAATTGTGATTCCACAGGGAAGTGGATTTCAAATTCCAGCGGACGGCGTAACAGACCAATCTACCAATTCATCGCTGACTGTGAGTTCACGGACTACTCCAATTCCAAATTTGAATATCACAAACTCATCTCACGTAGGCTTCTTTGAAGTTGCTGAATTGTTGTTCGATTCTTGTTGTATCAGTACAATCCGATTGAGGCCAGCAATGATATTGCGTGCAAACGAATACGTGTTCTTCAAACTTGACGGGTTTCGCTCTACAAGCAATGCAACAACACATACCCTGATTTCGGAGATGAAGGTTGGCTCACTGTACAAGGAGAGCATATGGGACTCCTCATCAGAAACCTTGTATGTCAACGTTGCAATGGATATTCCTCCCGGTACAGATATTCTGTTGAATTTTACAGATTTGCGTTTGGAAGTCCCGATCGTTGGGGTAGATGTGAACAGCACTCGAATGGTTTTGGGGACGAACGCAAGAGCTGGACCTGTTACTCATCAATATTTTGTCAATCCTCGGCCCGCCACCGGCATTTTCCAAGTGCTTCCCAAGATTTCATTTAATCCTCTTTGGGCTGGTAGCGTTACAACCATGTACCTTTCGTTCTCGTTGAATCAACCGGCAGAGCGAAATCTTACCCTGGATTTCTTGCTCGAGGATTTTGAAGCTGTGGAACAAACATACGTCAACAACGATCGAGGCTTCAAATTAGAAATTGTGAAAAGAAATGCGACGGTGCACCTAGTTTTCATGTTTACACATTCACAATCAAATGAATCTATAACGTTGGACGGAAATGCAATTGGTTTGAAATTGCCAAAGAAGGGTATTCCACAGAGTAAGGCAAAGATTTTGATGCGATTGTCTTCCAATAGCACAGCAGCTGAGTTATGGTTGGACATAGACCCAGTAGGTGCTTTGAGTACTGCCTTGTCCCTTGGGTTCAATCCCAAGGTTGCAGGTCAACCTACTTCAATCAACGTAGAGTTTGCTCTCAACGGTCGGCTGCTTCCATCAGAGAGCATTTCCATATTGTTTCCAAAATTTGTTGGACCTGATTTGCAACAAATTGAAGCAGGAGGTGCCTCAAGTTCATTTTTCCATGTTTTGTGGACCCAAAGCTGCTATAGCTCTCCTGCCCTAGTCCTAGTTGTCAAGGACGCTGTAACACTCGAGGCGAATTATCCCATTCATATCTTTATCAACCAAAGCTTTGGGATCAAGCTTCCAATGGCAGGATTACAACGAAACACGCAGACGAATGCGCGCAGGAGACTGCTTGAGGATCCAGCTGGCTTTAGTCTCTTGACAGACTCAACTTCTGGGGCTATTATTTCCGGCACTCCTTTGTCAAATGTCCAATACCCTGCTGTAGGATCTCTGGCTAATCTGACAATGTCCTTTCAGGCAACCAACATAATGGCAGGTAGCCCTGTTGCGATCAAAATCAGTTTTGTACCCTCCATGGAGCTCATTCAAAACGATAACATCAGCTTATCCTTGCCTGGCTTCTCATCGAATTCGGATGTTATATACCTCCGAGGCATCAATGGAACTGCAAAGTGGCTGCCAAATCAAGAATTGCTAGTGATAACTGTCTCTGGTGTTGCACAATCAAGTAAATTTTACGAGATCTTGCTTGGAGTTGACGCATTAAATGAATATCAATTCATCCTGCCAGTTGACGGTGTACAACAAGATTCTTCCAAATTTATGGTTGATGTCAAATCGGCGAATGGTGACATTTCTTGGACACAATTTCAAAAAGTTTCAGGCATCGGAGCTTTTGTCATTTCCTCAATCGCTTTTGATGCTCCGATTGCTGGTTCAGCTTCAAATATCACTTTGGTATTAAAACCTGCAATGAACATTGCTGTAGGTGACGTGATCTTACTCAATTTGCCTTCTTTTGGGGGGAAATTTTGCAGCAACTTCAGATATTCTTGGAATTTGAAGTATGCAAGGGGAAATTGGAACCCATTTGAAGCTGTATTACAGTTCACTTCCCCCGAATCTGTTCTCGCTTACAACTCGATCCAAATCAGGGTTATGGCTGCAACCTGCTCTATTATCATTCCCAAGAATGGGATTTCTGCAGGTACAGAATCAATCCAAGTAAGTACTTCGGCATCGACTGGGCCAGTTCTTCCTACTCCTGTACAGGTTGTGCCTCCCATCGGGTCCTTCCTCGACTCCAGCAGCCTCGCTTTTGATCACAACGCTTCTGCAGCAGAGGTCAGCACTTTGTTGTTGAGATTCCGAGCCAGTATGTCAATCTTCATCGGGGAGGTTGTGACTCTCCATCTTCCTGGCTTCCAGCAGGAGCGCCAAGTCCCCGTTGTTTTTTCCAGTGTTGAGTTTTCGGCAGCGAGCTGGCAAGCATCTTCGCAGTCACTCATTTTCACGGCTGGGGAAAACATCACAGCGGGGACACTGTGCAATGTTACTGTTCTGCGTGACGCAATGATACGGTTGCCTTTGGACGGAGTACGGGTCAATCAAAGCAGTCTGAAACTGAGCACCAATGCACGGCAGGGGCCCATCTTGCCAACGAGCATCTCATTGGTCCAGCCTGTAGGACACTTTGTACAATCTGAGCTGTTGTATGATCCTGCAATAGCCGGCAGATTCACGAACATCATATTGCGCATGAAACCTGCTATGGCTTTGAAACGTGATGACGTTTTGTTGGTCGATTTTCCTTTTTTGCTGTACTCACCTTCGTTTGACGGCAATTTTTCATCAAGCTTTGTCTACCAAACATCTCGGAATATTTCATTTTCTTGGCAAGATGCCACGTTGAGGATGCAGTTTGATGAAGGTGTTCAACCATTGAACCAGGTTGACATATTTATCATGAGCAATACTACATTTCAGATTCCTCCTGCAGGAATCAGTCGTTCATCTCAGCCTAGGTATCTTCTGAGTGCAACGGAGGGGCCGATCCCGTGGACCATATTTGCACCACCGCCATTGGTCGGTGCTTACAAGGAAGCACCAAGTATCACTTTCACTCCTTTGATTGCAGGCGCTGTATGCAATCTGACATTAAATTTTTCGGTTGTGTTTGACTTGGACAAAAATGATTCATTACATGTTTATCTGCCTCGATGGAGTCCAACACAGCGTGTAGTTGTTACTTCAGATGCAGCAAGCTTCGCTGTGCGAGCTGAAATGGGACAAATAATTATCATTTTGAACAGTACGATTCCAAAAGAAAAATTAATTACTTTTTCGGTGCAGGGTTATCGAATACCTGTTGAAGGAATCCCAGACTTGAGATTATATGATCTCATGTTAGATGTAGTGTCAAAAAATGGGGTGATCCTGCCCTCAAGGATTTCGAATTATCCTTTTGTCGGATATTTCAAACATTCCGAGATTACATTTGATAATCCCAGAGCAGGACGACAGACGAATATTCAAATTAGTTTGTTGCCGGGAATGGCTTTGCAGCAGAAGGACACGATCACAGTATTGCTTCACAAATTCCTGTATTCTGGGGAACAGATGATATGGAATTGCTCATTCGGATTCCAATGTGATATTTCAATGAAAAGCATGACCGACTCAATGAAAGATTGTTATCTTGTTGTAAAGAATGTATCAGTGATCAAAAATATTGGAGGACAGAACAAAACCGTCTTTGTAGAGACAAATGTCACGGAATGCCCTCAAACTCTAGCACTGAAAATTCTTACTTTGAATGGATCTCCGCTCCAAACACCGGAATGGATAAATATATCTATAGAAGGTATGAATGTTTCATTGCCCTTATACGGGGTTCGTGGCAATATTACAGTTGAATCAGATGCAGTCTTGGGTATCGTATTGCCTACAGAGTTCATCAAGCTTCAGAAGGTTGGAGCACTTTTTCCTGGAGCAAAACTTTTGGTCAATCCGACTTCAGCCGGCGTGTTAGTGAACATAAGTCTTCAATTCCAGGCAAGCATGCAGTTTCAGATCAATGATGAAGTTGGTTTGACCCTTCCTGGATTCTCGGGAGATTCAGGAAATGTTGTGATTTTGTCTGACTATGCAGAAACAGGATATTTCAACAGTATGAAACACACACTAAAATTTTCGATAAGCAAACCAATAACTGCTTCCTCTATTGCCCGCTTCGACATGGTCACTGGCACGACTTTGAAGTCGCCCGTGGAAGGAATTAGAAAGGTTCAAGCAGACATAACCATCGAAACGAACGCTCTGGATGGCTCTATCCTACCAATTGCTGTAGAATTCGTACAACCGATTGGTTCATTTGTGCTCTGCCAAATTGACTGGCAAGATGAGCCAAGGGTTGGTCAGCCTGTTGCCTTTGCAATCAAATTCATACCGCGTATGCAAATTCTCGTAGACGAATATATATTTGTTTCGTTGACATCCTTCGGGTCTGATACCATGACAGTGAATGCTTACCAAAACTTGCAATGGAATCCTGGAAGCAGATTGCTGAGTATAAGAGTAGTGAATCCCTTTAGCAATAACGAACCGGCGATCATCAATGTTTCAAAGCACCTTGGAATCAAGTTACCGTACAATGGCATTGAAATCAACTCAAGTTTGATTAATTTGTGGACAAATGCGTCAGAGGGGCCAACAGGTGCAACAAGTGTCGAAGTTTTGCAAGCTATCGGTAACATCAAATCGTCCCTTAAACTTCATGTTGACAGCTTGAAAGGGTATGTTAATTTGAACTTCACTTTTAGTCCATCCTTCGATCTCACAAGTAGTGATTCTCTTTTTATTGCACTTGGAGGCTTCCTGGGTGACTGCGAGGGTGATCTGGTCCCTTACCTCGCCTTCGACTCCTCCGTCTTTAACCTCTCCTCTGCTCTCTGCAATACGACAAATGTTGCTGTATCTCTGAGCCTACAGATAGGATCCGCCATCCCCAAGGGCACATCCATTTCGTTCATGGTCAGCAAGTCTGCAGGAATCCAGCTCCCAGCAGCAGGCCTCACAACCTCGGCAGACTTGGACAAGGTGACTATCCGAGCGGATGCCAAGGCAGCGTTAGTGTTCGAGACACCCTTCTTGTGGACAGGCGGCAGCATCCAACGCGTGGGAACCTTGCAGCAGTCAAGCATCAGGTTTGATGGCACAGACTGCTCGAGCATAGAATTGTCAAGCATCAGTCATTCTTGCATCCGTGCAGGCAGCATTGTGAATGTGAAGGCGTCGTTCACAGCTTCGACACCGTTCCAAGCCAATGAATCCTTCACGCTGTGTATGCCTGGCTTCCGAGGGCCGGAAAATGTCTCGTACATCTCTCTGACCAACTCGAGCGTCGCGATCCGGAACAACAGAGCGCTGTGGGACCCTGCCGGGTGTGATGGGGCAGCCTCACTATCGTTCGTGTATCGCGACAGCATTGCAGCCAACGTGCGGAGCTGCGTGGCGATCTCGTCTGACGCCGGCATCAGACTACCGACACTGGGAGTCAGTTATGCGACTGGAATTTCTCTCATGCCGAAATCTCCTTCCGTTGATGTCGTTGCCCCTACATTCGTACAAAGCGTGCAAAGTGTTGGAAAGTTTATCGTTTCTTCCATTTCGTTCGAGAATCCTCAAGCTGGTGCTCGCTCAAGAATGAACTTGACTCTTGTTTCAAGTTTGGATATCACCGCTGATGCATTTTTTCAATTGAAACTACCTTCATTCGTGGTTGAAGATACCTCATACTCCATTAATGGCTTCTCGGCAATCCACAATGGCAGTTGGTCTAGCACGAGTAGTCTGCTATCTTTCTCATTACCAGCATCAAGCAAAAATAGCACTGTTCTAGTTCTATTCAGAGAGGTCCAGATTCCAAATGAGGGATTGACCATGCGTACACCTAAATTAGAAATAGGAACAAACTTTTCAACTAGTGCGGTATGCTTTGCCGAGATCAATGATGTTCCGGCGATATACCAGACAGGAAACTTTTCGTTGTTTGAGATTTTGTTCAGCCATCCGCAGGCACTCTCTCACACCAATATTTCCATTCGATTTCAGGCTGAGATGACCATCTTTCCTGGTTCTATCATTCACATTCTTTTCCCCGGATTTGTGCATGAAGATCGTAGCATAAACGTGCAAAACACACCTTTCAGTGACATACAATGGATTCAAACAGACTCTACAGTGCAACTGATAGTTGACAAGATTATTGACAGCATGGAAATTATCACTATGGATATTAATGTAAACTTTTTAATTCCTGGAATTGGAGTTCAGAAATGTGGGGTTTTAGTATTCATCAATGCAACTTCCGGACCCATTCAGCATGGAATCTGTCCTCAGATTAATCCGATTGGCGCTTTCTTGCACACGAACATGAGCTTTATACCAGCTGCAGCAGGAAAAGAAGTTGAAATAGGGCTTCAATTCAATGTTCAAATGAAAATACGGCCAGGAGAAAGCATCTTCTTGAAGTTACCATCCTTCATGCGTAATACGCAGAAATTGAATGAGACTTATGGACTGACTTGGAAGCACGTTGGACAAAATCTATCAACTATTGAAGGTCAATGTATCCTCGCATCATGGAATAGCAGCTCGTACCTGCTCCGACTTGAAGTCTGTCTTCAGGACATCCCCGCAAAGGCCGATGTAGAGATTGTGATCCCTAGCTCATTCGGGCTTCGACTGCCGTCGTTGGGCCTCATGCAGAATCAAGAAAGTCTGATGATCTCATGCGATGCTGAGGCTGGAAAGGTACCGCCGACATCGATACAGGAGACTTCTGGGGTTGGATATTTCACGAGGACGAGCCTAGGCTTCTTGGATGCGAACGATCAAGGAGAGCGTTTCGTGCAAGCAGGCAGGGTCGTGCGACTGGTGCTTGAAGTCGAGATCGGAATGAAGCTGTACCCAGATGACGAGCTCGTACTGGGATTACCCGGATTTATGTTGACAGCTACACCAACCGATCTCACCATCAACGCATCGTCAGGCAATGAGTCCAGCCCTGCTTTCCATGTGTCAATCCAACCTGCATCCAACGAGGTGGTGTTGACAAGCATCACGGAGGTCGAAGGAAACACCTTCCTCACCTTTGTCTTCCCTTCGACGTATGAGATCATGCTGCCTCAGACAGGCGTCGCACCGAACCAGCAGGACCTTACTTTAGAAGCGCGCTCTTCCTCACGGCCAGTGGCCCCAACACCCTTCGGTACCGTACAGCCAGTCGGCGCATTCTTGAATGCGTCGCTATCATTCGACCCGCCTGTTGCAGGATCGAAGGCAAACCTTTATCTCAATTTTACTTGTTCGATGGAGATATTAGCCAACGAGTCGATCGCAGTAAAGCTTCCTGACTTCTCGAGCGATCTTTCGAGCATGATCTTGCAAGACGCTATCGAGGGAGTGATCGCAAACGCAACCTGGGACGGGAGTGCGAACCAGCTCACTCTTGTGTATCTGAATCACACCAGGAGGAACCAGGGGTTCAGCTTCGAGATATTGCAGATGTTTGTGCTGCCGACACTAGGAGTGAGGAGGAGCTACAACAACATCAGCGTGAGCACGGAGGCAAGACTTGGCCCTGTTCATGAGAGCAGACAATTTGTCGTCAACTATTTTTCTGTGGTGTTCAACTCAACTTTGGCATTTTCCAATCCCAAAGCTTTACAAGTTTCGAACCTCAGTATCAGCATGTCGATGCAAATGGATCTGCAATACCAAGACAGCATCGTACTTTATTTGCCATACTTCAATCTCAATACTGTGAACATTCCACCGGAAAATGTGGTGATCGCCGTCGAACAACTGGAATCAGTTTATCCTTTAGCAGTTTTCTGGGATAATGCAACAAATATGCTCTCTTTGATGGTGAATGGCTCAATTCTAGCTGAATCCTTTGTTGTCATCAACGTTATTAGCACAGTAGATTGTTACGTAACCCTTCCATCCTGTGGTGTGTCAACAGGCAGCTCAGGGATCAAATTTTCAATCAAAGCCTTTGATGGTATTGTTATGTGGAAAGCTTTTGATCATTTGCTTGGCTACAATTCCTTTTTACTCGGCTCCACTTCAGTGGACTTCCATCCAAGAAAAGCTGGAGCCGTAGTTGATTTGAGCCTTCAGTTCCAAACTTGCTTTTCAATCAAGGAAGGTGACAGGCTAAAGCTATACTTACCTGGGTTTACTGGTTCTGAGTTAAGTTTGCTTCAATTGAGCAATTACAGCTTGCCTATAAAGCTGATCACGTGGAATCCCCTTGAATATTTGCTCTCCATCATGCTGGCGGAACATATTAACACTTCAAATGTTGCAATTGCTCCGTTGAACATTAGCATCTCACTTCCCGTTGTAGGAATCAGATTGCAAACAGAGATTCTGATTGGTCTTGATTCCATTGAACCGATCCAACTGGAGCGAATCGCTCATGTACCCTTGATAGGTTCATTCACAAATTCGACGACTCTACGGTTCGGCAGTTCCAGGGCTGGTGAGAGGAGCAGCCTTGAGTTATCTTTCACGGCACAAACGAACTTAATCGAAAACGATTGCATCTATTTGCAAACCAAGTTTTCGTGGCTGTACAACGGAAGTGGATGTAACGTTAGTGAAATTTGGGATGTTTACTATCTGGAAAATCAAAGTATGCTACTTCTATGTCTGCAGAATTTCACAATCGCAGCAACCGATTGGGTCTTCATGACTCTGCCCATGACATGTGGGTTTGTCATTCCAGCTGATGGTGTTCGAAGCAGTGACCAAAGGATTCTCATTGGTTCGAACGCAACTCTCGGGCCTATCCAGCCAGAACCATTCGCTACGGTTGCTCCAATTGGCGCCTTCATCCTTTCGGCGTTCATATACGTTCCACAAAATCGATCGATTCGCTTGAGGATGAAACCAGCCATGACGGTTGTCCCGGGCGAAAGCATCTATTTGCTCTTGCCCGTCTTTGATGGCAAAACGATCAGTAACATGACCATCCCAGGTCAACACTGTCTGCGTGCATCATGGAATAGCAGCTCGTACCTGCTCCGACTTGAAGTCTGTCTTCAGGACATCCCCGCAAAGGCCGATGTAGAGATTGTGATCCCTAGCTCATTCGGGCTTCGACTGCCGTCGTTGGGCCTCATGCAGAATCAAGAAAGTCTGATGATCTCATGCGATGCTGAGGCTGGAAAGGTACCGCCGACATCGATACAGGAGACTTCTGGGGTTGGATATTTCACGAGGACGAGCCTAGGCTTCTTGGATGCGAACGATCAAGGAGAGCGTTTCGTGCAAGCAGGCAGGGTCGTGCGACTGGTGCTTGAAGTCGAGATCGGAATGAAGCTGTACCCAGATGACGAGCTCGTACTGGGATTACCCGGATTTATGTTGACAGCTACACCAACCGATCTCACCATCAACGCATCGTCAGGCAATGAGTCCAGCCCTGCTTTCCATGTGTCAATCCAACCTGCATCCAACGAGGTGGTGTTGACAAGCATCACGGAGGTCGAAGGAAACACCTTCCTCACCTTTGTCTTCCCTTCGACGTATGAGATCATGCTGCCTCAGACAGGCGTCGCACCGAACCAGCAGGACCTTACTTTAGAAGCGCGCTCTTCCTCACGGCCAGTGGCCCCAACACCCTTCGGTACCGTACAGCCAGTCGGCGCATTCTTGAATGCGTCGCTATCATTCGACCCGCCTGTTGCAGGATCGAAGGCAAACCTTTATCTCAATTTTACTTGTTCGATGGAGATATTAGCCAACGAGTCGATCGCAGTAAAGCTTCCTGACTTCTCGAGCGATCTTTCGAGCATGATCTTGCAAGACGCTATCGAGGGAGTGATCGCAAACGCAACCTGGGACGGGAGTGCGAACCAGCTCACTCTTGTGTATCTGAATCACACCAGGAGGAACCAGGGGTTCAGCTTCGAGATATTGCAGATGTTTGTGCTGCCGACACTAGGGGTGAGGAGGAGCTACAACAACATCAGCGTGAGCACGGAGGCAAGACTTGGCCCAGCAGTTTCGCGTGATTTTGTGGAGGGCATTGGTTACTTGAGCAACATCTCTCTGAGGGCCGTTCCTCCGAGGGCTGGATCACGAACGGATGTTGAAATTTCGTTTGTCGTTCATATGATGCTCTTACCTGGAGACATTTTGCAGGTTTCACTTCCAGACTACATAGTTTCAGGAGTGCAGCAGGTAGTATTCTCCAGTGGGAACTATAGTTGGGAACTGTCTCGTGAGGAGGATTTGATTCGTTTGCATCTCAACAGTTCTATGGGAATATATCCAGATTCACTTGTATCATTTGTCGTGAATGAGATGATAGGTATTGACCTTGTCGTAAGGAATGATACGTTTCCAAAGATGCTCTTTCCCACTATTGAAGTGTCAAAATGTGCAGATGGCAAAGTGTTGTCGAAGCAATTTGATTATTTTCCCCGCATATTTGTCATTGGAGATTTCCAGAATTCGAGTTTGAATTTTAATCTAACAGATGTCAGGGCCAACCAAGCTTGCGATATCTGTATTGATGTCTTCCCCATTATGACGCTTTCAATTGATGACCTCGTTGTCGTAAAACTTCCTGGGTTTCATGGAGAACCAAATCGCAATGTGAGCTTCAATTGCAAACCTCCGGATCTCATTCGAAATATTTCTTGGGACCCAATTGCTGAAGAGGTCTCGATGTTGCTGAAACGAGAATACTATGGTAATATACATGCATGCATTTTGAAAGAATCATTGTTGTACCTTCCACAACGAGGTATAAGGATGAATGATGATTCATACCGTGTGCGCACGAATGCAATCGCTGGTCCTGTGATGGATAAAGCAATTCAGTTGGTCGAACCTGTAGGTGCTATCAAATATTCGAGCATCTCATTCCGTCAAACCTCAGCAAGTGCTGTATCTATCCAAGCGAATTTGATTTTCTGGATGAACCTTTTCGAGCATAGTTCTCTAGTCCTCTACGCATATGACATGTCACTGTCTGGTGCAAAGGCTTTTATTGCAGGAGGAGGGTACTCTGAAAGCTCTGTTAACAGTACATGGAGAACGGACTGTGCATGTCTGTCTGTTGACATACCAGAAGCAATGACTGCTGAAACTAATGTATACCTTCGTGTTGAAGGGGACTTCGCGCTCCCAAGCACTGGAATCTCTAGAGATGAGCAGGGTTGGAGGGTTGGAGTTCAATCTGATGATGGAAATATTCTACCGACCCCATTCATCCATGTTGAGCCAATCGGACATGTAGATGTGGAAATATTCATCAAGAATGGTTCTTTCACGTTGCAGAGTATAGAAATGCATTTTTATATGAAGCTTGAACGTTTCGAAAGGGTTGATTTGATAATCAAGGGATTTTCAGGAAACTCCACGTATTGTCAATACGTCCCTTCACTGCCAGAAAATGCGTTGTCAACAATCATTTGGAACTCTTCTGCTCCACAGATGACTTTCATAGCAGAAAAAGACATACAAGCAGGAACGCTAGTGTCAGTCGATTTAAGTTCGCTTAGTGTGACAAGTCCTCCACCTGATTCAATTGCAGGTTGCTGTCAGATTTTTTCATCTGCAGTCGCAGGACCGGTGAACTTCTCACCTGTTCTCGTTACGTTCAGCACAAAGGTCTGGACAGGCACAGCTTTGGGAACCACTAAACCTGTCTTCTCAAGCAGTAGCTCCACTGCAGCCCTTACTTCGGGAACGACCTCTGCAGCAACCTTGTTTGAAAACACGACGACACCGATATCAGAAACAGAAATGCTGGTCACAGGTACAGAGCTTCAAACTACCACACCCTTCATCTCAAACAGCTCCACTGCAGCCCTTACTTCGGGAACGACCTCTGCAGCAACCTTGTTTGAAAACACGACTACACCGATATCAGAAACAGAAATGCTGGTCACAGGTACAGAGCTTCAAACTACCACACCCTTCATCTCAAGCAGTAGCTCCACTGCAGCCCTTACTTCGGGAACGACCTCTGCAGCAACCTTGTTTGAAAACACGACTACACCGATATCAGCAACAGAAATGCTGGTCACCGGGACAGAGTCAAATTTAACCGCACCCTTCATCTCAAACAGCTCTGTTCCATCAACAACACCTTCACTGGTTCCTGTTGATGAATCAACTGCAGTTCCACGAATAGATGTGATCATGTCAAAAGATGGACGAATAAGCCTCAAGTTGATCTTTCAGACCAATGGGATGATCGAGAGCAACTCAAATGCATCGATATACTTCCAAGGTGTTCAGAACCAATCCTTTCTTCAAATGACGATTGAAACAAATAATTGTTCTGTGAACATATCTGCTAAGTATGAAGTTCCATCAAATGGCTATTATTTTGAGTTTCCATGTATGACAAGTTCGGGGTCCAATGTTTCGATTCGTGTTGCAGATCTCAGTCTCCTTGCAAGTGGACCGAATATAACCCGACTGGGAGCCAGCTTAATTGCAGAGGTCCAACTCCAAGATGGCAAAACCACGTCAAAAGAATACGTCTTCCCTTCAATAGATATTGGAAACATCAAATCGTCCCTCAACTTCGGTTCATCAGCAGCTCTGCTTATAGAGTTAATACCGAATTTTGACATGCAGAGCTTTGACCTCCTGAGCATAACTCTTGGGGGCTTCCTGGGTGACTGCGAGGGTGATCTGGTCCCTTACCTCGCCTTCGACTCCTCCGTCTTTAACCTCTCCTCTGCTCTCTGCAATACGTCAAATGTTGCTGTATCTCTGAGCCTACAGATAGGATCCGCCATCCCCAAGGGCACATCCATTTCGTTCATGGTCAGCAAGTCTGCAGGAATCCAGCTCCCAGCAGCAGGCCTCACAACCTCGGCAGACTTGGACAAGGTGACTATCCGAGCGGATGCCAAGGCAGCGTTAGTGTTCGAGACACCCTTCTTGTGGACAGGCGGCAGCATCCAACGCGTGGGAACCTTGCAGCAGTCAAGCATCAGGTTTGATGGCACAGACTGCTCGAGCATAGAATTGTCAAGCATCAGTCATTCTTGCATCCGTGCAGGCAGCATTGTGAATGTAAAGGCGTCGTTCACAGCTTCGACACCGTTCCAAGCCAATGAATCCTTCACGCTGTGTATGCCTGGCTTCCGAGGGCCGGAAAATGTCTCGTACATCTCTCTGACCAACTCGAGCGTCGCGATCCGGAACAACAGAGCGCTGTGGGACCCTGCCGGGTGTGATGGGGCAGCCTCACTATCGTTCGTGTATCGCGACAGCATTGCAGCCAACGTGCGGAGCTGCGTGGCGATCTCGTCTGACGCCGGCATCAGACTACCGACACTGGGAGTCAGTTATGCGACCGGTTTGTACGTGCGGGCTGTTGGTGTATTGTTGAACCCAGAGTTTACGCAAGTGCAGCAGATTGGCTTTGTGCAAAAGTTTTATGTGGATTTTCAACCTGCATGGAAGGGCTCGGTGGTGGACGTTCAGATTGAAATTGAGGCGGGACCATGCCTGAAGGCCAACGATGAAATCTTCATTACTTTGCCGCTTGCGGCCACTGAAGCATCCAGTCTGGTGTGCGATAATGTCACCCAATACTTTTCAAATTGCTCGATAATAAGCCAAGATTGGGAATACAACTGTAACAGTCAGAGTGGAGGAGTTCTTGTTCGGCTTGTTGTATCCCAAAACATCTCGGGAAATTTCAGCTTGAGTTATACGATACCAGCTTCTTCTGGAATCCGTTTACTTTCAGAACAGATTGACGGGTATTCTATCAGTTTGCAAATAGAATCAAGCATCTGCGGCCCGATGTTCTCTGGCATTTCAAATGTTTCATCACTTCTAGGTAACAATGACTTCTGCGACGTGCAGATCAGCTTTGTTCCAGCCGCCCTTTACAGGCTAGTTGCAGTGGTTATCAATTTTGATGCGTGTGTTCAAGTATATGACGGCGATACACTTGCAATTCGGCTGCAGAATTTCTCGGGAGATTCCTTCAATATCACACTGGAATCATCCATCAATGTCACATGGAATTCGGAGAGTGAAGCATTACAAATTGTGTTTCCTCATCTTTCCTTGGGTGAAAAAATCAAGGTGGTGACGCCAGCCTCTCTATATCTCCCGAAAGATGGGATTTCAAGCTTGTCAAATGGAATATATTTGAACTTCACATCGGATAGAAAAACTCTGTCATTCTTCAGCCAAATAAAAGTGCAATTGGTAGGGTCACTCAAATATATTCCTGAGGTGAAAATGCTACTGTCAGATAACAAGATTGCAATAAGCACGAGTGTCGTTGCTTTGATGAATCTCCTACCTCAGGACAATTTGACAATCGTACTTCCCATGTTCGCAGAGGTCTTACAGTGGCCCACCCTTGCGTCAAACAGCATATTTTCAAACGTCTTGTGGAGGTCCGAAAATCAAACACTTACTCTCACTGTTGGCTCAGTCATATCATCTTACACTGTCACAGACATTGTTGTCAGATTCAACAACTCCTTTCTGACTTTGCCTCCGAATGGGCTGGTTCAGGTTTCCAACACCATTGGTTTGCAGCTGACGTCAGCGTCAGGCTTGTCGTTCGATTATTTCCCTCTGACCTTCAGAGGCCTTGGTTTTGAACAATCGAAGATCACGTTTTCTCCGCCAATTGCTGGGAGGCCAACCGGCATTTCAATCCGTCTGGTAGCTCAAAGTTTAATCGCAAAGGGACAAATGATAGAAATATACTTGGAGGCATTCACAGGAAGTGACGTGTTTGACCTTCTGGTTACCAGTGACTTTACCGCTCCGATATTCTTCTGTTCATGGATCAGTCAGGAACGAGCTTTGAAATGTCCAATTCAACGAGATATCCCAGCGTCAAATCCATTCACGATCCGTTGGCCTGATTATGCTGGAGTTGCTTTGCCGGAACAGGGTGTGAACTTCTATGGGCCAAGAATGATCGTGAGTGTAAATACCGTCATGGGATCTAAGATTTTTCAACAACAAATCCAAGATTTCAATCCTGTTGGTGCATTGAAATATGCATACATAGTAAGAAATGAAACAGACTTCGGCACGTTATGGAGCTTCGTCTTTATGGCCTACATGGATATCGAATCCAATAGCTCTTTTTCGATCTATTCCAGTGGTTATAATTCAGGTCTAGACGTTTGCTTCGATATGGTTTCTTCGCCTACCAACTTTGTTCAAGATGGACACATCAAGAATTCCACGCTTTCATTTAAATCTATAACCCCAGTTTCAAGGCTGTCAGAGCTCAAAGCCACTCTGTTAGATCCTCGGGTCTTGGAATTTCTAGAAGCTGTGCGCAATGGAAATCACCTGATTCTGCTTTCCCTGCTATCATCCACTGGCTCTGTTTCTGATTATTCCATGGAATTTCAATCAATTTCGGGTAGGACAAACTCTAGCTCCAGCATCAATTCGGCGCAAGTGAGTGTCCGAATCCAATATGAAAATCCGTATGCGGATGAGGGTACAGGAATTCTAATCAACCTTGAAACGAACATTCCTATTTATGTCGGGGACGAACTCAACATTGACTTGTTGGGTTTCGAAGGGTCCAAGGTCTCGAATTTCAGTGTAGTAAATGATGTTGGGGTCGTTCAATGTGAAGGATCCTGGATACAATATAGAGAGACCATCGTCAATCCTCTCCCTGAGGTGGGAAATGAGACATGCTGGCTGAACACTTCGAAGAATGTGACATATGCTGAATGGCAAAACGTTACCTTGTGGCAACTGCAATACAAGATTGTGAATATTACGACATACAAGAATGTTACGAATGTACTTGAATTCGCAGTTTTCAATCCTGAGGCAGAAGAGTGCGAGATTGTGTACAAGAATGAATCTGTCGTGCAGAAGCATTTCGAGATGGTAAATGTTACTGAGAACGTGTCGGTGACCATCTTGCAGCCTGTGACCAAATATTTTGAGGATGTCCAGGTATCGATGTGTCCACAAAACAATTTGACCAACATCAGTGATGACAAAGTCATGACAATCCAGACCCTAAACCGTCTCAGCCTTAAATTTGTGAAGAATGTAACCTCAGGAAATTCGCTACAGCTTCGAATTCCAGAAACCGCTGGCATAAAGTTGCCGACCGAAGGCATTGCAGAAAACGAGCAAGCTCTTGTAGCTTACTTGGATTCTGCACAAAGAGAAGTGATTTACAAGGCCGATGTGTTGCATTCCTTCCCAGACGTGGGTTCATTCAGAGAAAGAGTGGTTGAATTGAGTGGAACTAAGATTTACAGAGAATTGGAAGGTATCTACTCAAGGCAAAGATTCACATGGAATCTTAGCTCGGTTTACGTGAGCAACGACAGAAAGTCTTGTATCGTCTCTTGTGGTCGCTACCTTTCTGTTTCCAAAGATTGCAATTTTGCGATAGGAATCAACTGCCAAGACGTTGTGCTGCGTAGCAAAATGGACTCCGAGCCCATCCTTTTTGCAAACAATCAGTATCAGGTCACCTGGGAGGAAAGGAACGGGTCAACCTGGGTTTCTACGAAGAGCATTTCACTGGTGATTCTTCTCTTTGTTTTTGACACTTTCTAACTCCTAAACCAGGTTTCAAAACCTCCACGAAGATCAGCCTTGCTTCGATTCAGTGATGAAGCAAAACCAGGTACTCCAAGTTCTTTGTCATTGAGCCTAAAACCAAAGGGAAACATTGTTCCTCTTTCCCAAATCCTGTTGTCGCTTCCTGGATTCACAGGCATCGAAGGTGCTCGATCACACGACCTGATGATTGCAGGAAACAAGTCAGAATTGTTTTATGCTAAGTGGGGAAGATCTTGTTCAGACTCGTCATTTATTGTTCTGATTGCGAAAGAAAATACGTACATTGCACCAGAGGAGGATATAGAATTGTACGTTTCTGCGATCCAGAACATATCACTCCCTTTGAATGGAATTACTGAGAATTCAGGAATTCAAATCATTCTTCGACTCACTACTTATCCTAAATTTGCGATCACTGTGGTTCCAAATTTTTTGCTCGTATCACAGGCTTCGTCTCTGTCACTGGATTTTAATCCCAAATCGCCTGGAAATCCAACGACCATGTACCTTTCTGTGATTCTGACACAAGATTTGCGACCCAACGATATTATTTTGTTGCAACTACCTGGGTTTCAGATTCAAAATTCATCATTAGCGTTCACCTTCTTCTCGAATCAGCAGGCAAACTTTGAAGCGATGGTGGCAGACGGTGAAAGAGTTACTTTGACCAGCTTGCAGTCCTTTGCAAGTGGCGAAAGGATTGAGGTAAGATATCATAGTCCGATAGAAATAAGGATTCCTCAATATGGTATCTTAAACACTCAACAATTCCCTTCCATGAGAGTACAGTCTGCTTTAGGTAATGTCCCTTGGACAGTGATTGAGAATACTTCGCTTGTCGGAAGTGTGACCAATGCTTCAATTCATCTATCGAACACGGAAAGTGTCGGTGTACTCGAAGTCATGATCCGATTTCATGCTCTAATGCCCCTTGCTCCTGCTGATTTAATAATCTTACAGTTTCCGACCTCACTAAAGCAAATCTCGGACACTTTGAATTTGTCATCAATGCCTTACAAGTTCGAAGATCCATTGAGAAATCTGACACAGAACACTTTGACCTTGAAGATCAATGAGACTATACAGATTACAGAAGAGATTTCAGTATCAACACTAGTTCTTGCAGCAGCTGCCCAAGACAGATTTCAATATTCATTGAATCTGTCAATTAGCTCCATAAATGGTAATATCGATGCTTATGAGCTCTCCTTCTTAAATCAATCCGGGCTCTTACCTGCTAGACCTTTGAAAATCGAGATACTGGATTCCCGCATGGTAATTGTACCTCCGATGCAAGGTGCAGAAGTCAAATTCGGAATCAATCTTACTCTCATTTCGAATGAAGATATTGATTCCGAAATTATGGTACATCTACCACCAATATTTGACATCACGGGCAACACACCATTGGGCACAAATCTTAAAATTCAGAAGGATAATTCCTGCATCGAAGGAGGTCTAGTTTTGAAGTTTTCTGCGCCACTACTGCCAACCCTGCAACATTTGAATTTCTCCGTGGTTGAATCCGTGTTGCGACTGAAATCAAGAATATATTGTGCTTCAATGGGAAATTTCTTCTTTTCTATCACATCCCGAGATGGAAACCTTAGCTGCACTCCAATCCAGTCGGTGTCAAAGTTGTTGTGCTCTGATTCGCTTTATGAATCTAAGTTGCTGTTTGGGAATGCTATGGCAAATGAAACTTCATCAATTTCACTGGGTTTCAACCTCCGAGACTTTGTCTTGCAAAAGGGAGATTCCATCCTCCTATCTTTACCCTTCTTTGGCAATACTCAAACGAGCACTGCCTTGAATTGCGAGGTCCTCACCACACCTTCTATGCTTGTGCACACGTTGAAGTGGTATTCGACATCAGCGCAAGTCGAGATTCTCCTTGATTCAAATCTTGGTCAAAATAGGCAAATATGGATCAATATGACATCTGCATGCGGATTTGTTTTGCCTGCAGGAGGTGTAACACAATCGGACAATCTTCAAATCAATGTCTTGACCAAAACATGGGGGTTGTCATCATGGACTGTTATCCAAGAACTTCAAGCTGTAGATTGTAAGTAAATTTGATTTGTTGGTTTGATATCTAACTCTTGATGTGGCAGCTGTGCTTTCAAATTCAGTGCTGTATGTACTTCCACCACATGTAGGTAAAGTCAGGGCTTTGCAGTTTTCATTCATGGTGATGACACCATACTTTTCACGGGGTGTTCTGAATCTCACTGTCCCTGTTCTCAATGCTTCAATTCTGAATCAGACCAAGAATAAGTTTATTGCATTCAGCGATCCACCTGGAATTGTTAATCCAACCGCAAGATGGCATGATGACAAGCAGACAATCGAGATCGTCTTTTTACAGGGAATCTCGTACAACTCCGCTGTCCGAATTGACCTGATCCCAGAATTTGAATGTACGACGATCGAGGAAGGGCTTACCTCTGTCAATAGAAAATATGTGACATTCCAAAAGGGCGATGTGATCACCAAGATCCGTCATTCAAATGCTTTTGGATTCCTTCTGAACCTTGCCATGAAATTTGTGAGCGATCCAAGCTTTTCAAAGATCAAGGTAACTTTTCAGCCGGTCATGAACATCATGGCAAATGAAAGCATATCAATTGGTCTTCCTGCATTCAAGTTTTCAGTGCAAGATATAAGCGTTACAGTTCAAAATGGACATCAGGCAAATTTTTCGTGGGACCAAACCGTGGAAACATTTGTCGTAATAAATCCTATTGATTTGATTGCATTTACGATCTGTACGGTAGAAATCTCTGGCACTGGAGTTCTTTTTCCTCCATTTGCTATTGTTGCAGATGACGATTCTTTCTTTGCTTCATCAGATGCAAAGGATGGTCCAGTATCCCAACAGCCATTTCACCATGTGGAACAAGTTGGAGTTTTCATCAGGAGGCCGAAAGTCACATTTGATCCTCCTTTGGTTGGCATGAATGCGAGAATGAAGCTGGATGACATGCTCCTCAACATCTCTTTGAAGTCCAATGATATAATCACGGTTGTCCTTCCAGGCATTTTTGCTAAGGATTTTGATAAGGAGATTGTGCAATTCAATGAGTTGAACTTTTCAATGTCTTGGTCACAAGATTGCCCACAGAACACGCTCCGAATTGTGACCTTACAAGAAATCTCAGAAGGGACAAACATCGCTGTAGTCTTTCCACAAACGAACAACACCAAATTTTTTGTTGCACAAAGAGTCATACATGAAAGGATGAAAGTGCATGTGAACACTATCAGCAGTGCATCTTGGACGTATAGCAACGATGTGATGATTGCTGCAAAGGCTGTAGTGCCGACATTATGGGGTTCTCTGAAATTTGACCCTGCCGTAGCTGGTGAAAAGACGACCGTAAATGTGCGAGTCAACCTTCTTTCCTCTCTCGAGCTGTTTGACTTGGTCAGCATCTCTCTCCCTGGCTTTTCCCTTGGTGCACCTTTCGAGTTGAGTGGGTCGAATTGGAGTGCCGTACAGTACCGCGACGGAAATTCCTTGAACATAGCTGCACTCGTCGACAACATCGGGGAAGGGCTTGCTACTGGCATTTTAGACTTGCTGGTTCCTAAAACAGGCGAGCTGATAATTCCTGGTGTTGGCATTCCAAAAGGAACTGAAGCCTCTCTGACTATAAAGAGATTCGGTATAACTATGCAGGAAACGTACATATCAATGAATCCTATAGGCTCATTCAGCAACACTTGTCATTTGAGCTTTTTCCCAAAGGAATGTGACAACTTTGTCGGGATCGAGCTCCAATGCGTCCCTGAAATGAACCTACGTAAAGGAGATCAACTTCTATTAGCTCTTCCTGGATTTTCAGTGTCACAAACCAACAGTTCAAGTTCATTCACTTGGAATGCATCATCATCAGTAATTGTCATTTATTTGGATCAAGATGTAAATGCGCACAATCTCATGTCCATTACTTTGCCGCAATCCTCGGGTATTCGTTTACCGCCCTCTTGTGTGGTCACAAACCAATCTGATATCAAGATTTCTGTCCATTCTGTGAATTCTTTGATTTTGTTCACCACTATTCCCAATGTTGAAGGCGTTGGTATGCTAAACAACACAAGAATGCTTTTCAATTATTTACATTTGAATGAGCCGACCGATATCACTTTGTCGTTTGATACTTCAAACAGACTGGTAAACGGCGATTCAATCCAACTGGTGTTAGAGAACTTCAGGCTGTCGAGTCAGCCTGGAAAGATAGTGTACACATCTGAACCTGATGTGATTGGCGATATATTTGCTGTCAGCTATGACCCTCTCACCCTGAAACTCCAGCTTTCAAGCGATTTACACGCGGGTGAGAACCTCACTATCGTCATTCGGAGACAGTCCATGATAGTCCTTCCCCGGCATGGAATCCTGAGTGAGAATGGTATCAAGATCAAATTGGATGCCCGATATGGTTCTGCCGATTCGCGAACAATCCAGACCGTGCAGAAAGTTGGGTTCTTAAACCACACTACGATTTCATTCTACCCAGCAAAAGCCTCTACTAACAGTGATGTCTTGATCGAATTCACTCCTTTCATGGCTTTGTTCCCCAGCGATATGATTGTAATGGAACTTCCAGATTTTGTAGGAGACGAAAGTCTGATTTCTTTGACTACTCATGGGCTTGTCTCAGGCTTTCAGTGGTTGCAACTTTCGCAGACCTTGTCGTTCACAGTTTCGAGCGAGGTGGCACCTTTTACCCGAATTTCAGTGAATATTTCCAAAGGTTTTGTTCTGCCTGCAAGAGGAGTGCGACTGAAAGAGAAGGTGACGATCAAATGCTATGCGAGAACAGGCAACACAGCTGCAGAACGACTTGACGTCATTCAGGCTGTCGGAGCAGCCAAGTCTACAAGTTTGGCATTTTCACAAATAGTTGAGGGGGTTTCAACGTCAATCTACGTCACTATCACCACCTTCATGAAAGTAACACCGGGCGACAGAATCAAACTTACCCTTCCGAACTTGCATTTGTCCGATGGTAATGCTCAAGCAGCCATCTATTCAAGAGTTTTGATTCAAGGAGAGCTAGTTGATAGAGTTGTCAGCAAAAACAAGACAGTGATCAAATACGTCAATCGTTCGTTACCTTCAGACAACAGGTGTGTTGTTGTACCAACAGAAGTGAACAGCAGCGAAACAGTCTATCTTACAGAGCAATTTCAAACTAGCGACAGAATTGAAGAATATACGACCTACTTGCAGAACTTGTCCGTTGTGAATGACGTATTGACGCTGATCTTCCCATTTGCATATGCTCCAAATACAAGCTTTGAGATCAACATTACTGGTTTCCTGTTTCCTGGCGGCAAAACATATGACCGGAACGCGTTTGCGTATGAGATGCAATGCAAAGAGGGACCAATTCCATCTACAACGTTCGAATCTGTCCCATACGTAGGTTATTTTACGAAGGCTAACATGACTTTCTACAACGGAATAGCAGGAAAAATCAGTAATGCTGCGCTACAACTTCAAGCAAGCATGACTCTGAGGAAGTCAGAAACCCTTTTGATTTACCTCCCTGGATTTGCAGGTGATTCAAGGGCAGATGTCGACGTTTTGCTTGCTTCTTCTTTCAAGGTCAGACTGCTCGGATGGAACAATCAAACTGAGACGCTCTCTCTCACAATGGCCGACGACGTGCTTGCTCTTGAATCCTTTGCTTTGGACATCATGTCAATATTGCGGTTGCCGATCGAAGGAATTCGCGTCGGCGAAACTCGATTTAAAATCTCAACAGATGCATTAGCAGGAGCAGTGTCGTTACAAACGGTAACATTGCAGGCAGTCGGATCCCTGAATAACAGCGAAGTGATGGTCATTGATCCCCCGATATCTTCCACGTATGTTAGCGTCAACGTCTCCTTCACAGCCTTGATGAAAATCTCTAAGGATTCCAAAATGACGATCCGATTGGATCAGTTCAAGTTGGATGCTGCTAAGTCTGTTAACTTACCATTCTATGGAACTTTGTTCGATACCGTGCAATGGGATAGACAAAGCTCATCGTTGTCTACAGTCTTTAAGAATGTCGTTGAGATCAGGTCAAAAGTCTTTCTAAGCATTCCACTGATGGCAGGCATTTTCAGTCCGATTGCAGGACTCACAGAGAATAAGGGAATACAGATGTCCATTGAAGCCAACCCCTATGGAAACTTGCTTCCAACCTCATTCGGGACATTCAATCGTTTCGGATCGTTTTATTCATCTCCAGCCTTGAAGTTTTGGCCTGCCACACCTGGAAATGCAGTCTACTTAGAAATATTCTTTGTTGCGTCCATGGACATCGTTGCCGATGAGCTTGTACTGATTCGATTGCCTGAATTCACTGGAGGCTATCATTCTGAAAGTGACATCTCGGATGAGTGGCAGGTGATGTGGACCGGCACCCAAGATTTAATCAGAAATGGCCGAGGAATACCTAGTTTTACTGTGGCTCTCGTTGCAAAGAGTTTCATTACCAAAGATAGAACTGTAAGTCTTGTCATTCCTCAGAGTTTTGGAATCAGACTGCCAAAGTATGGTGTTTCATCTGACTATTCACAATTCTTCATCTCTTCAGATGCTGTTGCTGGCCCCATCCTACCGTTTCGAATCACCAACTTCACACCCATAGGATCATTCCTGTCAGGCCCTCACCTGGAATTCAGCTCTCCTTGCCGAGCTGGAGAATCTTGTGAGCTGCACATCTCATTTCAAACTACCATGAACTTCACTGAATGGGATGTCATCCAATTTGTGCTCGCTGATTTGAAGTCTGATGTTGGCGATGGTAATGTAACTGAACATTGTGATGTGATTGTTCAGAACGTGTCCAAGAGAGATCATGTCGACATTGAGTGGAAATCTCTCAACTCCACAATTCTGATCGTGTTTAAAGCATCAATACCATCACGGAGTAAGATTGAATTCGTAATTTTCAAGTCTATGCATCTCAATTTACCATTGCAAGGCGTGCGTAGGAATGACGTGACATACTTGGTCACAACAAATGCTAGCCTTGGCCCAATCTCACTCATCCCTTTTGCGAGTGTGAATCCGATAGGTTCTTTCATGCTTTCAACGAAAATGAAGTTCTATCCGCCTGTTCGGCCTGGATTTCCGGCTGAAATGGAGTTGAATCTGGAAAACTTTATGAGCTTTCAGGCTGGAGATTCTTTGTTCTTGCATCTACAAGGATTCTTTCAGCAGGTATCAGGTTACAACATTGAGGTCACGAGCAACCCAACAAATCTTCTGGCTAGCGTTAAATGGATAGCGGATGCAGAGCTTTTACAACTCATATTCCAGCAGGCTGTATCAAGAAACACAAAGCTTTCGTTCGTCGTTGCTCGCGATTCTGGTCTATGTATACCGTATGTTGGTGTGAGGAGCAATGACACAAAGGTAGAAATCAGCTCGGACGCATTCGATGGTCCTGTCAGTCCCACACATCTGATATCTGTTGAGCCTGTCGGTTCATTCACCAACACTTCCATGATTCATTTTGATCCTGCGGTTGTTGATCAGGTGTCGAATATCTCAGTTAGTTTCCAGGCTCAAATGGAATTGATCCCAGGCGATCAAATTGTTATTACTCTGAACGGATTCAATCTCTCCCGTGCTCAAAATCGTACTTATCTTAATGACAAGTTTAAGATAATCATTTCAAACCAGAAGGTTGCTGCTGAAGTTCTTGAAAGCATTCAAGCTCTCACGGAAGTGAACTTTGTTTTGAGCTCAGAGCTTGAAATCAGGTTGCCTATCGTTGGAGTAGAGAGAGAACGCTGTTGCATGGCAGATATGCTCTGCTGCATCTTGATTGGAACAGACGCTAGATACGGCCCAATGTCTGACTTGCCTGTGTATTATCAGCAGCCCGTCGGTTCATTCAAAGACAGCACCGAAGTAGAATTCTTCCCACCTATAATAGGCAAGTTGGACAGTATCGCGATCCGCTTCACGACAATCATGGCAATCTATACAACAGAGACCATCACAATCTCGTTGCCGAGTGTGACATGTTTAGATGTCACCTGTATCTCAGGAGTCGAGAAAACCAGCCAGGCCACTTTTTCATGGAGTAATGATACATCCGTGTTGACCTTGACCTTGTCGAAAGACATACCAGAGAATAGAAAGACCAACATGAATCTCCCTGCCAATTTTGTATTGCTGCAGACTGGAAATAAGTGCGATAACTCAGAGATTCGAATCTCCACACAAGCTCGAAAAGGCCAAGTTCTTCATGAGAGGGTCAAGTCTCCGGGAATCTTGACATCGGGTGAACTGCAAAGCACAGCTCTTAGGTATGGAAAGGCTGAAGCTGGCACCAATACTGCACTCTACCTGCAGTTTGTTAGCACAGTAACCATCTACCCAGGCACGAACCTCACCCTCCGACTGCCTCGCTTCTTTTTGACGAATTCGTCCCAATACTCCAGCGATTGGAAAATACTAGAAGAGGCTAACAGCAACGGAGTCGTGGTGTATTTGAACGCGCAGAGAATCATCTCGGCGTGTGAGTTGGTGGAGGTAACTATTCCTGAAGGGGTTGGGATTGTCCTTCCCATCTATGGACTCATAAAGAACTTTCCTGGCCTGACCGTCTCATCTGATGCTGTTTCTGGCGCTGCTCTCGAGACTTCCATAGAAGACTCGCCAGCTTTTGGAGCCTTCTTTGAGGTGCCGACACTTCGATTTGAGAACAACAGCTCTCCCGTCCGAGCTGGATCAATTGCTAACATTTTCTTGACGTTCAATCTTGTCGCCACTGTCCCAATGGGTACAAAGATTATCTTGACACTGCCAGACTTTGGTGGAAACGAATCTAGAGGAAAGACTAGCACTCCTGGATTGTATGCCTCTTTGAATTGGACAAGACCCCAATTGACAATTACTCCTATGGAAGACGTTTTGAACAACACTAGGGTTGAAATCATAATACCACGAAGCATGGGGATCTCGCTCCCCGTGAATGGAGTCCGTAGGAATGATGCAAGGTTTGCAATGTCGATACTCTCGGAACAAGCTCCGATCGATCATGTGCAGCTGTCAATCGGTCAGCCTGTGGGATCATTCAGAACAAACAACTTGCAACCAAGTTTGTCCTTCAACCCACCGATAGCTGGAAGATTGAGCACCATTACCGTGTCCTTGTTCCCACAGATGGAGATGCGTTCAGAAGACAAAATCACCATTTTATTTCCAATGTTTGGTTACGGTAACCAGGTACAATTGAGGGTCTCCTCAACGCCAGAAAATGTTATTGGCAAATTCAATACTTCTACTGCGATGATCAATGGAGAGCAAACGATTCTACTGGACCTCACAACCTCTAGGACGATTGCTGCTGAGAGCAAACTCATCTTGTATGTTGAGGGATTGACGATACCCGACCGAGGAGTCAGAAAATATGATGTTACAATCCAGATCGAAACGGATTCGAATCAGGGCCCGATCCCTCCAACTCCATTTCCAGTCGTCCAACCAGTCGGCGCATTCAGAACCAAGCAAATGCTTCTGACTTCATTCCAAGTTGGAAAACCGACAAGCGTGATCCTCATCCTGTCGCCCTGGATGGAAATTCAATTCGGAGAAACAGTCTCGATTCGCATGCCGGGCTTCTCCTGCATTGGCCAAGGACAGATCGATCTAACCATAATATCGGAGCGACCGGGAATGAGGGGGCCGTATGTGATATCTGCGTGGACCTCGTCGATGAGCACGCTGTCAATTACATTCAAGGAACCGATCAATGCCATGGATGACATGGTCTTCAGGATTTCAGGCTCTAATTGTCTCATTATCCCTGAATTCGGTGTGCCGAGCTTGAGCGGACGTGCTAACCTGTCAAAGAAGTACGATGTCAGCATGCCAACCAACATCTCTGACCTCATGACAATCAGTACCGAGGCGAGCTTCGGACCCGTGCTTCCAACGATCCTACAGGACGTTCTGTCTCCCGTTGGCTTCTTCAAGATGACAAGAATTCTGTTCAACGAAGGACTTCCTATCAGGGCGGGACAACCTTCCTCGATCGCGTTCGAGTACATTCCTGGAATGTGGTTGTTCCCAACTGACAACGTAGCTTGAGAATGCCAGGATTTCGATTCGGCATGAATGAATTCAATGTGACATGGGAACAGTTGCGTGCGAACATCAGTGCTACTTGGAGCAGCAACGATTTCACTCTGACGATGAGAGTGCCGGGCATAGTCGAGGCTGGGACGACAGTCAGAATCTCTATGCCGCTCAGTGTTGGAGGTGTCAATCCGGACGTTGGAATCAGACTCAATGACCCTAACTTTCAGATTTCTGCGAATGCTGTTGACGGGAAGGTCTCATCTTTTGTTGTCGGCAGTGTGCAACCTGTGGGTTCATTCTTAAACACTGCAAGACTAGGCTACTTGTATGAGAGTGTCAACCAAGGCAAAGCAAACGCGGTCAACGCTTTACTCTTGTCTTTCACGCCATACATGAACATCCTCAAGAGCGAGAATGTGTTCTTGCAGCTGCCTGGCTTTTACGCTGCGGATGTAGATAACTTTCCATTGCAGTCTCACAATCTTGACACAGGACGATTGTTTGCGTCCTGGATGCAAGTAACCCAAACGCTCACCATCTCCTTTCATCAGGATGTGCCGGCAAACTTCACAGTTATCATCTTGATCCCTACGAACATGGAAATCCGTCTGCCACCTGCGGGATTGACCTTGAACCAGAAGTCGCTGATGATTGGGTCCAATGCAAGACTCGGCCCCGTCCCCTTGACTTCAATCCCCAGCTCAGCTGCTGTAGGAAGTTTTGCTTACTCAAAGATTTCCATCACGCTTGATTGCAATCAGAACTTGTTGGCCGATATCAATGTAAGTTTTGCCATGAGAAATGAGATCCGAAAGTACGAGCTGGTCACCATCAGATTGCCACATTTCTCATGGGATAAAAATTCCTCCTTTGTGCCTGTCGCGAACGGTGGACTTGGACCCATTGCAACAGTACAAATTTCACAGACAAGTGATAATGTTGACATTGTGCTTGCTTTCACGGCGAACATACAAAGCGACGTTCATTTGTTGCTTCCAAAACAAGCTGGAATTTCGATTCCGATCGGAGGAGTCGATAAGAATGATCAGAGTCTGACAATCTCATCCAATGCAGCGTCGGGACCTGTTCTTCCAACTTCATTCCAAGAAGTCACGCCAGTGGCCGCTCAGATCAATGCGATCGTAAGTTGGAAGCGAAGCTGCCCCGGAGACGATCTGATTATGAACTTGACTTTGAGTGTCGGTTATGGACTCATTGCTGGTGATGTCATCATCTTGAAGTTGGGCACGAAGTCAGACTCACCGAATGTGCTAGAAGAGCAATTCGAATCGAGAGATCTGCAGTCCATCCTCTGGGAGGGATCAACAGGAACTCTTCGACTCACCGTTGGCAAAACCATTTCCAAATCGTCTTGGATAAGTACAGGCTCTCTGCCGTTCCTCCTCAAACCCTCCGACTTGGGCAATGCCACCAACGGGACTCTCAGCCTGTCAATCGCCTCAGCAGAGGGATCAGTCTGCCCCATCGAGGGACGGGCTTGGCAGATACCAGCGGAGTGTCCTAAAGTATCAGCAGCTCAGATGGTCCCCTCGGTGTCGTTCACGTTGGATACGCCGGTAGCCGGCCTGACGTCAAACTTCTCCGTCCGGTTTCAGTTAGCTTTCAATCTTAGCGCGGGCTCGAAGATCATGCTGAACTTGAAGTCGCCGTCTCTTAGCGACCAACGGCAGCCGTACACGCCAACATGCACGAGTGAACAACTTCCGTGTGTGTTGAGCCCCATAACATTTGTAAGTTCCACCGAGTTGTACTTCATGAACAGCCTACAATTAGAACCCGAGGTCGACTATCTGATTCACTTCCAACAGTCTCCAGTTCTCATCCCTGCGGAGGGATTGTATACCAACTCGACTTCGGTTTCCATCAGGTTCGAGGGCAACGAGTTCTCGTACCAGGTGGACATCAAGCCCATCTCGCCCATCGGAAGATTCTTGTCTAGCAACCTCTCAACGAGCCCAAGAATTCCAAGCTCGAATGCAGCCATCATGCTTTCCTTCATTTATGATCGAAGCTTGCAGAAAGGGGATGCTGTTGAATTCTTACTGCCAGGTTTTGTTGGGAAGACTCAAACAATTCAGAATGGCCAATCAGCCATCGTTGACAGCTACTGGAGCGATGAGACGAAGGTGCTGTCTGCCGTGTTCAAACAAGGTTGGTCAGCAAAGGCTGTCTTCACCCTCGAAGTCCTCGCTGCCAACGGACTCATCACCCCGGCGCAGGGCTTGCCTCAGAATGATAAGAACCTTCTAGTGAGTACCAATGCGTCGGAGGGGCCAGTGAGATGGACTCCAATCCTCCATGCCGAAGCGATCTTGGCCTACAAGTGTCAGCGTGTTGCTCTTCAAGTTCCTGGCGGATACTGCCAGGGCGACTACTCGCTGCGAGTTTGTGCGACAAACACCCTGCAGGCGCAAGCGTACGCGAACATGGTGATAAGCGAACAGCTCTCGACGACAACTGCAGCTTCTTGCAATCGGACTGGTCAGTCACTTTGTGCAACCTTTCCTGGAGGTAAATTCACTGGAGTGAGCAAGGACGCTTGTTGCCAGATACTGGGCGTTGAGATGTTCTCTACATGTGAGACGGACAGTAACTGCAGAATAGACACTTCTTATGGAACTTTGCAGAACCTGCAGATCCCCAAGACTTCTTCTACCTGCTGCAACTACTGCAACGACGTATTGGCTGGAACGTCGAGCCACAGGCTGTGCGTTGCCGATCAAGCGTACGTGGCAGAGAGCTGCAGCTCCTCGCTTCCAAGAATCACTCCGTTCCAACAAAGCGCCACCTGCTCCACCTCAGCTTGCTCAGGATACTCGCTGGGCTTTGTTGAGAGCGTGATTGACCCGACGGCGGGCGGGCAGGTATTGACGGCAGACAACATCGGTATGTCTGTGCCCCCCAATGTCTGGCCTCCAGATGCTGGCCCAGCGTCCGTCACTCTGATCACTGAAACTTCCCCTGCTTCCCCGGGACAAATCGCCGCTGGTCCGGCCGTCTTCTTCGGGCCGACGGGCCTCAAGTTCCCGGAGCCCGGGGTGAACTTGTCGCTGCCGATCAACCTCCAGTCGCTTCCTGCGGGAACCTCGCTCGCTAACCTGAGAGTCTTCAAGTTGGTGAACGGAACCTGGACGTTGCATCCCTTCGGACTGGCCGGGAGCCTCGAGACTGGGGTGCTCTCAGTGAAAACTCTCAGTTTCTCTCAGTACCAGATCCAAGTGGTGCAGGCGGTAGTCGGACCGCAGACCACCGAGAGCGCGACGCAGACAACAAGTGGACAGGAGTCCAGCACAACGCCAAGTGTGCAGGTGACCAACGGTGTCGTGTTCACCACCCCCGTTCAACCAGCCGCCAAGAGCTCGTTCTTCACTGTGTTGAACATTTCGCTGCTCGTCGGCATCATCGGCGGAGTTCTCCTGGTCTTGGTCTGCTGCCTTGCAAGGCGTGTGTGGCTCAAGTCGAGATCTTTGAAGAGAGCAGGACTCCATGAGACCCTGCTGGACTCGCACAGCACCACCAGCTCCGAAGGCTCGACCCCACCAGCCAAGCCGACAGAGCAGGTGGAGAAAGAGAAGGAGCCGGCCAAGGTTTCGAAAGAAACCAAGAAGCCAGAAGTGCCTGTGGAGGTGAAGAAGCAGGACATGTCGTTCTTGAGACCAGCATTGCAAGAGATACAGTCCACGGTGCAGGTCCAGTCTTCGCTCGTGATGGGTGATGGCACAATTCCACCCTCCATCTCGGACTCTCTGGACATTGAAGAAAGGTTGAACCAGAAGTTTTCGTTGTATCCAGACATCAATGCCCGGATACAAGCAGAGGCTGACTTGGTCATCATAGACGACAGGTATTGTGAACACTTTCACCTCTTTATTCCTGACTTTCACTGCAGTCCGCCTCCTTCCCCCGTTGCCAGCGTGACCAAGAAACGCCCGACATTGAACGAAGAGACTTTGATGTCGCAAGACGACATAATGGGCGAGGCAAAGAAGCGCCCGACTCTCAACGAAGATACTTTAACTTCACAAGATCAGATCATGTGAGGAAATAGAAAAACTTTCAAGTTATGATTCAATAAAATCGGAATCAAATATCGCTGTGATCGTACATTGCAATGTATGTCAGATCCCACTCTTCACAAAGTCGAACCCCATAAACACTCGCAGGGCAACGAGCCTCCGATCGAAGTCATGACTTGTGAAGTCTCCATCTGCCTGCCCAAGGATCTCCATGAGCACATCCATGTCCTTGAAAAGTCACGATAAGTTCCAGACTCGGATCGGAACTTCACAGGATCACCGACCTGATATGCTGAGATGCGATGTAAACCTTCTTCCATGTCTGCCATGAGCACTTTGTCGGATTCTTGAGAACCCTTACGTAGCATATTAGCCGGAGCAAACAGACGGAAGCTCGCACCTCGTAGTGTGCGGCTACCATCCTGTTCAAGATGTCGTTGTAATAGTCCGAGCCTTGCCAAGCTGCAAGACGTCTCAATGACGGACATGATAACGATGACGATGATTGTAGTTTGTTCCACCTTCACGGTTGGCTCGTTGCCACAAAAGTCCGAGCACGACTTTGACATCTTCCCACTCTACGCTCTGTCCGTTGACCAAGTTTCTCAACCAATCCATTCTAGAATTCTTTCAGAAAATAGCGAAAAAGTCAATGGGGAGAAACAAGTAAGATGGCATCAACCTCGTCAAACAACTTCGTCCTGAGCTGAAAGGCCAAGTCATGCGCATCTCCTTGGGAGTAACCCCATCTTCATGCCAGATGTTACTAACGACTCCAATAATCAAGACAGAATCAGACCTCCATGTCGGACTATCCCATCTGCCCATTCTGATCTGCAAACACTTTCCTTGCACACTTCTTCTTGATGAACAGAAACCTGACAAAGTGTTCAATGGAACTATGTCACAGTACCAACCAACCCTTCAGATCATTCTCTCATCTGCTTTCATCTGCATCCTTCCATTCTCTTCTTCTCTTCTTCTCACTCTTCCGCTTCTCATCTCACCCAATCTTCCCGGCATGACGAAACCTGCGGCCAAGTGCACGAGACAAGCCATGAGCCCCACCAGTCGAACCATGGTTCGCATCTCCTGGGTCGCACTGCAAGCCGAGTCTGCCTCAGTATCAAGTAGTGTAAAGTGATGCAGAGCCGTTTTATTGAAACAATACTAGCATGATGAAAAAATCAAGAGCACCGCAAACAAGATCAACAAGAAAGTGAGAGTTTGCTTGGAATCCTCTGTTAATGTCCTCTTGAATAACGAGTCTGCACCTTCGAAAAGATTCGATCATGGCATTGCCTTACACTTTCAGAGTACAAGCCAGCCCTGAGATCTGATTCCAAGATCATCCTTCTGCCCTGTGCGGTACAATGACTCCAAGCCGCGCTTGTGATTTCTTTGATGAAGAGTTCACAGGTGTGAGCCAGGACAATGGGAGACTCTCCTGCAACCATCTGGCAAAAAGGTAGTGAAATCAGATTGGGAGGTTTCACACGGTACCAGTGTTGTACCTGCACTTGTGGGGAGCATTTCATTATCTTCTTGATTCTTGCCAATGGAAGCTTTGAAAAATTTGAATAACTGTCATCGGCGCTGATCTGTTGAGCCCAGCTCTTCGGCGTCATATCTGCGCTGTCTTGAATCTGCGCATGTTCGCATGGCAGCGGCATGGATTCTCGCGAGACCTCTTCAAAGGCGCAGACTTTTGCAGATGAGTTGCCATTTGCTTCTGCTTCACTGAATGAATCGCCGAAGTCCTCAGGAACGTGTGAATGGTTATCATCGATTGTCGGCATTGTGCCATCCTCCGTTTCGTTTTCGGCAAGGTATGGAATGATGTCGAGGCCTTCTTGGAACATCCCTTCTTCTACATCAGATCCGAAGGAGGTCGAAAGCTGTTCGCCGGACAACGAAGCAGGAGAGGATGGCATGGATAAATTGCCACTCTCCAAGAAGCAGATGGAATCATCATAGTCGTCAACCTGCTATGAAACCATCAATCTCGATTTGTAGAATGTACATTCATCGTCAACCGACCTGCACGAAAGGAGACAACATGAAGGAAGAAAGAGAAAGGTATCGATGTAGCCGAAGGGTGCAGCAAGGTTGTAGGGAGCGTAGGGCAAGGGCGGCGTCCGACCAGCCTCTCCGTCCCTCTTGAGGGAATGTGGCGGCACAAGGCGGTCAGACGGCCCTCCCCCCGGGCTCCAGCGGCTAAAAGTTTCTCTGAATTTCTTTGACCAAATTTCAAATTTCAAGTATGCAATCAATATATTTTGAACTGGTAGAGCAAGGGCAGTCAATCGCTGAGATCGGATTCGGCGGGGGAAAGTCAAATGGAACCACACGAGGCGCTTCTCTGTCACTATCAGCCTAGCAGGGTGGGGTGGGAGCCGGGAAGAAGGACGGGTATTACCCTGAACAGTTCAGTTCTCCGGTATCTGTTTGACGGACTCTCACTTTACAAGGCCCTAGTAAAGTAATAATGATAGTGATGTAGCCTGACTTACCCGGACCGGCCCGTGACCGGCGGTGCGGCGCCGAGGCTGAGTGAAGACAGTTTACTCAAAGTGAGGCCGCAGTACGGCAGGCGCCGTGAGCGGCGACGGCAGGCTCCGAGGCTCTGTGAGCCACACGGCCCCGGCTGATCCCCCGGCCCGGCGAGCCTGTCAGGCTGTTAATACAGTGCCAGTGCGACCGCGGCGCCGGGCCCGGGACTCCGGGCCGATCATCGGGGCACAGCCTAGACACTACCGTTACATCATCGGTTATTGGCTGATCTAGCAAACTCCCCGAGCGCTATGGCTTGAGCATGAATTCGAGGGGCGAGCATCGTGCCTTGCTCTCCCTCATCCTCCTTGCTTCCTCGCTCTCCTTGAGTATCGGAACAGTGACCGTTCCTCCAAATGAAAATGCACAAAGCATTAAGGTGGAACAGGTTGTTTCTATCCAAACCGTCGATGACCAAAATCTGTTGCTGCTCAACCTCAATGATTTTGTAAACCCTATTTACGAAGGTTCTCTTTCTAACAACAAAGGAATTTCAATCCAGCGCAATACTCTTGGATCTCTATTCTATGTTACAAATTTGCCTCATATTGGCGAACTTTTGCAAGCATACCGACTGTCGCCGTGCTCCTACGTTTGGCCTTCGAGCTGTCAGGCTTGCTGTAATGATGCTGTCATCGCACAAGGAAAGAGGACTGATGATTTGTTGTACAGGCTATACTGCCTCAGGAGTCCCGCTCTCTGCACCATGTTGCTCAAAGGTGGACTCATCTGGAACGAAGGTCTTCAATGTGGGTGAGGCAATAACTGATACGCCTTCGACGGTATGATTTTCGAAGATTGAGTACCTTATTGATATGATTCCAGGTCACTGCTCATGACTCTGGAATTCTCTGGTTTCGACCACCAATATCTTTGTTTACCAATCAGAGCCAGCCAGTTTCTGGGTATAACACGTCTGTCAGTTTCGCTGTAGACTTTTGGATCCTACGATCACCACCCTCATCCGTGCCAAATGGGACAGAGTCTAGTTGTAGCCTTGATCGATCGAAATGCAAAGGATCTGGTGATATCCACAGCAAGTTTTGTGGAACATGTACCAACTCCACATTTCATTTCAACATCAGTATACAGATTCAATTTGGGAAAAAGTATCCTCAAGTTGGATTTGGTGGACAAATGCTCTCTTTTGACGGTAGCTAATCCTCGGAACGAGAGCCATGTTTTCTGATTGGATTGCAGGTGGAGATGATTTTATGATTTTTTCCAATGACAACTTCCCTCAATACGAATTCAGTATACAGTTATGGATACAACATGATAAGATTCATTCTGGTCAAACCTTGCTGACAATTTGGAGTGATGCAAGAGGAAGGGAGTTTGAGATAGCCGATACATCAAACCTTCATTTTTATCATTTGAACAATCGTTCCTTGAACAGCGGGGTAGATGATCTAGTATTCATTTTGTGCCAGGGGTCTTGACTGATTTTCAAGGTGGGGATAAACGACGGATTGTGGCATCATCTCGCGTTTAGCTGGAGGCTCGTCTGTTCTGTATGAGCTCGTATCGATTATGCGCGCTCTGATGTTGAAAAAGGATCCTCTTCAAGGGTCGACGTATTGCTTTCAGAGTGAAAGCTGTCAAATCGAGCGAGATTGCATACATGTTGAAATCGCCATATTTGTCGATGGTAGTTACAGGACATCGGTGAATTTGATCACGAATGTTATTGTTTCCTGAATCTTTTACACGTAATGTACAGTCTTACCTGCCAGCAGTTACATTGTCACCTCAAGTATACTTCATGTAACAAGAGAAGAATACGACTGACACTTTTCGATAGAACGAGGTTGTCATTGGCCAAAAGATGACAAAGAAATATCAAACTGCAGAATCAACACTCAGGGAGAGGTTTTTGTTTTATTGATTGTTGGTTATTCCCAGATGATTTTTTTTCAGATTCTATCAACTTGTGACCAGCAAAAAATCTACTTCTGAAATCAACACTCCATACACCGACAATGAACTGCTTTTGATGTTCAATCGATTACGTAAACATGAGAGAAATAATTTGGAGTGATTCTCCCTAATCTCGCAACAGGTTCCAACTACTTGAACAATGCACAATTATTTGAGGGATCTGTTCCACAAGACAACAGGTGTATTCAATTGAGGGATACAATTTGAAAAACATCTCGTTAACTTTGTGATCGCTCAGATGGAGCGAATTTGTGGAAGATGAGCCCTGGAGAAACCTGTTTTACAAATATTGCGAATTGATGGCTCCTGGAGGATACAGTCCTTGGGCAGCCCTGAGCGCAAACATCGATGAATTTCGGCTCTATGGATATTTCAGAACACAATGGGATATTCAAATTGCCTATGACGTCGCATTGAATGGAGATGCTTTTTACACATTCAATCCAATAGAAGCAAATTACAGCCTGCTGATCTACTATAGTTTCGACTTTTATGGAAAAGATTACCTCTCGACATCAAGAGATAACTTTCGCGAATGGCCCCTTCAAGTTCGAGATGAATCGGTCAACAGGTATCTTTCCTGTCTCTTCTGCACTCATTGAGTTTTGTTGCCAGTGCAAATTCACCTGGAAGTCTGGGAGGAGGTGAATTTCTTTGGGCGCCCATGCAAGTTGCTTCGACAGCACCCATCTACGGTTCACGAACAATTCAAATTGTTCTACCAGATTCGACCCAACCGATTCCTTTGAATCTCATTAGTATTGCGTTTGAAAAAGGATTGGACCAATCAGCAATCTTTTCTCGTGTGGAGACGAACCCTTCTTTTGGTGAAATCTACCTTGGAGCTGATGACTGCGACAATGTGGAGGTAGTGTGTGGTCCTGGCTACACTTCCTGCCCCGATCTTCCTTCAACAAGCAACAATCAACAAGTAATCTACAGACCCAAGGGATGCAAGGGAAGCATCATTGGAGTAGAGGTGATTAGTCCACAAATGAAGGGTTGCAAACCGGGAGTATTGATCACCGCGTCAGATGGAGGTATTTGTGTGAACTCCGCACTGAGCATGGAGCTGAATTCTATGATCTTGTTCAGGTTCAGGTCGAAACGTGTTGGGAAACATAACACAAGTAAGCACCGATGGAGGTGTGAGTCGAGTCGACATGATCAACATGGGAGAGGGGTATGATTGGACTTACGCACATCCTTCCATATTGAAATTGGATGATCCGTCATGTATCTGCAATGGAGTAAGTATACCTTGTAATTCAGTCTGCTTTCTATGCTAAACGATTTTACTTTTGCAGTCTCAAGGAGTCAACAGCATTAATAATTGTCTAGAACCATTGATCTCAGCTGGAAAGGGAAGGAATGACGGAGTGGATTTTGTGGGTTTTGAGTATGGAATTTTCATTGGTTCGATTCAGACCTTGCATGCATTTCCTGTCATGTACAAAGTTTCTTGTACCCCTGGAGATTGTGTATCAATTAAGCCGCGTCCTTGTTTGTGGTCCTGTCATAGATCGGTGGGATGGATGACTGACGTCAAAGCTGTTGCAACACAATTCTCGAAACGAATGGTTGGGTCGTTTTCCGAATATCCGTCAGGCGACACACGTCCAACTGCCTACTGGTCGAACTCACAGCATGTGTTATGGTACGTGCCGACCCATCTAGGTGAAGCAAACTATTACATCAAAGATAGCACAGGCTTTCAGCTACTTCAAGGTACCCCTTAGCTCTATTGCTGCAGTATGACCCATATGACTGACTGCCGCTTCTTCAGATACCATCAAGGATGAATTCATCATCAGAAAATTTGATTACCTTCCTGGAAGTGAATTTATCGTCAATACAAATAGTCCTCCTCCTTTTGTGCACGTCTGGTTTCAAATCATTCTTGAAAAATTGGCCATTCCTCTGAATTCTTCTATCACCTGGCAAGAAAGCAGTTCAATGTTGATTCATCTGCAAGTTCTCGATTATCACAGGGGCACAAGTGTGCTAAATGCCCCATTCTCAGTCTTTGTGAATACACCAGTTCGTGGACAATTGTATCAAGCAGAAAGAATCTCAAAGTCTCATCCTGATTTTCCTGGAAAGTGCGTTTGTCCCCTTGCACCTCGGTTTCCGACTTTGACGAGGCAGCCTGAAAGCTTGTATTATCCCGCAAACACAACACTTCCTGGATCCTATGAATGCGATCTTGAATCTATTGGTGAATTTTGCTTCATGAAAGGAGATTTGATCGCGAACAATGACACAGAAGTTACCAGTTTTATTGAAACAAGAGTGATTCCGGGTTTTCAACATGCAAGGGATGGTTTCTTTGTGATATATGAGATGGAGAAATTTGAAAGCGGATCTTCACAATTCAAATGGTATATCAAACATCCTCAAGGGCAAGAAACGGAAGCTTTTGTTGATATACATGTCAGATCTGTGAACAATCGTCCTGTTGCATTGAATTCCTCGGTAGAAGTGCAAGAGGACACAATAAGTGAAATATATCTCAAGAGCAGAGATCTTGATGATCAGAACAGACCTCAGACGTTTGTGATAAAACCGCCAATTCATGGTACATTGTATCAATGTGTTTCAGCTTCGAATTCTTCATCATGTGCTGTGGGAAATCGTTTGAGTTCCGTCAACGAATCAATTTTTCAGTGGGCGAACATCTCTGTTGTCGACACAGGAGCGATAGATGACCAAGATTACCCCGTTGTCCAGGTTGTGAATCGAGCTGGAGAAGATTTACGAATGATGATCAATCGAAAGGATTCTAGCATAATTCTGAATTCTGGTTACGGGTACAACTCATGGAGTTTCAACTCCAGCGATAATGGAAATTTCAAAGCACTTTGTGGAAGGAGGGGCACTGTGGCGGCTGACGTCACCATTGAGAAGAGTGTCTATCTGACCGGCATGGAGATCTTTTACCCCATTCGATTTGACACTCCGTTCCGCATACTGGCAGAGCGACCAGCAGTCTTCAACGATGATTCTCATGACTATAACGAGGAAACTGCAACCCGAACTTTGCAGGACATCCCACTTACAAGTCGGAAAGTTGATCTCACAAATCTATCTGGTTATGACTCTGGTAGCCTCCATTTTGACAATGAAGGTTACCTGGTTTCCTCTGAAGAATATACTCTGAATCGTGTTTCTTGTGCAAACAACGATCACAGTCAATTGAGCGTGTGCTCACAGGTATGGAACAGTACAGCCGGCAAAGGTCGATACATTGTTGGAAGACAGCATCACAACTTCTTAAGTCACTTTGACACTTGGTTCGAGAACTATGGTGGGAAGGATATTCTCAACGAAATACATGGACGAAGATACCCAGAAAACATATGGTTCGAGCTTTTCAGAGGACTGCCCAATCAGGTGCAACGTAATAACAACCTCTTGAGTCTTGACTTCGAGAAAACAATATTTCAGTCTTCGCACTTGCGACTTGAAGCCTGCAGCCAAGATGGTAGAACATTTAATGGGCAAAATTTGAACTTTCTACAATTTGTCAAAAAGATCCGCGTGATGGGCACCTACTCTAAGGCGCCGAGGGGAATGATTCAAAATCAAGAACGCAGAGTCGTGTACATACCATTTCACAACTTTGCTGGAGAGGACATGTTTACTTTTGCTGTTCGAGATCATGGAGGAAACGCTGCAACCTCTTCATCAAGATTCTCACAGCAGATCCACTGGTCGCCAGAGGCCTACGTGCGTATCACAGTCAAGCCAACAATTGACTTTCCGACAAGCTCTAATGTACTCATCAATCAGAAATATACTGACAACAGTACGTTTGTTAGGTTTCCTTTACAGGGAGTGCAGCCAAGCCCTGATGGAGCTTACCTTATAGACCATTTCGCTCTCGACGTGACATCGTTCCCCTCTCACGGTTCCATCCGAAGCCAATCAGGAAATACCTTAACAAGCACACTAAGTCAGTTCAGTGGTTTCTTGCTGTACCAACCCAATCCCACAACTTGTGGGCTGCCATATTCACGTCTTCAATATCGGCTTATCAATGCCACTGAAGGTCAAAATTTGCCTTCTCTTGTGAATTATGGAGGCAATGCTCGATTTGATGTTAGGTGTGGGTCAGGAAGCTTCTGTCAGCATGCAGTTTCAGGTCAGGTTGGATGGTTTGGAACATGTCAACCCTGCCCTAGAGGATACTATGGAATGACATCTGCCATCAGTAATCAATGTCAGAAATGTCCTGCTGGTCAATATCAAGATGAGCTTGGTTCATCCACATGCATTTTGTGTCCGCCAGGATTTTTCAGTGGCTTTCCTGGTTCTCCTCAATGCTCGGCGTGTCCTGCCGGCACTTACAGCGAAGCGTCAGGACAGACAAAGTGCACCCCATGCATTGGCGGAACGTTCGCCTCGTCGTCAGGATCTTCGAGCTGCAGCAAGTGCGGGTCAACACACTTCACCTACACCGGGGGATCAACATCATGTACTCCATGCCCCAACAATACGAGGACGATCAGTGACAGGGCAGATGGAATCAACAAGTGTGTCTGTGCTTTCGGAACCTACGACGTGCTTGGTCGGGCCGGGCATCCTTGTTTCCCTTGTCCTCATGGCGCGTATTGTCATGGGGGGACCCTGCTGCCCGTTGCAAGGACTGGTTATTGGACGTCACAAGCGTACTGGACCCAAGATAGGTATGATCCAGCTGTGAGTGCGGTCTATCCCGGACGAGCAGTGTTTGCTCCTTGTTCATTCAACTACATCCGCGGAGTATGTATAGGATACCCCGATGTGAACGTGCAGGAACGAGAGGCTATCTGTCTCTACCGGAATGACATCCTTGTGTACGGACCAGAACGCTTAGACATCTACACATCCGCTGGGATAAATGTCAACCAGACGAACTGTACACTTCAATATGGCATTAATAACCATTCGGTTCAAATCGACAACATTTCCTACTCAATCAATGCTCACTGTTCAATGGGTTATACAGGAGTCCTTTGCAGCACTTGTGCACCAGAGTTTTATCGATTCATCGATGGACTGTGCTATCTGTGTCCATTCAATGACAACTTCTTTGTAATGCAGGCTCTTTATTTTGCATATGCAATCGTCGTGTCAACCATGTTGTGGGCTTTCGTCTTCTGGATGATTCCATCTCGAGCACGATCCATGTATATGATAATAACTCACGTTCAGCTTCTGGCTGTCTTTGGTAAATATTCCATTCCACTAGAACGAAATGCGCAGAGGTTGTTGAGCATGCTCTCCATTTTCAATCTCAATTTCAATGGAATCCCTTGGAATTGTTTGAATTTGATGCCTTCGTCGTACTTTTGGAGCTGGTCCTTTCAACTAGCAGTACCACATGCCTTGCTTCTGATTTTCAGTGGCTCACGTTACATTCAGATTTACAATCGAAAGAAGGTTTTAGACGAGTATGAAATCAAGGTAACTCAACAAAAGCTGCTTGTGGGTGACATAAACAACAAGTCAAGTGTGAAACAATCGAAAAAGTCTGGGAGGTCGAACAAGATCAAGCCTCTCTTCTCTGCGCTTGAGGAGGATGCTACAGGAGAGGAAAACACCAACCTTGACACCCTCTTCGATGTGCAGGAAGAGGTAGCAGAAGAGTCGTCAGAGGAGCTTAGGTCGAGTAAGGACCGTGATTCGTTGAAGATCTACACCAGGCAGGAAATAGAGGAACAAGTTCAGGAAGTGATTCACTACAGCATTGTGTATAGTCATTTTTTAACCGTTACGGTGGCTTCGCTCCTTTTAGAACCATTTGCTTGCACTTCAGTATCAGAGAATTTTCAGTATTTGGGCTCATATCCAGATTTTTCTTGCTTCAGTGCATCTCACAGCATGATGAAGTTTCTGTCGTACACATTAGGCTTTATATGGTTCATTTTATTTCCAGGCTTGACTTTGTACATTCTCATTCAAGGCTGGAATTTTCAGAATCTTGGTGAAAATCGATATTTGCGCCAGTTTGGCTGGTTAACTAGTCAGTACGAAATGAGATATTATTGGTGGGAATCAGTTCATACAGTTCGAAAGATTCTAGTCGTGGTTTTGGCTCATATCTTCAAAAATAACGGATACGTGCAGCTAATGATTTTAATGTCGTTCCTCTGTCTCAACGTTTTCTCGTCACTCTACTTTAGACCTTACAAACGTCACGATACAACGTTCTTGAACTTGTTCTGTTAGCTCACTTCCTGCTCTGTGTTGCATTTTCGTACATTTACCTCGTCGGATCAGATGGAATGGAGATCTTCACAACAGTATTTGGCAGCAGCAATGAAATACAAAGAAAAGTGATACCACAGCCTCAACCTGGAATGTCAAATATTGCAAATAAGATTGTAAACACGGATGCTTTGTATCAGCTCTCGTTTCATGTAACCTTTTTGGTGTCGTTTGTCTTTGCCGGTTTCATTTTTCTCCATGACCTTCATGAAGTGAAGATGCAATCGCCAAAATGGGTTCTAATGTTTTTCAATGCCATCACCGGTTTGTCATTTTTGAAATATGAGGAATATACATCTTATTTTGGCTTGATCTGGAATTCTTTGCTCTTTAGACTACGTAGGCAGCGCAGGCCGCCACCTACAATTTCTGAACTCAGATGGGTGGAACGTGTGATTTCGAACGCTCATGTTACTCCCAGGCTGTATTATCATGATTGCAAGACATTTGATGAGATGCTAACAAATGTCCATGAGAGCTATCAGGAGGAAGATTGGGCTAAAGACGAATCCACTTGTTTGAGTTACATTCATGCTTTGGACCAGTACGTGTTTTCATATGAAACATTGTATTCCAAATCTTTAGAGCTCTATGCTCTTGAGAGAGAGCGAAATAAGGCCAAAATGTACATCTTGTCAAGTATAAATGCCAGACTTCAAGCTCTAGAACGAAATGTGAATGTGACAATAGGAGAGAATGAGAAGAAGTTGAATCAAATATTTGATTTGGAGAGGTCTAGGCAAAATTGTGTTGCTTTGCAAGAGGGCATCCGACATCGGGGGCAGCTGACAGCAGAGCAATCAGCTGAGCAGAAAAGAAGGTTTGTTGACGTTGAGGAATGGAAGAGGATGTATGACAACGAGAGGAAGAAATCTGAGGTGAGTGCTTTATCCCTATACAAACGTGACTGAATGTTTGCCTTGCAGATTTTGCGACAAAAAGTGGAGAAGGCTAGGAAAGAACTTCTGCTGTATCATATAGAACATTCATCGTCATCTGACAGCGAAGAGAATGATGAATATCTTCGTCGTCAAGTGGAAGAGTATATTGAAAGCATGACTGCACAAGACTTCGTCGAAGAAGGAAAGATCGAACCACTTCCCAAGTTTTATGAATGATGATTTTTGTAAATAGACAACACATTGCACTCAATAGTTTTGAATCCGTCTCCGCGGGTTCGCTGCTTCGCTGCTGTTTCCCTTCGGACTTCCTCGTGCTCTTGGCTTCATGTTTGGACTTTGAACAGGAGAAGGGAGAGCGACTCCGTAGAACTTGCCGTGCGTTTGCAGCACAATGTTGATAGCGCGAGTCAACCCTGTTGATTCATCTCCCCCCCAGTCCAAGGACGTCTTATCCCTGATCACCTCACTGAGCCAGCCCCACGAGACTTCATTGAAGCCGTTCTCCAGCACCTGCACCAACTCAGATAGCCGGCGGTCACTCGCATGTCTTACTATGCAGAGAATTTCCTTGCCAAGTTCAAACGCCAGCGCTCCTTCAAATCTACAAGTGGGACACTCCTTGTACTCCCTAGTGATGCAACAGATGACCAAGGAGGAGGAAGCGATGGCTTCAGCAGTCTCATTCTCACTGCTTGAGCTCTTCGACCAGAGAACAAACCCATGACCTGCGAGCCATCAACACAGCAGACACAAAGATGTTTGCGGCACAGCCAATACCATCTAACTTTTCTTTCAGTGCCCTAACTTTTTCAGGCTGATTTTCAGGAAAATAACTGAGATACACATGCTTTCCTTTTTCTGGATCATTGTGTTGTCGAGCCATATTGACGATCTTTGCATTCTAGGAAATCAAACAATAAAAACATTTGAAATATCTTGTTCTGATGGATTACCTCGCTTTGCTTGGTAAGTATCCATATCATTCTCTTTGCTTTTCTTGAAAATCCCCACCTATCATCGACATGCGATCTGTAGTTTTTCAAAGTTTCCAGGACGCCACAAGTTAACATTCGTCGCCTTCCCAAATTGTCACGAGCGAATGAGAGAAGAAGCATTGACAGCAGCGGCTCACCGACACTCCGCAGAGAACACCAAGTGCTCGAAGCAAGACATCGCCAGTGATTCCTCGACCTTGCTCAAGCCGACATTCAGACATCGGCATAGGAGATCGATCTGCATGATTTGAGATGAGTGAAGGGGTATTAAGAGGAGGTGCTGCTTTCAAAACTCCCAAAAGACTTACCAGACCAAGCTCAGCAAGAAGGTCCTTGTTCTTGTCACATTTTGTGAGATTTGTCAGCGGCAGCAAAGCTGTGTATGCCGTCCATGCCACCCCGGCCCAAATCTATTCAGACAGACAGATTACAACTTGTCAATAAATTTAAGTTTTCAGCACTTTGCCGTCTAAGCCATGTCTCAAGCATTTGATGATTGTCTTTAAACAATCAGCATCTGCTGCAAGAAAAGAATCTTCGAGGCTCCCTGAAAGATTCGCCACAGCCATGAGCTGTGAAAACAAAGTGAGTTGAAACTTGGTGGTCGTAGAGCGCTAATACAGTATCAGCTCGCATGGCTTTGTACTCATCCCCATCTCCAAACAGTCGTTTCTTTTGTAGCAAGGTAGGAATCAGAGCTTCTTCCACCACTCGAACGGCAATTAGCGTCTGAGACAAGTGAGATCGATTCACGACTGCTGACGGGCATACCTTCCTGGCCTGGGGGTAGGTGCTCAGACAATGAATGGCTCCGATCGCTTTTGCTTTCGTTCTCTGTGCTCTGCCTCCGGAACCGCAGAGGTTCTGAGAGACAGGGTGAGGAGTCGCTCTCGACGCCAGCATCAAATGACCTTGAGAGCCTCGATCGTCTCCATGCGTGATGAGATGTACTCAGCCGCGTTTGAGCTATACGCTGCGCAGTTGTTGATGACCCGTGCTGCCTCGTGCTTGCTGTTCACATTTCCGTTGCGCAGAACGTCTCTGTGTAGCCGTCATCGTCAGAGAGCGAAGCAGCGAAGCAGGCTTTACGTTAGCCCTTCCAGCATGCCATCTGTAGTGACGATAGTCCAGCAGTTGTCGGTCATCAGAGCGTCGGCAGCTCCACTGGCCTCCATCACCGACGGCGGGAGGGCCTGTGGAGACGTTCAGGACTGAAGCGCAATCCAACGATGAGCCTGTGTGATACCTGTCCCAGACATCCAGGGTTCTGAAACGCTATGTTCCCAAGGGCTCTACTTGCCTCGTACCTTGAGATCCATATGAGGAACACTCAACCAGGCCAATACACGAACCTGCATCGTTCTGATCTAGACAAGAGCAGATGAGCCAGTGCTTGAAGCATGTCAGGACTTCTACAAATTTGTGTCTGGTTCTGACGCCATGTTGGACAAGTTCTGACACAACGACCGATCATTCTACATTGAAAGAAGAGGTTGAATCTTCATACTCTCGAACTATATCGAAGACATTTTTTGCAGCTGCAGCAGCCTTGGAGGGATCTGCGCTGCGCATCTTGACAACAAGCTCTGAAATGAGAAGACTCTGAATGATGCTTTGAAATTGCAAAATCATCAGCTGTCTCGCCATCTTTTCTATTTAGTACCTTCCATCGGGCAGCATACTATCGAAGCTATTTGTCAAACCTGCCATCCTGTTACTCCTTCGCCTAGACAAGCTTGCACGGACTGTCAATGCTATTCGTGGGGGATGATCTTCCATCCGAACGAAGCGAAGATCCTCTCTCAGATCCTGAGTCTGTTGTCTGCAACAGGCAAAATGAGCACATGCATGGAACGCCGGGAAATTTTATACTTGCAGCGTGAAGAAAACTGGTAAGCGAGTTTCAGCTTTGAATTTTCCAACTAAACGTCCGCTTGCTCTGTATTCATTGCTTGACCCAGCTTTAGAAGAGACGCTGTCAACGGTGCGCTGGTCAGTCGGACTGGACTTGCATTGGATCTACTGTTGCATACCTGACCTCCTCCACTTCTTCAACCTCCTCATCTATCTGTAACCCATCAATAGTGATGTCTGCTGTTCCATCCACAGCGAAGGGCTCAGGTGCCATGCACCCTGACGGCGTGAACTCCGGGGCCTCCGCATCCAACACCGTGAACCTGCGCCGAGGAACAGCAATCAGAATGTCCACATGAGTCAAGGCCTCTACTCACCTGCTCCTGGACTGAGACTCGTCTGCTGGGTTCTTCATGCTCTGTCTTTGCATGTGCGAGTGGTTCCCTCTCAGAGCGCTCTAAGAGCCGGCGGAGGGTTCCCCCTCTACCATGGCGGCCAGTCGGCACACTTTTAGTTAATATGAGGGGATAGCGGACCAGAGTGCGGACCTACAGCACTGAAAGCGATCACAAGGGTAGGAATCAATCGCTGTCTTTCCATTTGAACTTAATAAGGTTCTGAGGTGGATCCGATAATTGAAGGTCTAACAAAAAAAGTGGAGGATGGGCACCATATGACTATTGGCGCTAATGAGGCAGGCAGGCAGGCAGGCAGGCAGGCAGGCAGGCAGGCAGGCAGGCAGGCAGGCAGGCAGGCAGGCAGGCAGGCAGGCAGGCAGGCAGGCAGGCAGGCAGGCAGGCAGGCAGGCAGGCAGGCAGGCAGGCAGGCAGGCAGGCAGGCAGGCAGGCAGGCAGGCAGGCAGGCAGGCAGGCAGGCAGGCAGGCAGGCAGGCAGGCAGGCAGGCAGGCAAGCTCTGTCGCAGTAGATGCAGCATAGACAGATGATGTAAGGACTCAATGTAATTCTCCACATCATAACCATTGAGGTACATTGACCTCTCTCCTGTAAAGCCTGTTGAATTACGACTATTTTCAAAGATCTGTTTCCATTCTTTGTCATGTTTTTTCTAAGTGACTTTTGACAGATTGGTTGAAAATCCCTGCTTCTCCAAGTTAGCTTGAGCTCTCATGACTGATCCAGTGATGGATTGCGAGGCTGGATCGACACACAGTCGGACGATTACTGCCTGGAAAGAATTCGAGCTCCCTGCAGACAACAAAATTGACCGATTGGATGTGGAGAGCAAAACTCTCCTGTTGGATTCCATCAGTAAAAGGATGTTTTTGAATCGAAATAGGGATTGTGCAGATTCCAGGAATGCAGAAGTTCGCGAAAGAGAAGCTTCATTGCAATACAATTCGAATCAGTGTCTCTTGCAGCAAGCCCAAACAGAGTTACAAGAAGAGGTTGATGACATCTGTTCAAGTTCCTTCTTATGTATTTCTGCAACTCAGTTTGTGAAAGCAACAAAGATTTTCAAAGAAAGTTATCATAACGAAATCTCCAAGTAAGCGATGCGTGTTTGCTTGGCTTTCAGTGATTTCTCACAGGGGCTGCTCAATGATACATGAACGAGAAGAATTGGATAAAGATCCCAATCGAGGGCTCGTAGGACTAGATGTTCCTATCAGAGTAGGTCTCCGGGTCAAGCCGGCACATTCCGGTGGTTTCTTTCAATATTTGAGTGAATCTGATGGCAACTTAGGGTCTGTAATGGCACAGAATTTGCAGGGCTTCATCACTCGAATGAACGATGACAAGAACGCGTGAGCCATATGATCTATGGAGACTGCACATGACTTCCGATAACGATCCAACAGTTGCTGGGTAAAGTGGGACAACCAGCCGGAGGAGTGCGGGTGGTACAGGTGTGGCATTTACAGGTCATCGAATTGCACCGAAATTGCGAAGTTTGCTGACCTTCAAGCAATGTGTGCAGCCGATATGCGCTTCAGTCTATCTCTGAGAAGGATCAAATTCGTTCACATGTAAATCTGTGCTTTGCGGATAGGCTATACTGATCTCTAAGATAGCCAGGGGACTACATTCGCACTGGCGGAAACAGCGATGAAGATATCAGGAATAGGTAGTCATGACAAACACGAAACCGTATCCCGTTGACTCTTTCTCAAAAATGCAGAATATCACAGCATCAATCAGAAGAACCAATCTCAGGAGCCGATCTGCTTTTCGGAATTTGGGAATGGATGGGTATTTGAGACTTTACAGTATTTGAGACATCACGATTAGAATTTGTATTTTACCCTTGGATCTTTCTGAATGGCAGCATACACCTGATACCTGTATAAATCGATCAGGAACAAGCAAGCCATTAAAGCAATACATACAATTGATCTGCACTTTCCACTGGTACTCTAATTGTGATGGATCGCCACTTGCCCTTGTCTCGGTACGAATGCGCTAGATCGCTTCTTTTGACTCCTAAACACTTCAGTCATTTTTTAACCAAAATTGATGTGGCGGAAGTACCAACAACATTGCCCACAGAGTCAAGGATGTCTTCAACAAACTCTCCCTGTAACGAGAAATGAGATTCCTGTCATTGGATTACAGTATAAAACAGACCTGCCGATATCCAACAACTTTAATTTGAAAATGGCACGGAAATTCGACCAACTGTCGTTAAATTTCACGTGTGGTCAATCATAGCAAATTAAACCTGCTCAAAGCCTGGAGATGGTTTGTTGCCACTCTCTTCTTCGTCAGACTTCTTCACGGCAAAGTTAACGTTGGAGTCCACAACGGGAGACTCCTTGTCCCTATTCAAGCGCAGATTTCCTGCTGCTCCTATACTTTCAAAGTCAACGATTGTCTTGTTCTCTGGTCTGTCTTGGTCTGAAGACTTGGAAAGGTCTAACTTTACTTGTCCACATCTAAATTTTGCGGTCTGATATTGCAAGTGTGGTCTTGGCTGGTTTCTGTAGAACGTATGTGCGAGGCAACCTGCCGTCTTGAACACACGAAATCCACGAACAGAGCCGATTCCAAGCATTGTGATCACCAACAGAGCTCGTACAGCTGTCGATTGTGCTCTCATGGGCTCCTCTGCTACGATCACTCTCCCTTACTTTCACCACGACAGGAGGCCGTCTCGCATGTGCTCCTTTCCCCTCATACCACCCGGTCCTTTCTGGGCTACAATCTTCTAGAGACTACCCCTGTCCGGCCATGACTCAGTGGCTGCCACTGGGCTTGCCTCGGATGCCGGCCGGGCCGGCCGGCGGCCGGCCTCGGCCCTCGGTGCACTCACAGTTCTAGGCCGCCTAGCAACTGTGCTCGGAGTATGGCATACTCATTGCTTAGTGCACCGCTGAGAGGACATTTTAACTTTTAGTACTAACTGAGAACTGACATGTTCCTCGACTCTCCTGGTTGACGGTCACGTAATGATTTAACTTAGTAAACTTGCGGCTAAGTGACAGACCGCATGACTTGAATTATGACGGAATACAAGTTTGTTAGACTTGTACTAGTCCAAAGTCACGCAGATATCACATCGACCTTAGTTGTAACAAGACAGTTTTTGCTCAAGACCGAGTTTAATGTACACAAAACCAGAATTGAGGAGCACATGAGAGATAGACTGTATGCTAGGATGTGAAACCCCAGCATCCAGACATGAGAGGACCTTAGCAAGACGGCTAGGAAAGCCCCCTCTTCGTCCACACACGCTACATTGGCCGCCTCGCAAACACGTAAGTCGTCTTGGTTTACAGGAGAGTTTTTGTTAACTCGGCGCTATCTGACTGGCACGGCTGGCATACGTTCCATCCTCCCCCCGACTTCCTGGAATCGTACATCGGACGTCAGAAAGTCACGCAAACAAGAATGTCAGCAGATCCAAGTCAAGATACGATGATACAACGTCAAGTTCACAGTCATGCTGAGTGGGCAATAACCATTCAAGGATTGTCCATTCTGAAGAAGATTTTCATGCAGGGCTATTAGATGTGCAGTGCAGAGATAAGGGAGATGCCTGGCGAGCTGATGCAAGGACGAGAGAAGGAGGATAAGATAAGAGAGTCTGAGGAGAGAACTTCGGAGTTCAGATAAGAGAGAGAGAGAGAGAGAGAGCGTGCCCGCCGGCATTTGAAGACCAAAAGATAAATTTTTGAACCGTAAAGAACTTGTGACCAGAGATTGCTGCCGCGAGATTGGAACATCCGTTTCAAGGCATTTGAAGATTGTTGTGCAGTTGTACCTTGTTCGCCGATCCAGAAGTAGCTCCAGTTATGCATGCCACAGCCTAGCTCCATGACATGAAACTTCCGCCAGATCTCCTGGTAGTTCCATTTGATCCTACTCAAAGATCAAGAAAAATAAGAATCGAATCAGCTTCAAGTGCGTTTCCACACGGTTAAGCAGATATTCGACCGACCAATCTGGCTGGGGAAAGGCTTGTTTTTCCTATTCGAAGATCAATCAAACAAATTGAGGCTGAGATGAGAGGCCTAAACAACTTGCGGCTAGAAAGAGAGCCTGATTGAAGGGAGGAGTCATCCGAATGTGTAAAGCTTGATAGAATTGCATGAATTTTCAACAGCAACGGGAAAACAATACCAAGAAAGAAAAAACTCCAGTAAACAATTCAACTAACCAAATATAAGATCAACATGATTGAGCATGTAATCGACGAACCGTTCCGAGTACCGTTGCCAATGATGGAACGTATGCCAGCCGTGCCAGTCAGATAGCGCCGAGTTAACAAAAACTCTCCTGTAAACCAAGACGACTTACGTGTCGAGGCGGCCGATGTAGCCGGCGTGTGGGACGAAGAGGGGGCTTTCCTAGCCGTCTTGCTAAGGTCCTCTCACTCCTCAATTCTGGTTTTGTGTGCATTAAACTTGGTCTTGAGCAAAAACTGTCTTGTTACAAAAGGTCGATGTGATATCTGCGTGACTTTGGACTAGTACAAGTCTAACAAACTTGTATTCCGTCGGTTATGAGCCTCGATTACATGCTCAATCATGTTGATCTTATGTTTGGTTAGTTGAATTGTTTACTGGAGTTTTTTCTTTCTTGGTATCGTTTCGTTGCTGTTGAAAATTCATGCAATTCTATCAAGCCTTACACATTCGGATGACTCCTCTCTTCAATCAGGCTCTCTCTCTAGCCGCAAGTTGTTTACTAGTTAGGCCTCTCATCTCAGCCTCAATTTGTTTGATTGATCTTCGAATAGGAAAAACAAGCCTTCCCCAGGCCAGATTGGTCGGTCGAATATCTGACTCGAACTGTGGAAACACACTTGAAGCTGATTCGATTCATATTTTCTTGATCTTTGAGTAGGATCAAATGGAACTACCAGGAGATCTGGCGGAAGTTTCATGTCATGGAGCTAGGCTGTGGCATGCATAACTGGAGCTACTTCTGGATCGGCGAACAAGGTACAACTGCACAACAATCTTCAAATGCCTTGAAACGGATGTTCCAATCTCGCGGCAGCAATCTCTGGTCACAAGTTCTTTACGGTTCAAAAATTTATCTTTTGGTCTTCAAATGCCGGCGGGCACGCTCTCTCTCTCTCTCTCTCTCTCTCTCTCTGTTATCTGAAATTCTCTCCTCAGACTCTCTTATCTTATCCTCCTTCTCTCGTCATTGCATCAGCTCGCCAGGCATCTCCCTTATCTCTGCACTGCACATCTAATAGCCCTGCATGAAAATCTTCTTCAGAATGGACAATCTTTGAATGGTTATTGCCTGCTCAGCATAACTGTAAACTTGACGCAGACAGTCTTCTCGTATCTCGACTTGGAACTCTGCTGACATTCTCTTGTTTGTGTGACTTTCTGACGTCCGATGTAACATACTATTTCAGAAACTCGGGGGGAGGATCCCAGAACGTATGCCAGCCGTGCCCGTCAGATAGCGCCGAGTTAACAAAAACTCTCCTGTAAACCAAGACGACTTACGTGTCGAGGCGGCCGATGTAGCGTGTGGGACGAAGAGGGGGCTTTCCTAGCCGTCTTGCTAAGGTCCTCTCATGTCTGGATGCTTGGGTTTCATTAAACTTGGTCTTGAGCAAAAACTGTCTTGTTACAACTAAGGTCGATGTGATATCTGCGTGACTTTGGACTAGTACAAGTCTAACAAACTTGTATTCCGTCAGCCAAGGCTCGTCGGACTCGCCGGTTCAGTGCGTGGTGGCCCGGGCCGGGCCGGCCCGGTCAGCAGTGCGGCGGCGCGGCACAGGCTCCTCTCTAAAAGACTAAAAAACTTCAGATTGACAACCCCCATCAACCTCCGTTGATCATGATCGAGATTTCATGTAAGTAAGGCCGCTGAGAGTTGGGAGCGAAGCATGGCACATGCAGACGTTGCGTTGAAGCGTCAATGATGCGGCTGCTGCTTCTCGCAATCCTGCTCGAAGTCTGTTGGGGGCAAGAAAGCTTCGAGCCCATCAACTTCCCTCCTCAGGACAGGCTGGTGGCGGGAACGCCATTCCTAGTCAAGTACAGGTCAACCTCCACTGGCTACTGCAGGGTTGCTGCTCCTCCTCTCATCGTGGTTTTTGTGCGTCCCATCCTATACATCAGCCCGCCAATTGCTTTTGATCGATCGGGCATAGTCGCCCGCAGTGACATGCAGGGTTGTCAGAACGGGGAGTATCAAGCGCTTGTGACCATCACCATCGCTGCCAACTACAGGCAAGAGGTCTACCTGTATGTCAAGGTCCCAGCCTCCGAGTCTGACCAGCCGATCGCGCTTGACGGAAGTCCCTTCGACCTTGATATCTATCCAGCTCCGGTTCATTGGCCCTCACTGACCATCATCTGCGGCAGAGTGCAGGGCAGCCCCTGGCCTGACAGATGCTCTGACGGCCTTGGGTTCGACCTCACCATGGCAGGGGTGACGATAGAGTTGATGCTGCAGCCGTGCGATCGCTACTACAATCCCATCTTTCAGTGCGTGAACGATTTCCCCCCCTCTCAGAACATCTCCCTTAGTGCCCTGGCCAATCATTCTCGCACCGAGGTTCACCAGCAGCCTTGCGACGGTTTGTGCCCTCACCAGCCCTACAACGAGACGAACGGGACGCTCTGCCACTCCTGTCCGATGCTGACGACCTCCAACATCTCTACTTCTTTGTCGTTTGATGTATTGCAATGTGACCCAACTACCGGAGCCATCCAGGCGTTTTACACGGCAACTCTTACTGGGAGGTACAGTCTGCAACTGTTCTTCAACGGGGTTCCGGTTCCCGAAGTAGAATATTACAGAGATGAAGTCTCTGCAACCCTCGTGGTGATGCCGGGCCTCGTAAATCCGTCGACATACATATCAGGCGGTCAAGATCTAGTCTCTCAGTTTGCAAACTGGACTGGCAACGCAATGGTACAACTGAAAGATCAGTATGGCAATGACAGGCAGCATGGGCTGCTGTATGCATTCCGATTCAACAAATCAGTGAGTTTCTTCAATCAGGTAAATCTTGATGCAACAATTCTACTGCAGAGGTTCATTCTTGCACTCAGGACCCTTCCTACATAGCGCTCAATAACAACGTGTCCCCCGACTTGCTCTGCCGTCTCATGACGTCCGCAGGATGCAATCTGCTTGCCGTCAGGGAGAGCATGCAGGTACAGAGCAGAGCAGGTGTGATGCTACATGGCTCTTCTCATGTCACTATCAGCGGAAATATCTCGGTGAAGGAGTCACAGCTGGCATTGCTGCTGGGACATCCCAGGACCTTGATGCCCTGGTGACCCTCATCAAGTCGATTCCTCGGCAAGGGACTTGGATTTCTCCAGCTGCGATCGGAACGTCTGTGGTGAAGGATATGACCGATGGAAGGTCCCTAGTTTCATAGCCCCTATCGGTTGTCAGTTGATGGCTTTGACTCGCAGGTTTTTAGTCGCGTTCACGTTCCGGCAACCCGGCATATACAAGCTAGCGCTCTACACTCTTGGCTGGAGCAATGTTGCTTACGATACAGCAAATCTTGGTAAAGAATGATACCACCATGTTTGTCGCACATGACAGGTCACACAGACAACCCTGTACAAGGATCACCGTGGAACATTTTGATCGTCAACCCAACGTGACCCTTCTACCGATCGCCTTGATTGACCCTGTCTCACTCAGATATTGTAGCTGGGTCGTTGAAGGAAGTGTAAATGAGAAAGGGAGGGAAATAGTCAACCTGGCAAGATTTTGCATCAACACTTCACTCCCGGAGTTGACGGTGTGGATCAAGACCATGAAGTTGTGGTTGACAAGGATGCGCAGGTGGTTCAGTGTCAATCACAACAATCGAGTGAAGTGAGGGAGAAAATCTCATGATGAGAAGGAGTAAAAGTCACTCTCCAGTGACTGATGAGTTCTACAGGTTTATGGGGCCATCGCATCTCGCGCAAATGATGGAAACAACCTGACGCAATTCAGGCGACAGACTCGTCGTGTTGTTTTGATGGAATTGTTTGATGTTTGTTCATCAGCTCTCGATCATGCATTCAAACGAGTGCCGATGGGTCGTCGGATCCCTTCTGGTTGGTCGACCTGCAGATGATCCGTGAGGTTCCTTCCGTTCGTTCCGCTTCTTCTTGTCGTTGATCGATGAAATGCAGGTCCGCTTCCTCCGAGTCTTCAATCGTCATGACGATGATTCGTATTACTCCACTCTGCTCGATGGTGGACCAGATTTTTGCTCTTGCTCACTCCTCTCACTTGATCCTTCGACAGGCTTTAGTGTTCACGTCGGTGACAAGGGAACCGCTCTCGATCCTGCCTGCGCCACGAACGTGACCGTGGAAAGGGACACAGCAGCGTATCTCGTCATCCCTTGTCATGTCTCTGGAAGGTGAAGTGTGAGGAGCCTTGGTTGCGACTGACTTTCTCGAAGGTACGTCAGCGTCAGACTACCAGGGCCCCGCAAGGTCCTCACCATCTGCGAGGTGGAGGTGATGGGGATGGCTGGACGAAAAGTCTCTGCCGACGCAACCAAGGGCACAGCTCTCTTTGCTGCTGGACAGCGCCAGTGGATTTCCCTCCGCGTCATGTGGCCGCAGATCCTTATGTACTCGCAGAAATGCCCCGATGTGAGCTTCTGCTGCTCCTGCTCCTGCTCCTGCTCCTGCTCCTGCTCCTGTTGCTCCTACTTCTGCTCCTGCTCCTTAGCCCCCTCCCCCCCCCCCCCCACCCCTCGATACCTCAGTTGAGGTCTGACGTCGTATTCTCTGCATACAGGAGGTGCCCAATGCCTACTTGAATCCGTGGAGTCTGCCGGAATCCTCTTTCCCCTCCACCTTCCTCACAGGCCTGCAGGAGAACAGCTTGTGCTTGAATCGCACGAGTTGCCCTCCAGGACCGCCGCTCCCTGCTGTCTCCGTACAATATTCGGCATGCCGGCGAGGTCAGATCCTGCTCAACGCGATGCCGACGATCTCAGGACAGTACGCTTTCATAGTGGACGTGGGAGGAAGCATCGGAACCATAAGAGGAAGCCCCTGGAGCATGCTCGTCGTCGGAGGAAAGTCCGTCGCCTCCATGGCCACCATCACGTGGGAGGATCTGACGGGAACAGGATCGATCGCTCTACTTGCAAGCAGCCTGACGCTGCAGGCACGAGACGCCTTCGGCAACCCCAACGCGGAGTGCGCGAGAGGAGTGGAGGGAAACTTGACGTATCTGCCCCTCGATTCCTCCCAGCGCCTCGAGTACGGGGGCAAGTCTGTACTCAACATGCTCGACTCCTCTCCTACCTTCTGGCCCTTCTCCCAGTATCCCGTCCCAGAGGCGAGCCCTTGGCTGCTCCTTGAGGTCGGTCAGTGCGAGATGGGAAGGACCTCTCTCTCCTTCCTGGCCACCATCTCGGGCTACTATCGCATCCACACCAGCATCAACGGGACTCAAGTGCGCGGCAGCGGTCAGCGCATCGAAGTCTTCCCGCTCTACATCAACCTGACGGTGGGGGTAAACTCAGCAAGCAATGCCGTGCGGGCCTTCTCTCCTCATGGACGGTGGAGTTACTACCGGCTCCTGATCCCCCCGGGGACCATGGGCTTCCAAGTGAAGTCGACGCGGCTGGTGGACAGCAGGATGCAAGGAGGGGAACCTTGGCTCTTCCTGCAGCAAGGCTCACCCCCCACCCAGCCCCGTGGGCCTTACACGGGGGTACCGAGCGCGATGCTGTCCTCACAAGCTTGCTTCACCTGCAGAGTCAGCGTCCTCCTCCCTCAGTCTCCCTCCGACGAGAGCCGCGCAGGGATGCGGCGAAGCTCAACAGCTGTCGGCAGGTACTGCATGCTCCTCCCTCCTTGCTCGTAACCCACCTGCTCTTGTCTCACTTCCTCCTGCCAGCCTCGTGGGCGATTGGTTCGTCGGAGTCTTCGGCGCGCATGCTGCTGTCACGTACGACCTCACCTCCTTCATCTACCCCAAGGTCAGCTTGCAGCATGCAGTCAGTCACCGCGGGCAGCTGGAGGAGGCAGGGCAATGGTACCTATTCGACTTTGACTTGGGCTCGGGCCTTCTGCTTGAGGGATACCAGTCAGCTCAAGTCGTCGGCTTCTCCTGCAGAGTGTCGCGCACAAACGGGAGGGGAAGGCTGGACGCGGCGATCCAGAGAGCTGCTGAGGGATATCCCAACCTGCAGGACCAGACGCTGCAGTCGACTATCGCCCAACGATCGTGCGTTGACTGCGTCATGAGCTACCCCCTGGCAGAGGCGATGCCTCCCAGCGACTGGCAGTGGAAAATGGCAGTGATGTCAGTGGAGGAAGGAGTCTCCTTTGCTGCCACCTGCACCGCTCAGATGTTGAGGACTCTGCAGTGGGGAGAGCAAGGGCTCCAGCGAGGCTACGTGGGTTATCGATCGCTCGACCATGTCGCTGTCTACTTCGATCAGAGCCTGTTCTCAGGTTTCAGGGTCCAGGTAACGCCCAGCTCTTGCATGACGAGAGGCTGATGGCGGGAGCAGGTGATCCCTTCGTCCGGGGCAGCAGACATTCGTTCCCTGCTGATGAAGGCTCGCATGGCAGTGAGGAAAGAAGAAACGTTCTTTCCGGGCACAAACTGCGTCAACTGCAGGACTGTAGTGCAGAGCAGCACAAACCTGACAGACTTGTGGTACCTGACAGTGTACGGAGGGGAGACAGGAGGATACTACAGCATCTCCGCTCTCCTCATGATAACTTGCCCCAACGCGTGTAGCGGCAACGGAGTGTGCAGGAGGAAGTCGACGTATTACTGTCTATGCCAGCCAGGCTATGAAGGAGTCGACTGCTCCCTTCCTAGCCCCGTGAGATCATCCCTGCTGCTGCTGCTGCTGCTGCTGCTGCTGCTGCTGCTGCTGCTGCTGCTGCTGCTGCTGCTGCTGCTGCTGCTGCTGCTGCTGCTGCTGCTGCTGCTGCTGCTGCTGCTGCTGCTGCTGCTGCTGCTGCTGCTGCTGCTGCTGCTGCTGCTGCTGCTGCTGCTGCTGCTGCTGCTGCTGCTGCTGCTGCTGCTGCTGCTGCTGCTGCTGCTGCTGCTGCTGCTGCTGCTGCTGCTGCTGCTGCTGCTGCTGCTGCTGCTGCTGCTGCTGCTGCTGCTGCTGCTGCTGCTGCTGCTGCTGCTGCTGCTGCTGCTGCTGCTGCTGCTGCTGCTGCTGCTGCTTCTGCTCACTTACTCTCTTGCCAGGGAAAGATCTCAGCTTGGTTTCCCTTCTTCAACGACACTCTCGATCGCTCCAACAACTCGCTGCGGCTGCAGGAGCGACTCTCACTGTCCTCCCTTGGCGTCAGTCCCTCCATCTACCTCAACTCTCAAGACTGCGGCTCCTCCATCAGCATCCACTGTGTCAACGGGCAGGAGCGGTCAATCCTGCTCAACGGCGGGTTCCTCCAGTCGCTCGGCAAGCCTCGGTCGCGCCTCAACTGTGTAGCAGGCGACAGGATAGAAGAGGTGAGACTGGAGGCTTCAGGTCAGCCTCTCCCGCCCTCTGCTGGGGTTCCAATCTGCCAGTCCTACGAGTGGGGCAGCGACTTTGCGGTCATGGTGTGGGTGTACGCGGATCGGACGAAGCCAGGGAACAACAGCGGAATCACGTTGGGCTCGCGCCTGTGGACGGCGACGATCTCGCCGGAGAACGACGAGGCAGCATGGAGCTTCATGCTTTCACTGCAGGGCCACCCGTCCGACGCCGTTGACGGCTACCTGGTCAACTTCGTGGTGAATGAGGGAGACAGCAGGACTAACTTGCGCATCGCCTCTGCACGCGACCTCGACTCGTTCCCTTCTCGCGGCGCCCCCGCGCCCTCGTGGGAGCCAACGCTGAGCATGCAGACTTGGTATCACCTGACGGGAGTGTACGCGCACGATCGCATCCAACTCTTCATCAACGGGGAGCTGATAGCAGAGCAGCGAAGAAATTTCACAAAGATGAGGCACGTCAAAGACTCGGTAGCCCTCCCCTCCCTCCTCCATCGATTCTCTTCCGCTTCCTCCTCCTTCCACCCGTTTCCTTCTCTCTTTGCCCCCTCTCCTCGTCTCCCCCATGTCCGATGCTTCCTTTGCAACCCCTTCTATCGAACTGCTTGCTTTGATGATGATGATGATGATGATGATGATGATGGGGATGATGATGATGGGGATGATGATGATGATGATGATGATTGCTTTCTCCACCTTCCCCCTTAAGACGATCACTATCAGGTGCTACACATCGGGCATGACAGCCGATATCCTATAAAACGCACGTCTATTCTACGGTACCTGCCGACTCTCATGATGATGATGATGATGATGATGATGATGATGATGATGATGATGATGATGATGATGATGATGATGGGGATGATGATGATGGGGATGATGATAGGGATAATGATGATGATGGGTCGATGATGGGGATGATGTTGGGGATGATGATGATGATTGGGGTGGTGGTGGTGGTGGTGGTGGTGGTGGAGATGATGATGTCATGGCAGGGAAGATGAAAGATCTGAGGATTTTACGTTATGCTCCAACACCCGAGGAAATCAGACTGGTAGTCACAGGAAACCTGAGATATGCATTCCAGTCGATCATCCCCATCACAAGGTGGTAGACTCTCGTTGCTAGCAGAACATGCTGATGATTTCCTGTCAGTCAAACAGCTATCTCTCACGAGCATCATCACAACAAGGGTTCTGTTGCTGCTCCCCTCAGCGCATCTCAGTGGGACGACGGGACTTTGCTTCCCGACACTATCAACCATGCAGATGCCTGCTCCGCAGCTCGAGCCCCCAACGAGGTCTCCCGCTCTCCATCTGCTCCGCTCTTTCCAATTACCATCCTTTCTTCCATCCCCTTGCTCTGTTGTCCTTGTCCTCCTCCTCTTCCTCCTCCTCTTCGTCCTTGACTTCCTTTGTTTCTTCGTTCTCCAGCACTGGGATGAAGTGAGCGGGACAGATGCAGACAAGAAAAAGTTCATCGCATGTCGGTAGAAGCCTGCTCCCCTTCCCCTTTCCCCTTACCCTTCCTCCCTTCCCTTCCCTTCCCTTCCCTTCCCTCCTTCTCTTCTTTCTAACCCATCTCCGCCTCTTCAAGGTTTTGGGGTCAGACAAGTTGGGTACAGCAGCGAGCTCCTGACCCTCCTTTCTTCAACTTTCAGGTTTCTCTCCTCCTTTCTCTTCACCTCCGCATCCTCTCCTCTTCTGTCTTTACTTCCCTGATATTCGTTTGCCGTGCTGCCATCAATCCACCTATCCACTACCCTCTTGCCTTCTCTCCTCTCCTCTCCTCTCCTCTCCTCTCCTCTCCTCTCCTCTGCTCTCCTCTTGCCTTCTCTCCCCTCCTCTCTCCTCTCCTCTGCTCTCTCTTCTCATATCTTCTCTTGCCTTGCTTCTCTTGCCTTGCTTCTGTTCTTTACAACTCCGGGCTCTCTTAACACACTTACCTCCAGTCGTCATCGCGAAAGTTTGGCATCGGTGATCAAAACCTTCAAGATATTGTGGGTTTGTTGACAATTTTTCAGGCATCATCACGACCATCTTGACGCAGTAAACAGCCGGTCTGCTGTAAAATAATTCCCCGACCTCATATTCTCGTTTTGTAAATTTTGCTTCTCTTTACTTTGAATTCAATGAAGTATGTCTAAACGTCAACTCAAGTGACGCAATCTCAGATGTTGTCAATGGCATTTGAGGGATCGAGACACCAGTTCTTGATCTCTTCGGGTTGAGTTTCGTTTGGAGATTTCGTGAACTCGTTCTTTGATAATCTGTTCAGATACTGAGCGAGATGCTCAATCTAAACAAAATAACACTTACAGTTCTTCAAAGATTGACACATCTTGAAGAGAAGGTGAACCATTGAAATCTATGGAGGTCGAGATTAAGTGTTTTTCCTATGATCATATCAACAAAGGTAACAAACCTTCCAGCTCGGTTTCTCGTTCTCCCTTCATTTGCAAGATCCAAGAATACAACCTGCGAACAAGTGCTGCCAACAATCGTTACCACCAACATCAAGATCATCATTCCCATCATCACGTCCACATCATCATCATTATCCCCATCATCATCATCATCATCATCATCATCATCATCATCATCATCATTCTGATCCTGATCCTCATCAAACACGTCCTTCGCATATGAAGACTGAGTCCAAACGTGTTCTACCCGCTCTTTTTCGCTTCTGTATGACGAGGGCAGGGAACTGGAACCCATCCCATTTCCTCATGTCACAATGATAACTCGCCCTGCCGAAAGGGTAAACAGGAGAAGCTCGCAGGGCTGAAGCAGACTTGTGACTTTCACAGAAGATTGGAACTCCGTTCTCGTTGTCGCCGTAGAAAGCTTTTTGATTACATCCTCCCTTCACACCTCAAGTTCAGCAAGTCTTCGTCGCTGGGAAGAGAGCCTCTGAGTGGTACCGGATACATGCAGAGCTCGTCGAAGTTCCAAACACCTCCATTCTGAGCGTCAAGTTCGGTCGATTTCCACTCCTCGAAAGAATCTCGATGGGTTTGACACAAGGCTAAAGGAGATTTGTTTGGAGCTCCTTGAAGGAGAAAGAATTGTCTTGAAGATTCACACCTGCCAGAATTTGTGATATATGATTGACCAACACAATTTATTTCAGCAAAACAAAATCGTCACAACAATGAGCATTCTTCTCCTTATCATTAACATCATCTCTTCCAAGATCAAAAACACGTTCTTAACTATCGTCTTCATCTCCAAAGCCTTCTATCCTCCTCCTCCTCCTCCTCCTCCTCCTCCTCTCCATTATTTTCCTCAATTTCATCGTCATCACTTCAGAACCTTGTATGCATCTGATCTTCTTCATCCTCTTCTCTCAATTCCTCTGAATCCACAGTCGAGCTGACAGGACAGTCAGACGCGCCAGCACAGAGCGGCAAACACACTTCAACTCAACTCGTGGAACAGAAACTAGAGATACCGAAGTCACAGCTTTCTGTTCCATGTCATAATTGCAAACTCAACCATCACACTGAACCTCACTGCAGTTAGCAACACGGCAACGGGTGCCCTTGATAGCCAGATGATGCATCGCCCGGTGTTGAGAGCAGAAAACAACCTTCTTTCCACCTTGAAGATCATCTCACACGAGCTCTTGAGAAGTCATCATCAACCTTTGAAGCTCTGATAGGAAGGTTGCTTGTCGCAGCCCTCCTCGTTGCACTTCCTTTCATCTCGATTACAGCATTGTCAAACCAGAGAGTTTTCAACCTGCTCCTCAGGTCTCTGTGGGTTATATCCTTGTGCTGCACACAATACATTCGATAGTCGTCCAAGCTTCCGAACGTTCCTGTACTCCTACAAGGCGGTCAAGACAGTCTCGTGAGTAGAGCTCAAGTCGGCAATACGTACCTGCACCCATCGACGCAGCATTTCTTCTTCTTCTTATTCACACTCCCTGCCGGAGCATGCCCGGCGCAAAACTCGGGTTTCCTGGCGTCTGGGCTGCCGTAGGACGGCCATCGTAAGCAGGACTGCAGCTCACCTGAGGCAAGTCAGCCGGGCACCTGAGCTGCGAGAGAACCTGTCTCATTGTTGTAGGACTGGAAGTGACAGAGTTGCGCTGGGGATCTTGAAGGTACACTCCCGCCAGGACGATGGACGGCGCAGTAGTAGGAAGGAGCCGGGTGCCCATTGGGCAATGAGTGGATGGACTTGAAAGTTGCTCTCTTCTTGCAGCCAGGCTCCTGGCAGAAGCTCTTCCTGTTGCCCCTGCCTAGGTCAGTGCTGATCTCTGCCCTGAGTGACGCTTGCCCGCTGGGGATCAGGAAGTTCATGAAAGCAAGGCAGAGGACGATGAGGCCTCTGCGCATGTGTCGTGCTACCAAGTCTTACATCACAAGAGGGAGCAGACGACGAGCCCTGAGCAGGGAGCGACGAACAGTGATGCGCGCATGGTCGACGGGAAGGAGAATGCTATGGAGGAGCAAGCGATGTAGGGGAAGATCAAAGTTTGGACTGGTAGTAGTAGACAGGATGAAGAGGAGAAGGAGCAAAAAGGGGAGGAGGAGGAGGAGGAGGAGGAGGAGGAGGAGGAGGATGAGGATGATGATGATGATGATGATGATGATGAGGAGAGG